GAATTGTACAAAAACCGGGATACGCCTATCCTATAACATCCTGTATATTGTACCTTTGTTGAAATCTCCACTTCAATACTAGTTTAACTGTATACAATACTTTCGTTGCTAATCCATCACCTGGGAAATGCCTGATCTAAATAACCATGGCCTGGAATCTTATATGAATAACTTTGAACATTTCCCCCATCACTTTGACTCCAGTCGGTTAATAAAGAGAGATGACAGCCTATCTCGCTCACGAAGACTTTAACCAATCATTTTATTTTAACACCATCTCTGAATGTCACAAATAAAATAATCAAACGAAGCTTAATTCCGCCATGTCAATTCCGTCAAAAGTAATGACAAGTTGATGATTGATATTTGTCATCGAGTTAGAATCTATTTGTATATTTTCGACTTTCGTCCATTTTCGTCTTCCACGTGCTTTGGCTTGTTTACAGTTTTCATTTTTAATTTAATTATCTTTAACTTTCGTTTGTATTTAGTCTTAGTAATTTAAGTTGGTTCCTTAGTTTTTAAAGTTTAGTTAGTTGATACCTTAGTTTTCATTTTTAATTTAATTATCTTTAACTTTCGTTTGTAATTTAATCTTAGTAATTTTAATTTAAGTTGGTGCCTTAGTTTTTAAAGTTCGGTTAGTTGATTCTTTAGTTTTTTCAGTTTAGTTTTATTTGATTCCTTAGTTTTTAAAGTTTAGTTATAGTTCCTATAAATAAAGATTTTCGTCTCCCTACAAAACTTGTGAAAAAGCAGATAGGTATTGTCACATCACTCACGATATGTGAGATTATTCCATTGGAAAATAATAAAATATTTTGAATTTCCCACTAAATTTTTAATTAGTACCGAAATGACCCACCAGAGGCGCTAAAGGGATAAAATTAATATTTAACCATTTGAATTTCCCGCCAAATGGTGATTAGTATTGACTCCGCTCACCAGTGGTGCTAATAACCAAATTTATATATAGAGTTGCCTATCTATCTGTATATACTATATTATTTATCTATGGTAAATAACGCCGAACCATGGACGTATAAATTATACGTTCATGCACCGAACATTTACACCAAAATGAGCTGAAACTCTTGCTGAGGCCATATATCATTAAAATCGGCTCCAAACTTGTTTTTCATAGCAGGTACTTTTTCATTGATAAGAAGCATTTCATAATTATAGCTTGTTAACTTTCTTTCTATAAAAAACCGCCAAATTAACCAAGTACCCATTATAACCGACTATACATTTAGTTTTTATGATATTTGAGTATGGTTTCACGTACCCACTGTAGATTTCATCATCATCATGGTCATAACATCTTGGCAGATGTGTTGTGGTTCTTCATTGAGCTTCAGCAGCTCGCATAGTCTGATCAATGATACTTCTCCACTCATCGCGGTCATCTGTTACATGTAATGCCTCAATGTACTGCTTGTAGATTACTGTAGTTGTAGTATACTGTAGATTTACCTCACTTCAATACCTTAAATTTTGGGATTTGATTAAACAACATGTGATTTTTTAATACATTTACGAGATATTCGTTCTCACAATATGACAAGAACAAGATCACAAAGTACGAGAATGAGAAGAAACATACATTTGACTTCGAAAACATCAAAATTTTAAAAACCGAACGAAACAAAAAGAAGAGGGAAATAAACGAATTAATAAAAATAAAAAGAAAACATATAAGTTAGCAAATAAAAGTTATAACATATCTCCACTTTACCTTTTTCGAAAACATCAACGATACACCCATGTAAAAATAGTTATATATTAATGACAGTAAACCATGAGATATCAGATATCAATTTTTACTCTCAGTTAGTTTCATTAATGTCAGTGTTTCGCTTTACGTTTTGGTTTAAGATTTTTTTTTATATATTTTACAATAACAATAAAACACTGAAAACTTTGTTTTCAATCTTCCACAAAATTTATTTCAACTCTTATCACTACAGCTGTTTCGGCTGATTGCCTTTCTCAAGTGATCTATTTTTGATATAAGGTTGAATGCTCGAATAAATGAACTTTGATAATATACAAGGCAAATATCGAGCACAGTATTAATTTAATCTTGCCCAAGTACTTTCGATCACTAGATCATCTTCAGGGGCATTTCGTCAATTGCGGCCTATCCGACAAGAGTGGAATGTCATAAATATAAAATGGGACATAACAATACACTACACAAAGACAAACAAACACTTTAAAATTTTGAAGATAGGCGAAGCTACATGGTATATAGAAGCCGGAGACAGAATGGCTCACGGTCTAGCGGAAATCCGGGGAGGGGAGAGCTGTTTGTCTCAAGTTGGTCATTCAGAATTATATCTGTGTTTTTTAATTTGTTGATTTCCATAGATTCTAACAAATATAGCTTAAGATTTATTTTGAATGTGAAGAATTTTAAATTTGTCATTAAAAGAATGATTATGATCTAGAAGGTGAAGTGCGTATGTAGAATCTATTATCGAAAGCTCTTTTATTTTGGCTCTTGTTGTTTTTAATATATTTGCCTAGGTTTTTAATATATTTTGCCTATAAAAGCACTTACATAGTGGTGTGTACAAACTTAAATGTGGCGACTGCCCAAAAACTTACATCGGTCAAACTGGTAGAAACTTTAACAAACGAATAGCAGAACATAAAAGGGCTGTCAATAATAGAAAAACAGATTCTACATACGCACTTCACCTTCTAGATCATAATCATTCTTTTAATGACAAATTTAAAATTCTTCACATTCAAAATAAAGGCCTAAGCTATCTTTGTTAGAATCTATGGAAATCAATAAATTAAAAAACACAGATATAATTCTGAATGACCAACTTGAGACAAACAGTTCTCCCCCTCCTCAACCTATTTCATTAGAGACTATAAAGTGTAAACGCAAGCCAAAAATAGATCACTTAAGAAAGGCAATCAGCCGAAACAGCTGTAGTGATAAGAGTTGAAATAAATTTTGCGGAAGTTTGAAAACGAAGTTTTCAGTGTTTTATTGTTACATAAAATGAATTTCCATCAAGTAACGGTCGAATCCATCAATTATTTTACAATAACTTTGTGTTCTCAATCTTGTACATTTTAGAATCTTGACAAAGGCAAGGGTTACCTGCCGAAATGTTGATTTTAATGGCACAATAAAATCTAGTTCCAAACTTAATATTACTTATTAAAAGAAATGGTTGTCTTAGATATTAAGGCATGCCGTAAATAATTAATTTGCTGGTATGCACTTTTACAAGTGCTTTTAAAACAAGTAAACATAATTGTTTTTGTAATAATTATGTCATATTTCTACCTAATTTCTACGTACCTAAACATTGATGTTTTGTGTTTTTAACTACACCTGTTTTTCAACTTAAAGTTAAAATAGACACGTGCTTTGTGTTTTCGATATTTTTACTTGTGCAAATTTGCAAATAATTGCCAGACGGCTGTTTTCCAAGTTTCATTTATCAACTAAGGCTAATTTTATAATTCAAATACACTTGTTTAAATCTGATTTTTCATGGATTAAGTAAGTGATGTGAAAGTTAAATGGTTTACCAGTTTCCGAAACGAAACCTTTCCGCTAATGTAATATGGAATAGTTACTTAACTTTAATAATAACTTGCTTTGTTTCTTTTCTCCTCTTATCTGGCTGAGATCTTCAAGAGTTACAGTGTGAAAGATTTCTAACCCTTTTCCATTGTTTTATCACTGCTTATTGAGTTGATTGTTGCTCCTTATTGATTATAGGTATATATAAATATGGGGTTTGAGGAAAACCACTATTTTGACTACGTTTCGGCAAGGTCGCACTTGCCATTGTCAAGTCAGGTGGTAACGCTCCTTGCTGGTGCTTTACAGTTAAAGCAAACTTACTCTCCAAGCAAGCAATTGGATTAAACCCACACTGTGAGACTTGTTCACCCCTTGAAATAACGTTCGGCTGTAACAATTAATTGGAGCGAAGTGTAGTAACTCGTGAGGCATGAGTCACTCCACCGCGCTCTATCCAACTGCTCCAATATGCATCTTTATGTGACCTGGGTAATAGAACTTCAACAGGTTTTTTAATCGATTCAAATTCAGGTTAGCGTTAGGCGCTTTATTCCTATTATCCTCTAAAACTGACTCTCCTGGTCGATGCGGTTACTTATATAGGCGCTCGAGGCGCACTTATCTCGAACGGTCCTTAACAAATTTCTTGTGATTGGTTTTGTCCGTATGTAGGTAGGAGGGGGTCTCGTGGTCTGATGTATTTTTTTGACTTTTTTTAATACCGTTTTCCATGTTGTTGGAAGCCTTTGGGCATCATCTTTTTGGTTTAGACTGTTCTTTCTATTTTTATTGATTCTCTGATTTCGCGTTTTCTTTTAATTTCAATGTTAGCTAGCATCGTAGTTTGGTTCACGTTTATTGTATGTCCTGTGTTTGACACATTTGTGAACGTTGTGAATGATTCCACGTTCTTCTCGTCTAACATTGATTTCTCGGTTGGTCTGTCCGATGTACGATTTATCACAGTCCTCACATGGAATCTCGTATACTCCTTTATTTTCTAACGATATTTTTGTTTTGGTGGATGGTAAAATAGTTGAGATTTTTCTGTCGGTATTAAATATCGTTTCTACTTTGTGTTTTCTTCATTGTTCTGCCTATTTTCTCTCCCTATTTTCATTATTGTACCCTTAAGGTTGCTTTTTTGCAATCAATTTTGAGTCTTCTGTTGGGTCAAATTATTCAACGCGGAGTCAACCACAGAAGAGCACATATAGCTCCCGCAGAAATTACAAGTGTAACATATCTTTAGATTTGTAGATGGCAATGAGACACTTTCTGGTAACATAATGCTTTGTTATTTGGTTTCCTATATCACGATTTGATTACTTGTATTCTTATATTGACTCGGTAACTACGAAATCAAAACTCGACCTTTGCAGTCTTCTTAACTTGCTTGTCTTCACTTCTCACATATTATTTTGTATTTTCATATTTTCAGAATCCAAACCAGAACCAGAGGAACAAACTTCTCCCCAGTTTATCGAGGCTCCATGCAGAGAAGTACCCGGTGTTGAACAGAAAATTTCTTGTACGGAAAATCCGACTTATTCCAGTACTGGTGACTCCGAGGCTAGAGCTATCAGTGAAAATACGTCACCAAACAAAGTTCATCTGACAGAATCTTTTTCTGTAGAATTCAAAAAAGTTGTTTCAGAAGAAAAGCAAGAATCTACTTATTCACGCAACAGCCAAGAAGATTCTAAAGAAAATCAAGTTGTAGATGAATATTCGTTAATATCTGAGAAAGAAGATCGAGAAGAGACTCAAATAGAAGATTATTCATTAACATCCGAAGAATATAAACAAGAAATAAAGGAACAAAACCAAGTTGTAGAAGAACAATCTTTAACGCCTGAAGAAGAAGATTATCAAGAGAGCAAAGAATACGAATTTATTAATGTTCCAACGGAATCTGAAGATCAGAAAGAATTAGCAGAAGAAAATAGACATATTCTTTCTTCAAATCATCTCGAAAAAGAAAGTAAAGTTGAAGAAGAGTTTGTTTATGCATCTGCCAAGGAAGATAGTCAATTTATAGAAGCAGAAGTTGTTGAAAACGGAAGTGACTTTATTGCTGCTGAAGAATTTGCGGAAATAACTACAACTAAAGTTGAAGAAGAGGTTGTTACTGCGTCTGATAAGGACAAAAAACAAATTATAGAAGAAGAAAGTGTTCAAAACAAAACTGAGCAGTTTAATCAAGCAACTACAAGCGAAGAACAGCTTCGAGTTACAGAAAAGGAAATATTTTCTCGTGCTTCACTAATTGAGCAGCAGGATTACTTTTTAGAGGAAGAACGAAAGTTACCTTCTTTGCAAACACAACCCGAAGAATATAGTGAATACCAAGAGGATACAGGAATCGAATACAACAATATCATGTCTGAAAAAGCTCAGCAGGTCAGAGTTTTAACTCTAAACGATCACGAACACCAGGAATGTACTCTATACAGAATAGAGAAGAACTGGGTGATACAGTTCCGTGTCGGACCATCCCTATTCGGCAGAAAGGTGTTCTTATATTGTAATTATCCTTCTAAAACCAATAACCAACTTAACGAATTTAGACGAAACAAATACCAACTGTTGCAATGGTGTGCCGATGAAGGTTGCGAGAATGCGGACGATACTGGTTTTTTCTCCCAGATAAAGGCAGAGCTGGCTGGAAGTTTTCATTATTTCTTCACATATGAAAAAGGGTAAGTGACATCAGTGTATTATTGCTTTTATCTTAGGAAATCTATTATTACTTTCTACACAATAAAAAGCGCTTTAAAAATACGTTATTTCGTTTCCTACCATTAATTTTTTGGTTTTAGTGAAAACTTAGAAAGACAAGGATCCGGATACTTCCTTGTAGATCCTGTCCTCAAATATGGCAACAACGAAGAATTACCCCTGGATTGTATCCAATGCCAAACCGTTTTAGCGAAGTGTTTGGGATCTTTCTCCACTTGGGAGAACAAACTGCAAGTGGCTAAAGAATCTGGCTACAACATGATTCATTTTACTCCTATCCAGGTAAAGTATTTGGCGAATAATGACGAAGATATTTTGAGTAATTAATTATTTGTATTTCAGGAATTGGGCGAGTCTAACTCGTCATATAGTTTGAGTGAACAGTTGAAATTAAATCCCGTCTTCAAGAAGAGTGATGGAAAGATGCCGACATTCGAAGAAATGGAACAGTTTACCTCGAAACTTCGAAAAGATTGGAAGGTGAGAAAGTTAGTAGCTCTCCGTCACTCGATTTGAATTTACCGGTATTTTTATTGATTTTAGGTAACTTCTATTTGCGACATTGTTTTAAACCACACAGCAAACGAGAGCAAATGGATTCAAGAACATCCCGAAGTAACGTACAACTGTGTCAACTGCCCCTATATGCGTCCCGCATACTTACTAGATGCTGCTTTTGATTTCTTTTCCTCCGAAGTTAAAAGAGGAGTGTACGAGGACAGAGGTAAGTCCAGTATTTCATCAGTTTAAATGAATAAATTTAAATATTTCATTAACTGAAAAAATAATCGGTAAGTTTATTGAAAAAACTTAAAAAAAAAATGAGCTTTTGTAGTCGACAATAGCGCATACTCATGCTTTTTATGTTACAGGTATACCAGCAGATGTTACCTCCGAAGACCATCTCAATGCTATTCGCTATCACTTCCGCGCCAGCATTTTGGATCCTCTGAAAATTGAAGAGCTATTTACTTGTGACACCAAAAAATTGATAGCCAATTTCTTATCTTTAGCCCGTTCAGGTCAGCCAAATCCTCCAAAATCACCAGATTCCAAGCCCGAAAGTGAGGAACTGAAGCTCATCCAAGATCCCCAATACAGACGTTTAGAAACTTCCGTGGACATGAAACTAGCGCTTAAATTATATAATATTTACTGGAGCGACACATTCGACGAAGATTCCAGGCTTAAAAAGTGCGCTGAGCAATTTAAGAACAAACTAGACGAGCTGAACAACCGCGTCATCGACGAAGTCAACGGTCATTTAAGTGCCGCGATCGAGAACGTTATCGCCGGTATTAGATACTACAGAGTTCAACACGACGGGCCTAAATTCAAAGATATTACGATTAAAACTCCTTTGGTGTATCGTTACTTCACCGATTATGGAAGTCCGAAGACGTTGAAAGAGTTCGAAGACATCATGTACAGCGATAAGGGCAGGTTTTTGATGGCGCACAACGGATGGGTGATGGAGTCTGATCCTTTAAGAAACTTTGCTGCTCCCGACACAAAGGTATTGATCAATATTATTATTTTATTAAGTTCATTTTGTGCGACATACGGGGATTGATCAAGAAGGCCCAATACGATTGCTTAAACATTTTATTCCAAACAGTTATAAATGATTCAACACTATATCTGTCAAAATACTTCCTTTGACAATGTATACACTGCTTCTAACGTGGTTTCCACCGCTGTACGGACGTTGAGAACTGTCCAGTAATTTTTCTAAAATCTATTTTAAATATTATTATATCTATATTAAATCTATTTTTAATCTTTAAAATCTATTTAAAGATCTCTTGGGTCTGGGAAAGAAGGAAAAGTTTACACGTGCTAGGTCTGGTGAGTAGGGGACTGAAAGATAAGTAATACCGTTTTTATGCAGAAAGTGCGAATGAGTAACACATAATAAACTGTTGTGGTGTCAATTTTACAACGCCCACGTCGCTGCAGTTCGAGTCTCCTCCTTCGCGCAATCTCACGCAAATATTATAGCGTTTGAAGGTAACGAAACTGTTAATTGTTTCATTTGTGGAAGAAATTCTCCATAGAGCACACCCTTTCAATCGAAAAAGAAACAGTGGAACTTTCACTTTGTTTCAGTTTCCACTGAATCGATTTGTATCTTTTTTCCGCCTATATACGCCTATTTTTAAGTGATTATACTTTTCAAGAAGTTTTCATCCTTATTTACCAATGCATGACATTCTCTACAAATCGATACTCGTTTTGTTTTTCGTTGGTTTAAACTAAACACAAACAATCTTAGTTTAAATTCATCTTGCAACTGACAAAAGCTGTAAACGTGTCGAAACCGAAAGCAATTACCGTCATAAAAAATAACGTAGCGGACAGTGCTGCCACTCGCACTGAGCTCTGTTGCGACGTTGCCACTCAATTCAATAAGTTTTCTAAATAACGTTCAGTCCTCATAGTGTATTTTCGTATTTTCTTTTTTATTTTCTTCAGTGCAATCTGCATAATTTAATTTTCAGGTATATATTAGGCGTGAATTGATTGCTTGGGGTGATAGCGTTAAATTAAGGTTCGGCGACAAGCCTGAGGATTGTCCTTTCTTGTGGGATCACATGAAGAAGTACGTGGAACAAACTGCCAGGATATTTGATGGAGTCCGCTTGGATAATTGTCACTCAACTCCAATCCCCGTTGCCGAATATTTGTTGGACTGTGCCAGAAGAGTTAGACCAGATCTTTACGTAGTCGCTGAACTATTTACCAATTCCGATATGACTGACAATATCTTCGTGAATAGGTAAACTAATTTATATGTATAGATATTCATAGATAAATTACACGAAATTTTTTTTCAGGTTGGGTATAACGTCTCTCATCCGTGAAGCAATGTCAGCGTGGGATTCCCACGAAGAGGGTCGTTTAGTTTACCGCTACGGTGGCTCCCCCGTGGGATCGTTTTACCAACCCAATGTGCGTCCTCTTGTACCATCAGTAGCACATGCTTTGTTCCTCGACCAAACTCATGACAATCCTAGTCCAGTTGAAAAACGATCAGTATTCGATTTGCTGCCCAGTACTGCATTGGTCAACATGGCTTGCTGTGCTAGTGGATCAAACAGAGGCTACGATGAGTTGGTTCCTCACCATATTCACGTTGTTGATGAAGATAGGGAGTATACTGAATGGACTGTCGCTGATAATTTGTCCCTGGGTAACTTGCGTTATGTTACTCACAAGTGTGGCATCCTCAAAGCCAAGAAAGCAATAAACGATTTACATTTTCTTCTTGGAAAACAAGGATTTAACCAGGTAAATTAGCAATAACTGATCAACTCCGTAAGATTTCGCTAAATTCGTAATGAATTATAGGTGTATGTGGACCAGATGGATTCTGATATAGTAGCTGTGACTAGACACTGTCCCGTTACCCATCAGAGCTATATTTTGGTAGCGTTTACAGCATTTGGACACCCAAATGAGGATGCAGGAGATCACCAGAGAGGAATTAAACCGTTACGGTTCGAGGGAAATCTGGACGAAATCGTCTTAGAGGCTACTTTGAGTCACATAAAGCACAAGTAAGTGATTGCCTAGATATATTTTAATAAAAAAGATAAATACATTTTTTAACTGTCTATAGGAGCAAATTATCTTTCTAAGCATTTCTTACTAAAATCTATTAATTGAAATTGAGAGCTTTGTTCTTGGTGATTTAAAGGCACTAACAAGTGATTTGTCTCTTACCTTCATTAGTTATTGCCATCACCACTAGAATACTTCACTAAAACAATAATTAACAACGTTTTAACAATAAAACAAAACTTGTAACATGGTTGTTTGGGTCGGTTGTTTTCGAATCAAATGTCATTTGTAAAAGACGCTTAGTGGAGAAGAAAACCGTAGATATTTGGTGTTCTGCATCTGTATGAGTTATATCCAGCATGAAAACCAACAACTTCATATTTTTTTGATAAAAAACTTAGCTAGTTCTTGTAAGCAAGATGTTTTTTTTTGTAGATCCGGTGGTTCCAAATATACCAAATGGCATCCATTTATCAAGGATTCAAAATGGATCAACGGTCTTCCTGATTACCAAGTATCTGTGAAAGAACACATTCAAGTTCCAGACTCAGATATATTTGAAAAAGTCGACTCAGGAACGAAGAACGTCACTCAATTGAACTTCAAAAACTTCAAACCAGGATCTGTAGTTGTTATTAAGTAAGTAAAAGCGATATTTTTAGTTTTTGTGTGAGTGTGTACAGTCTATTTGAGTTCCAAAACCAACCATCAAATTCCAAGGAACGATACTTATGCTTATCGAATTTTTACTACTTTAACTTTTCAATTTTTCAGAGCATCACTGCCAGAACCAATGCGTGCTGCTATAAAGGCTGTCAGGACCCTAATCAGTTCTATTTCACTGGCAAAACCCACCGAACTAGCCTCCATAGTCAACAAAATGACATTAGCTGATATGAATAGAGCCTTGTACAGATGCGGCCAAGAGAACGCGACGAAGGGTTTGGTTTTGATACATACAACATTCCCAGCTTTGGTTCGATGGTTTATGCCGGATTACAAGGTAGTATTTTTAAAAAATTTAAAGCTGATGGTGTTATATACTTTTCGTATTGTTTCAGGTTTCATGTCTTTACTTGCAAATATAAGACCGAATAATGATCTTGGTCATCCGATGTGTGCTAATCTGAGAGATGGTAACTGGATGCTAGGTAGGAATAAAAATATTAAATATAGAAGCATTTTAAGGACCCACCACACACCATCCTAATGTTACATCTTACTCCTTAACTTGAACAATAAATTATGAAATTTTTAACTATATTAACGTTTGACTTCCAGAATTTATTTGGAAAAGGCTCAAACTGGACCCTGGTACCAAAGAACTGGGCGATTGGATCGAACGCAATACCAAGAGTTTTGAAAACATTCCGAGATACTTGGTTCCTTGTTATTTCGACATCGTTGTCACAGGCCTTTATCTGGTTCTTCTTGAAAAAACACATAAATTGATGTCCAAGTAAGTCAATGTGTTAATGTAATGTTTTATTTACGGACTTGCCATTTTTTTACAAATCAACTTAAATTTAGCTTAGACTATTAAAGCGCAATGTGATTACACAAGAAGGTATTTTCGATCTTATTCTTAATAGTACTTAGTGATAAATGAAAAAATCATTACTATTAAATTTGTTTGCATTTCTACACATTCTCTGTAAGGGTTTATTTACAGTATAAGTTCGTTCTGAAGCTATTTTCTTGTGGCATTGTAAATTAAATTACTATTAAACTGGGAATAAGCCACAATTAAAGATAAAAATATCTTTAATTGTGGCCACAGTAGAAGAATTATTTCGCGCAGCAGCCGACAGAGAAAGGTTTCAGGAAATTGTAAACATGATGACGCCAACGTCTGAATACGGACACGCAACCCAAAGAAGAAGAAGAAGAACAAAGATAAAAATACGTTTATTTGACGTTTCAATTTCCACTTCGGAAATCGTTCTCAAAATACAAACAAAAATTTACTGTTGGTATTTTGAGAACGATTTCCGAAGTGGAAATTGAAACGTCAATAAACGTATTTTTTATCTTTAATTGTGGCTTATTCCCAGTTTAATAGTAATTAGTATAAGTTCGATTATGAAATTCTAAATAAATAAGTATTTGTGATCTGGTGTCTCTACAGGGTGTACGGAAGTAAACCTTTTCTAAAAGAGCACTAGCATCAATGCTTCCTCGTATTAATTTATATATAAATGCTACATCTAGCAATATCCGCCTTTCTTCAACAGTAGACAATTTAAGTAAAGATTGCAAAACAATGTATCCAATTTTATTTATAGGTATTCTCAATTTAAAAAGCAATAAATTTTAAGAAGTTTTCTGTACTTTTTCTAATAAAAAAGAGGTTAGTCTTCGTAGGTGGGTATATTTATTTAAAAACCCTTAAAAGGGCTACATAAAAAAAAACAAACGTTTTCGGACTAAACAGTCCATCATCAGGTTTAAAAATCGCCTGAATAAGAAAACGTGGTATACAGCCAGCTACAGGAATTGTTTTCCTTGTGGATTTTTTTCTAATAGATCTTTGTAGCATCTATAATTATGAGGCCAAATATTGCTAACCAATTCCAAAACCGATATAATAAGGGAACAGATGTTTTTGAGACAAATAAATATTATAAAATTCAGAGAGGCTACGTTTCATGAAACCTAAAAGTTTCATGGATCTATTAGAAACGTAAGAAAAGTGGTCCCTGAAGCTTACTGTAGGGTCAAAAATTACCCCAAGATCCTTAAATGTTGTGATTACCTCTAAAATATTCGGTCCAATATGGTATTCAAATACCATATTGGATAATATTTGGACAATGCCACTTAACGTAGCATATAAAGTATTGTCCAACGTATTGTACAGAAGATTGATCCCCTATGCTGAACAAATAGTTGGGAACAACTAATAAAGCAACAACGGATCAATCTTCAGTCAAGACAGATTCTTGAGAAAACGCTTGAGTTTCGGAGTCGACCCCCACCACATATTCGTGGATTTCAAAGCCGCATACGACTCAGTCAACATACAAAACTTCTACAGGCTACATTTAACATTTAGTTATGCGTACTGTAGAAAATATGTATACTGATGGTAGTTTATTTTTTAGTTTCGTCAAAAATGGTTCAACTTTCGTGAGAGGTCTAGCTCTAGGATCGGTACAATTCGGTGCTTATATTAAGTCTGCCGATTTGCCGACATTATCACCGAATTTGGCACCTCCTAAACCGCCATCTAGAAAAATTAACAACGAGACTGTCCAAGCTTGTGTGACTTTATCAGCAGGTAAGTAGAACTGTCACAAAGTCGACTGAATTTCAATATTATTTATCTCCTCTGCAGTCTTGTATTGATTCTACATTATTACTATACTAAAATATCGAGACGTTTGACAAAACAAACGTTTTATGATTCGTACTCAAGAGTTACCCTATTCAAAAATCAATATAATTGTATTTCAGTTTGACTCTTATTATATGTTATTATTGTCGTATTTTAGGTTTGCCACATTTCTCAGTCGGTTACATGAGAAATTGGGGAAGAGACACATTTATCGCCCTAAGAGGACTCTTTATCTTAACCGGACGTTATCAAGAAGCTAGGGAACACATTTTAGGCTACGCCGCTTGTATGAGACACGGCCTAATTCCCAATTTGTTAGATGGTGGACGAAACTCAAGGTATAAACTTAAAATTCCCACATATAACCAAGATTGACCTATCCAAATTCTCTTCTAGATTCAACTGTAGAGACGCCATCTGGTGGTGGTTATTCTGTATTAAAGAATACGTCAACGAAGCTCCCGAAGGAATTAAAATTCTTTCAGACAAAGTTTCCAGGATATTCCCCACGGACGACGCCACGAATCAACCTCCAGGAGCCGTAGATCAACCTTTACATGACGTTATTCAAGAGGGACTCAAAGTACATTTCCAAGGACTCGCTTTCAGAGAAAGAAATGCGGGGAAACAAATCGACGAGCATATGACAGATGCAGGATTTAATAATCAGATTGGAGTTCATCCAGAAACAGGTATAAATCTTCATTAATTTATATTTCTAGCCAACTATCTAAGATATTGATTATTACTCATTGTTGATGAGATAATGATGGTGTAATTATCCATTCTTTAATGTAAAGTAGTTAGTTAACACTGCCGACGCATGCATATTAGTACAGGTAAAAATATTTCACTATACAAATATATCAGTATCAAATTATTATATTTTTCGATAAAATAAATACACAATTTTTATAATCATACTATGAAAACAGTTAAGTGTATTGACATTTTTCAAATGACATAACAAAATGTATAAATAAAGCGGGTTGATCTTATAATAAAGGAGAATGTTATAGTCCCCTAAGTTATTTTTGACATAAAATAAATAATGTAATTCGAAAATCTTGAAATGGCACGTCGAATTCGTTAAGATTTTCTGAATTGTGGATGTTCAGATATTGGATATAGACGTTAATGATACACAATTTTTTTTATTGACTATAATAAAGCAAGGAATCATTCGAGCTGTGGGTGTATAGATGAATTCTGAAAATATCGGGGACAGAACACGTCACAAACAAGGAGGTTCTGAGAAGGATGAATAAAGAAATAGAAATTTTTAAATACAATTAAAACAGAAATTGGAATATCTCGGACATATTACACGTGGAGAAATAAACCTTGCTCCAACTGATTATGCAGGGAAATATCCAAGGAGAGAGAAGCATAGGGAGGCGTAGAATGTCATGGCTGCGAAACCTGAGAGAGTGGTATGGATGTACATCAAATGAACTCGAACTGCTGCGAACTGCTCAAATCAGAGCAGCCGTCTCAAATGTCCGAATAGCTATAATGATTGCCGACTTCCGCCGCGGAGATGGCACTTGAAGAAGAAGAGTTGATTATCAGGATGATCAGGTTTAATCATTGAATCTACATTTTCATTGATGTAGTTAATTTTGAAGGTGAATTTCGAATTGCAGCGCAAGGCTGACATGACAACCATAATTTCAATATCTTTATCTATGGTTTTCCAATAGCAATATTTTCTTGCAAGTTGCTTCATCTTTGTAATGCCTATGTGAGTGCTATGGAGTTCTGATAGGACCACTTGGAGTTGAGTTGAAATGACAATTCTCTGGCCTTTAAAATGATCTGGTCTTCTAAAGTGAAATCATGTTCATTTTGATTTTATGATTTTAAATCAGATTTAATTCTTGATGAAATAGGATCTTTGTCTGTGGTATCTTTAAAACTCTCGTAGGTTAGATCTTATGTTGAAATTTCCTTTATTGATTCATGGCAGATACATTTAATTTCTCCATTAAGCATTGAAGTTTTTCGATTTCTCTGAAGCAATTTTTCGATGATTGATTAATGGAGGCGGTAGAAAATAGTCAATGTTAATGTGATCAGACTATTTTCTGTATTCAACTTCGTAATCCAATCGTGTTAAATATGATGCATATTGAAGTAGTCTAGAATTGCAAGTGCTTATCTGTGTAATTGATTATAGTTTTGTCACATTCGGTAACAATACATGAGATAGTACCCCTGCACCACTGGTTGGACTTGCATCACAAGCCAATATTACGGGCAAACTGGAGTCATATGAAATCAAAACTTGATCACTTTCAATTTCTTTTTGTTGAAAGTTGTTTCACATGAAATCTTCCAAATAAAAGCGTTGAAATGCAAACTGGAATCACGTTACCATATTTTTTACAACCAATGCGCTGAAGTCGTTCAGTATCGATTTTACAGTTTGTATACATCGATTCTCTACTCCCAATTCTTGAAAATTGATACTTGACCTAGATTTAGAACACTTCCTATTATGAAATGTTGAATGTCAATTTGATCTCTGTTTTTTCATTAGACTCAAAAAGATGTTCTCTAATTAAGACCCTAATTCTAGATAAATCGGCTTCAACATCATCCTTCCATCTTTTTCTCGGTCGGCCTACTGATCTTCTACAATCTGGTCTTTCAAAAAACACTGTCTTTAACACTCTGTCATCCTATGATCGTACCACGTGACCTGCCCATCTTATTCGGTTTGCCTTGATATGTCTATGTTTTCAGTTCCATACAGAGTCACCAATTCAGCATTGTGGTGTCTTCTCCAATCTCCTGTGAATTCATCTCTTTGAGGGCCAAATATTATTCTGAGAACCTTTCTTTCAAATACTAGAAGCTTATTGATTTCCCGCTGGTTGCTGGTCTGCCATATGTAATAATTGGGCGAATAATCGACTTGTACAGTGTTAATTTAGATTTTCTTTTTAGCAGCTTCGATCTTAATAATGTTGAAAGGGAGTATTATGCTATATTTCCTTCAAATGCAGCAAATCCTTCGGTTAGCTCAGACAATATTTTCCTTATTGCATATTCTATTGCAAGCAAAATTGAACAGCAACGGTGACAACAGGTCCCCCTGGCTAAGTCCTGAATTTATACTAAATGGCATCGATGTTCTGCGTCCTATCTTTACTTGCGCATATGAGTGTGTCACGCACATTTGCGTTAATTCAACTAATTTTCTTGGTATTCCCATTTCTAACATTGCTATCCACAATTTGCTTCTGTTTATGGAATCATACGCTTCCTGGAAATCTATGAAAATTTGATGTACATCGCGGTTGAATTCCCAGTTTTTCTCTAATATTTGTCGCATGGTAAATATCTGATCTATAGTTGACCTTCCAGCACGAAAGCCGCATTGTTAGTCGCCTAGAATATCTTCCGAATATGGTGTGAGTCTCTATATGCCTCTATAGTTTCGGAATTGTTCTTCGTTTCCTTTCTTATATATGGGAATTATAACGCTTCCATTCTCTAGGCATTTTCTGTTATTGCCATACTCTCAGAATGATGTCATACAATTTTTGGTGTAAAAGGTTTCCTCCTTTTTTTAACAACTCTCCATATATGTCATCATTTCCTGGTGCTTTATGGTCTTTTAGAGACGCGATCGCATTATTTACTTCCTCAAGTGTTGGTGCTGGTATTTCGATATCTGTAGAATGAAACGTAATGTCTGCTTCCTCTGTCTCACTTTCAATATTAAGTAAATTCCGAAATTATTCCTTCCATCGTTCGACGATTTCCGTTTCTATCATTATAAGTTCACCTGCTTCATTTCTCATAGGCTGTGTTACTCCAACACTTGCACCTTTTCTAACTGACTTCACTTCACTAAAGAATTTCCTTAGAGCAGTAGTATATTAGGAAATTTATTGATTTTTTGTTGATATAAGGAAAGAAATTTATGCTGCAGCGCAAGAATATTTATCTTTGGATTCTTAAATTTCTTGTAATCAAAATCTTTGATTTTGTGAGGTGCAACTAAAGCGATTAATTTTCGAAACGTTCTTTGCACATTTTAAAGTTTTCTTATTGTGCATTAAAATTTTCGAATGGAATGCTTAGAATTTTCTGATCTAAAATTGTCTTGTTTACCATCATAAACTGTTTGAATTGATCTGGATCCATGTTTGGTATTTATCTTAACAATCTGGTTATTCAATGAAGACTTAAGCTGCCGTAGAGTCAATGATTTACCTCGTCGCCAATGTAATATATACTTCGATAAAATAATTAACCGATTTTTATAATCATATGACAACTGTTAGCTGTATTGGCATATTCATATGACATAACAAAACATATAAACATAGCGGGGTGATTCTATCGTAGACGATATTATAAAAATTATAGATAAGGAGAAAAATAATAAGTTTATTCGCCATACTGGTCGACAACCTCAACAGAGATGGTACATAAAAGGAAAAAACTGTTTATCAGTAATAAATAATAGCGAGTCCCTTAAATTTTTAGTCAGACTATACACGCAGATCTAACACAATTTGTTTCAGGTTTCGTCTTTGGTGGTAATAAATGGAACTGCGGCACCTGGATGGACAAAATGGGATCATCCGACAAAGCCGGAAACCGCGGCAAACCAGCCACTCCAAGAGATGGCTCCGCAGTTGAACTGATCGGATTGTCAAAATCAGTCATTTCCTGGTTAGCTAAACTGAGCGAAGACAACAAATACCCTTACAAGGGAGTAGAAAGGGTGTCCAAGAGCGGCTCAAAGACCAACTGGACGTTTAAAGAATGGGCCCAAAAGATACAGAACAATTTCGAAAAACACTTCTGGGTGAATTCCAAGCCGACCGATGGAGAGATTCGACCCGATTTAGTCAACAAGAGAGGCATTTATAAGGACTCCTATGGGTCAAGCTTAGAGTATACCGATTTCCAATTGAGGTGTAACTTCCCCATCGCCATGGTTGCGGTAAGTATTCAAATCTGTTGTTAAAAAAATTATCAGCATAGCTTTAACATTCAAAACATTATAGCGTAGCCAACTGTTGTTTAATAGTAATAAAATAAAATTTCGTAAACTTTTTTTGCTCGTATATCAGTATTCAGTCGTTGTAGATGATGGGCGGGATCGTTTAGTAAGGTAGGAAACACGCGAAAGATATACATAAAAAAACATAAAAAGTAAGGAATAATTTGAAGAAAGGCAGCAAATATTTGATTTCACGCAAATAAATCCTATGTATCTCTTGATACGTATTTCGACCTAATAGGTCTCGTCAGAAGAGCTATTCATAGGAGTCCTCAACGTGAAAAATCAATATTTTCTGCCTTTTAAGAAGCAACAATAACATGGCTTCAATACGGACGCAGTAGCGACATCTAATTACAACAATCGTAAAATAGTTTCGAAACACAATTCAGATTTCTGCTTTATAATCTGAGCCTTCTAAAAATTGCAAGGCAAACAGACGTTGATAAAAGATGTTAAAAGAGACATGGGGAATCTAAAATTTGCATTCCACGACATGTCTTTTACAACTAAGCAGAAATCCTTAGCGAATTGTGCTTCTAGTACTCACACAGAGTAAATCCGAATAAAATGAAGAAAGGCAGCAAATATTTGATTTCACGCAAACAAATCCTATGTATCTCTTGATACGTATTTCGACCTAATAGGTCTCGTCAGAAGAGCTATTCATAGGAGTCCTCAACGTGAAAAATCAATATTTGCTGCCTTTCTTCATTTTATTCGGATTTACTCTGTGTGAGTACTAGAAGCACAATTCGCTAAGGATTTCTGCTTAGTTGTAAAAGACATGTCGTGGAATACAAATTTTAGATTCCCCATGTCTCTTTTAACATCTTTTATCAACGTCTGTTTGCCTTGCAATTTTTAGAAGGCTCAGATTATAAAGCAGAAATCTGAATTGTGTTTCGAAACTATTTTACGATTAAGGAATAATTGTTTAAAAAATGGGCTTTTGAAACTATAACGTGGCAATCTTATTAAATAGACATGGACTCGCCAGATAGAAATTATTACCTGTAACTCAATTATACATGTTTATATTCTCAAAACTATATTTTTAATTTGAAACTTCTTTTGTCTACAGGCACCAGAACTATTCACTCCAAGCCGTGCTTGGGAAGCTCTGATACAAGCAGAGAAATATTTATTAGGTCCTTTAGGAATGAAAACACTCGATCCTGAAGATTGGGCGTACAAGGGTGACTATGACAATTCCAATCAGTCGGAAGATCCCACAGTTTCACATGGATTTAACTACCACCAAGGCCCGGTAAGTCTTAATTGATTTATTTAAAATATTTTTCATTAAATAGTGTGTAAGATAACAAGAATAGATAATCAACATTTGGGGTTATAAAATGGAGAGGCACTAATGTATGCGGATAAATTTACACTATAATCAGATTTATGACACAATTTTTGATGACATATTTCTTTTCAGGAATGGGTATGGCCTGTTGGATTCTTCCTTCGAGCCAAACTCATTTTCGCCGCACAAAACGGAGCGTTGAGAGAAACGGTCGCTAGTACAAAATTGATTCTGTCAAAACACTTCGTCGAATTACAAACTTCTGACTGGCGAGGTCTTCCAGAATTGACCAATAAAAATGGTTCCTATTGCAATGATAGTTCAAGGACTCAAGCGTGGAGCATGTCCTGCGTACTTGAGGTATAGTATTAAATAATTTAGTACCATAAAGTTTTTCACCCTTACGAATAGTAAAAACAATTAGGAAGAACATAGAACATTGATAAGTCATTCGTTTATAGGAATATTCTACTTGAAAGTCCATTTTGCTAAATCATGTTCTAGGTTAGATCATATCGTTTTTGAATTGCTTAGAAATTAAATGTGTATGTACAGTTGCGGTCACGGAATAGTTTACACCTTACTTTTTATATTGTAATACTGTAAAATTGCAGTGTCGTACAGATTTGATAAATGTCAAAGTCAAAAAATTTCAAAACGTCAATGCTTTCGCGAGTGTTCAACAATAAAATAAAAGTATATTAAACTCTTCCAAAATGGTTAGAATACATTTGAATTATGCGCAAAAAGCAAGAGCAATTGCCAAACTCGAAGAAGGTTGGTCACTAAGGCAAGTTGCTGCTGATTTGAACGTGAGTCATATGTGCATATGGAAGATTAAACAAAGATGGGATAATTTTCACTCTATAGCACGGTTGGGCGGTTCAGGAGGGCAGAAGATTTCCACAGATCAACAGGATGAGATGTTAGTAGATTATTTGAGAGAATCTACTTTTGCCACAACTCAAAAGGCAAGAGAAGAGGCAGCGTTTCCAGGCAGTATTCGCACTGCACGTCGAAGAATTAAAGCAAGTGGACTGCTAAATTGTGTAGCTGCACGGAAACCTTTTTTGACTGAGGATCACAAGAGGAGACAAGTTGAATTTTGTAATGAATTTATAAACCGCGATGAGAATTTTTGGTCTAGGGTTGTATTTTCCGATGAAAAAGTATTTCAGTCGTATAATAATGGTCGAATAAGAGTTTATAGGCCGAGAAATCATAGGTATGATGAACAGTATACGCATCATTTAAGAAATAGTGGAGGATTCTCTGTCAGCGTATGGGGATGGATAAGTGCCGAAGGCCCGGGCGTTTGTTATCATGTAGAGGAGAAGTTAACAGGATTATATTACAAACATATTATTGAGCACACAATGTTTCCATCGGTGATCCAGAGATTCCCCAACAACGACTTTATCTTCCAACATGACAATTGCCCGGTGCATACGAGTAGAATTGTTCGAGAATGGCTAGAAGAAACTGATGTTAATGTTCTTCCGTGGCCTTCCCGTAGTGCAGACTTTAACCCCGTCGAAAATGTGTGGGCAGAGTTAACAAAGAAACTAAATGAAAGAAACCTTAGACCACGGAATAGAATTGAATTATGGGAAGCAATTGAGCAGGCATGGGAAGAGCTTGTTAACTATAACATGAGGGGATTGGTGCTATCTATGAACAGAAAACTGCAAAATTGTATTGACAAGAATGGGGCTTCCACCAAATATTAATTATTATTTATCATTGTTTATCGTTATTTAATATAAAATAGATTTAAAATAAAATGCATATTAAAAAAAAAGACTTCTTTATTTTCGTTATTAAGATCATAATCCATTTTATTCAAAAAAACTGTTTTCTATATTTTTCATTTTGTAAAATATTTTGATATTTTAATTTTAATCTACCTATTGTAGCTAGTACACCACTGGCAACGTCACTTTGACGTAAAAGGTGCGTTTAAACGAAGTAAAAATTTAAAAAATGGGCTCCTAGATACGTGAACCTGTAAACTATTCCGTGACCGCAACTGTACCTTTTCAATCACGCACCTGAAAAAGTTACTATATAATTGTAGCAAAACTTTTTCCATCTAATTGGAAGATGACCGCAATGTTTCACTTGTAGTAGCCAGTGGTGTTCCTGAGGGGTCAATATTTGGTCTCATTGTGTTCTTGCCGTATCTTTCAGACTTAACTTGTAGATAGCAATCCAAATTAGTTTCCAATGCCGATGATTTGAAATTGTATCAGTGTCCAGATATTGTTAATACTTTTCAAAAAGATCTTAACCAACTATCAGTATGGACCAAAAAGTAGACCATCCCAACAAATACCAATAAGTCTGGGGACATTCTATGAAAAACTTTTGAAATTTTACAAAAGTTATGTCAGACTTCACCTAAAAATTACTGTGTCAATATGGTCACTTCAACTACGAAGGAATATTTTTTTTTTTTGTTATTTTGATATATTTGGGAAATTTCACTTGTATTTGTAATCATAGGTGTTCAATTACACAGGCCTACAGTGTTTTTGGTGCCAAAGTGTTTAGAGCTGATTTTAGGTATATTTGGGTGCTGATTCCGAATATGGCTTTAGTTTTGCCCTATCAGTTCTAGTTTTTAAGATATCGTAGGTCATGCCAGCTTTTATGAATTAAGATGCGAATATGCTGATATGGATATACTAAATTGAAATAAAAATCACACAATTAGAAAATACCTATATTTTAAGTCATTTAACTACAATAAAACCCTTTGTACAATGAAACAGATATACAATTAGTTTTGAGAAAAAAACTAACAAAATAGAAAAAAAAACTTTACTTGACGTAACGAAAGCTTCGCTTACGTGATTTCCTGGAATGATCTTTTAAACAGTCTCTCTTCAAACTCCAGCAAAAATCTGCCATCATATGGGTGTCTCATCTTCCTTGATAATGGTCCTCCATGGTTTTTATGTCTTGGAGAAATCTCACCTTGCTCCTCACTTGTGTCACCTAAGTTTTCAGGAAAATAGTCCAGGCGGCTGTGAAGATAATGGACTTTAATGCTCATATTACATCTAAGTGATTGGAAGTTATTCAGCAAACGGATTACCAGCTCAGCATAGTTTTCACTTTTTTGATTTCCCAGAAAATGTTTCATAATGTCCACAAATGAAAGCCAAGTTTTTTTCTCTACTTCATTCATTGACCCCACAAAAGCTGGATCCTTTCTAAGAATTCTGATCTGTGGTCCATCAAAGATTCCAGCTTTAAGTTTTTCCGTACTTATCTGAGGCAGCTTCCTTCCTATGTAGGCGAAGCATGGTCCATTAGAATCAAGTGCCTTAACGAATTGCTTCATTAGGCCAAGCTTAATATGGAGGAATGGTAAGATTATTTTCTCTGGTTCGACTAAAGACTGGGCAATAATGTTCTTTTGCCCAATTACCAAGTTTTTTCTAGGCCACTCTTTTTTAATCCAGTGATGTTTTCGGTCCCTACCATCCCAGAGGGACAAGAAACAAGGATACTTTGTGTAACCACTTTGCTGCCAAGAAGAAAGTTTACCATTTTCAAATCTACCCAAATCACCCAGCGATGTTCGTAGTATTTTATCTTCTATAAAACTAAAGCTATTGTAGCATATTCTTCTTTCATCATGGTTGAATGAGCTGTTGGTATTGAGCCAAACTTGTTTCCTTTGTGAAGCAGAACACATTTCAAACTGCGCTTGGAGGTATCAACAAACAAACGCCATTCATTTGCATCGTAGTTTGGAAGTCCCATTTTCTCCAATAGTACCTTAATGTCCAAACAAAAAGTAAGGTTTTCTTCTTGGTTAAAGAATGGTAGCAGTTCCTTTTCCCTTGTTCTATAAAAAGTAATTTTTGTACCTTGTTCCAGTAAATTTTTATCATTTAATCTTGAAGCCAGAAGTTCCGACGCTCCCTTGGATAAGGCTAAATCTCTAACGAGATTATGTTCAACAATGTCACCTTCATCTTCACAAACGTCAGATAACTTTATTAATACTGGGATCGATAATTCCTCTGAGTGGGCTACTGGGCGTCTGGCTGAAGGTAAATCAAGATATGATCACTTTTGGTGATTGTTTCTATTGGTCCCTGAAATATTGATCAGGCAAAAAGAAGTCATCAACGTGGTTTGTAGGTTCTCTACATACCATTGGCACGCCAAACTTAATACTTTTTCTTTTTCCTGTGGTCCACTGCCGTAAGTGTTCTGTTTTACAAATGTTTTACATACAATATGCGGTGCCCATGTTTTATTTTGAACACCAAAATATCCAAGATATGCACTTTTCACAAAGTCAATCATACTTTTCCTATTTTCTTGTAATATATACTCCCCACAAACGTAACAAAAGACATTAACACAACTTGCACTACTCATTTTTGAATATCAAACCAATATAAACTAGGAAAAGATTTGATACAACACTTTTAACAACTCACAAAAATTGGAGGTTATGTACATTTGTTTTGAATATCTAAACAGAATTGACTACAACAAAGGCAACAATATCAGCAGTAAACATGAATGACTATACAATCTAGCGGAGACTTATTGAAATAATTTTACTAACTGGGCTTAGTCATCGAGAGATAGCAGCACTAATAGTGATTTTGAAGTACCTAGTATTTTATTAGGTGGAGGCCGAATGGGTTTACAAATACAAGTGGTAAACGTATCATTTTAAAAGTTTAAAAATACTTCCCAAGCTGTTTTATTTGCTTATAAATAGTACTGTAACCTGTAACGACATTAAAGTATTATTTTTTGCATAAATAAGGCATAATACAGTGAGAACAACAAATATACTGAGCAAGAAGTTAAATTAATAATCTATATTCCTTTGAATAGCATATTCTTCATTATTTCAAATATTAAAACTACTAATTTCGGAATGTGCCATATTTATAAAACTACAGCTGATACAAAAAAAAACGGAGTCCATATTTCGATTTATCGCCCCTAATATAGTAAAAATCAGCTTAAAGATGCACGGCACCAATTTTTTTTTTCTGTAGGCCTGTGTTATTTATATTAGTACAGTGGGGATTTATTTTGTAGTCTGAGCCACATAAGCTTTGTTTTTTGGCAAGGTATTTTTTTATTGATAAACTATTTCAATTCTTACATGTAGTATCCTAATCACTAGAGGTTAGGAAGTGAGATATTCTTGAATTGTGCAACGAATATCATTCACTATCTGGTTTTCTTTGTTTCACTTCTTAAAAAACTGTTACTTCCAACGTTTTATAGAGAGCGACATATTATACAGCAGAAGACACCGTTGTCTACCTTTCGTCTCTAAAAATCTCTCTCGTTAATACGTACTACGACAGGTTTCGTCTTAATTTGGCACTGCCTGATGAATCTCAATCAAGACGAAACATGTAGTGTGAAAGAAGACAGACTTTTAGAGATAAAAGTCAGGCATTCATGCCTTCCGGGTTTATTGGATTCGATTTGTGAAAATAATGCTCTCGGAAGGTTCGTTTTTGACTAAAGTTGCTTTTCGAGAACGTGTAAGTTGTACACCATTATTTTCCTATTATTTTTAAGCACATGCTCATTCATGAATTGTTTCTGTTCCAGGTCCTTCATGATTTAAAGAAAATTGAGTCTAGTATAGACCTACTAGGCAACTGACTTACCAGTACCTTAGACACTAAGACAAATAATAGCGTTACACAAAAACATACATACAACAAAACCATACGAAGCGAAGTAGTTGAAAACAAAAAACTTTTGTCGCCGAAATTTTGTAGAATATTGAGACGGCAAAAGATTTACACTGAAATAGAAGAAATCAAAATAATGAACCACTCAGACGATCAAAATTCTTCCAGTGAAATATTAAGTTCTTCCATTTTTAGTGATACGTTTCTGCCATACAGCGACCTCTATTTTAAGCATAATCAAACATTGCCTAATGCGGTTGTAAGTTTAAGTAAGTTTATACAGAGTGATAATTTATTATTAAGCAACGATTCTCTAATTTGTTCGTCTAATTTTGTGCCTTTTTACCAAGAGGTTCCCAAATACTGCATAGGAATATTAGACAGCAAACACGGACATTTGTCATATAAGGAATTAAAATGTTCTTATGATCCTAGTAGTTACGATTCATACGTTCCTATATTTTTATCTTTACCTAACAATAATCTCTTCAAAACTTTTACAAATAATTACATATCTCGCCGTACAATGGGTCTGTCGAAGAAACGAAGACCGACAGTGCAGAACTTGGATGAAATCATCCCGATGATGGACGAAATGTACCGAAACATCGAGCACAGTCCGCGTCAGCACGAACCGGAGCCGTATTTGGAACGAAACGTGCTGTTGCTGGATCCTTTACTGCTCGATTTGAACGAACGAAGAACCAAGCTGCAGATCAGTCGTTCGGAACACAAGAAGATTGTACGGATCACTATAATGTACGTTTTAGCTTTCTTTGCACTTGCACTGGTGACGTTCTTTAGTTTATATTTACTCTAAAATTTGATAATAAGAGACTGCTTACGTGCCATTAGTTGTTAAAAGATATTTATTTTTATGTTAAATTTGTTTTTAAGTGCTGTTAAACTTTATGTATACTGTTTACTTTTATGGATGTATTGTTAAATTCTATTTAAATTATACATTACTGAAGTCGAAGTCTTATTCTTTAATCTGTTGTGTACAAAATAACCAACACTATGAGGTTTTGTAAATTCAATTTCCCTGAGAGCTGTTCCCGAGATAAACAAAAAAACTAATTAGGTCACTAACCTAAAAAAATTAACGAACTTGATTTAAACTGTCATACTTTACTGAGCATCTCCAGCAAGACGGAGAGAGAAAGAGCTGCAACGAACGAGAAATAACAAAACAAAAGTATAAGTATCCTGTGTGCTTGCTGTATTCAAAATTTAGCTATTCAAGCACGTGTGCCCAAAAAGCTCAATGTATAGGGTCTTAATTTTGCACTTTCTATCTTTAAATAATGCAAACTGTGTGTGAGATATCATCAAAATTTTTGCTTCGTTTAAAATGCTCAATGCCATTATGTATGGAATGTAAAATAGTTCAAATGTCCACCGCGCAGGTTCGTGGGTGGCGCGCATCCGAAATGCCTAATTTTCCATAACTCTGGCGCATAAATTAGTCAGACTTTGACCGATAGCTGGATTATGTTCGCTTTGAGGGACGCTATGGTTTACATGCATAGACCTGGATTTAAGAAAATCCCACAAAAGTCTAAAGCGGTCAAATCGCACAATTTCGGTGGCTAGTTCACATCACCATTACGTAAGATGACCATACCCTTAAATCGCTTGTCCCAACGTCCAATGTGGCACGTAGTGCCGTTTACTTGAATGTCGTTGGTATTCATATCATCCAATTTTAGGCCAAAATAAGTTGATAATCATCGATCTATAGCCTTCGACGTTGCAGTGATGGCCTAAACGTCGTTATCAAAGAAATATAGACCGATGATGCCGCCAGTACAAAAACAACACCAAACAATAATTTGTTCAAGATGCATTGGATACCAAAATCAACAATATTGTTTGTTGACGTACTCATTCATCCAAAAAGGGCCTCATCACTGAAATTTTTCGATGCAATTTCGAGCTCATTCAGTGATCGCACGTCATTGTATTCGGTCGTGTACCTTCAGCTCCTGGGCCAGTTGAACTTTGTACGAGTGCAGACCCAAGTCACGACGCAGAATTCGTCAAATTGTCATCTGTGAAAGGCTGAGTTCTTATGAGCGACGTAAAATCAACTGCCTCTGATTCTCCTGCACATTCTCACGGATAGTGTCGATGTTTTCGACAGATCTTGCGTTTCGTTAACGTATGGACGTTGGTTGATTGTTCACTGAACCAATAGACTGAGATTTATCCCCCACACTGTGAATAGTTTTCTCGGTAGAACGATTATGGCGACCGTAATATGGTGCGGTAAATTTAGTACGTTTTTTGCAAAACGTACTAAATAAATGACAGTTTGACAAATCAATATGCTCGATATCAAATGTCAAGGTTCGGAAGTCCCTGTAGTCACTACATTTAATTTATTGTTTAACACTATGGCGAAACGTACTCTTTTAATAGATTTGTTTGGACATGACGTGCTACTAGAGGAACTCAAACTTTCGAACCGATTGCAAACCAATAAACTCAAATTATTTCGTCGAGGATGAGTTCCAAAAGAAACATGGCTGCAACCCTTTAGGGAATATTCAGAATGAACACAGTGTTAATGGTAATATTATGTTCACGTGTAGTATACAAGGTTTTTTGATAAAAATCGCAAAAAATTTTATTTATCAATGTTTAGTGCCCTTCAGATATATCCAAACAGTTTTCGTAGTCTTGAGACATTCACAGGGAGCAAATCCGGTGAATAGGGTAGCTGGTGCATAATTACCGTGATTGTTTTGGACAAAAAAACATGAACAATCAATGGCAATAACTGTTCCACAATTCCGGGCGTTTTGTTTTCTTTCAAATACAAATAATATTCCTTATTGGCCGTACGACATTCTAGTAAGAACTTTTAATTGAAAAAAACAATCAACAACACTTTCATTATTGACTGAATTTGGTCTTCGCTATTCTGGTAGCTTCCAAAGGAATGATTGGTCTTTAGTTTCATCGTCATAACGATATAGCCTAATTTTCTTTAATGTTTTCATCGGTTGTTAACATATCGGCCACTTGTGAAGAAATTGTAGCACTTGTATACATTTCTTGCACAAAGTAGATTCGCCAAATGCTAGTCAATATTGCAAATACCATTACACTGTTAAAGTAAAATACCAAAATGGTATTCAGATGCTTTCACACAACGAGGATACGTTGTATGCTTCTCTCTACTTCCATAGTGTAAGCCGTACCTATTTTTCCTAAACTGCATAAGCACTAATCTTACAACTACCTGTGGCTTTCTTAAAAAATATCTCCTTTGTCACGATCGTTCTTTGATATTCATTTCTAAAATAAAGTACACTGTTTTATGTATCAATTTATTAAATACAAATATAAAGACACTAATTCGCTAGCTGTAAACAATAAGTGATTTTACCTTAACTCTAATTGAGTATGTGTAAAATTGGCTATATATTTCACAGTAAAAAAAATAAATCGAATGATTTTTTTGACTAGTAACACAATGTGAAATATGTCGATAATAGTTATAAGAAATTCAACAATTTGACAAGGTAATAAAATCAATTAGTACGTCGGGCAATATTAGCATAATGACTAGAATATCTTACACACTTCCGTGGTCAAATACAACATCCACTGTTGGTGGAATGAATGAGTATAAATAATAAATCTGGATATTAATATTAATCGAGAAGTGAATAATCTGAAAGAGATAAGATGTTTCAGACTGATAATGTCATTATTGTTGATTTCCTCGCGGATAAGTCCTATAATTTATTTTTTTATAATACTAAAAACATTTTAAAATCTGGAATGGTACTAAATACAGTTCTTTGTAAAAAACATACAAATAATTTAAAATGTACATGTCTTTAAAACATTCTAAATCAATTCGAAACATATAGACGCCACAGAACAACAATAGGACATTGATAAAATATTAAACGAAATCCTAAAGTTACTACTACTATCAGACGTCCTATGTTACTGTGAATCGACGATATATTATAGATTTGTCTATATTTGATTGCACTAATGTCAACTTAAAAAATAATTAAAAGTATATAAATATTATTTTTATCAGAAAGGAAACAGCATGAATATGAATGAGATCATAAATATATTTAACAGGATCATTACATTAGACACAGATGACTACCAAAACGAAATCTTGAATATCCATGTCTAAAATAAACTCCACGAACAGAAAATTCAATTTTTAGCATACTAAGATGTCTATTATGATTTTCATCTGTCAACTGCCACGTGTCATTTCTCTGTGACATATAATAACAGTAAATAAACATTCCTATTCTGTTATCTATAAAGTTATCTCTAGTATGACATTCAGAATAGGCTGGTATAATTTGTAATAGTATTCATATACCATTACAAAGTAAGTATAGCAAATAAAGTATCATATCGTAAGAATAAAAAATTAAAAAACAATATATTACAAGATAGGCACTGAAATATGACATTACAATTAAACATATGCCAACGTTTAATTGATTAATATTTTTCCATAAATCTGATATAACAGTTGAAAATCCATTGTAGGTACTTATGAAACAAAACAGAATAAAATGAATTAGATATATAATAGTATAACAGCTCCAAACATCATCAAATAACAAACTCTTACACGCAGGAATGAATTCAAGCTACAAATAGTTACAAAGTCACTTAAAACGATTAAAATCAAATCTTGTAGATTGCCTAATATCACAACTTAATTATCTAACTTACATAATTTGAAAATAGTAAAAAGGACATATTGAATTTTTAAGTTTAAACACTATACTGGGACATTTAGATGAAACAAACGTTAAATATAGAAATTAAGTCCTAATAAATACAATTCTGCTTTTTATAATCTGGTATGGATATTTACAATTAAACTAGGCTATGATCTTTTTTAATAACCAAAAGTAGCTGTTTGACTTGTATCACATTAATGGTATGATCCTGCCACAAACAAGGAACCTCTTATCTCTGATATAACCCAAAACAAAATTGGGTTTACTCAGAAGCGATAAAACATAGTAAAGAAGTGCGAAACGCATTCAATCCCACCCAAATAATATGACCTCTTACTGCTGGATGCTGCGGAAACATGAAATCTTACAGAATCTAATGTTACCTCCACATTCTTGAATGTTGCATTTTAGTTGAATTTTTAACAATAAACTCCATTAAACTTGTATATTGCAACTATATTATGGAAAAGAGAAAATGTAGCCTTCTCCTACTAATAATAAAACAAAGAATCGAGGGTAAATGAGAACCTGGTAGAATGATATTTAACACATTTTTTATCGGTAGCCAACAGAGTTATGTGATGGATATAGAGGATGTGAACTGGAAGAAGAAGAAGCCATTCAATCTTGTTTGTCAAATTTTTCTAATTGATTGATAAAAGGCCAGATTTAGAGTCTAGAGAATTAAATCTCATGATTTGAGAATCTTGGTCAGTCGACCTGAAACATCTGACACTCTATTCAGATTAGCAGACAACATGGTCCTTTGATAGCTCTGGAGAAGCCTAGAAGATAATCGAGACAAATTAGGGATGTCATTAGACAGTATAGACCATGGTTTGAGTCTCATAAAGCTAAGAAAGTAGGTGCCACATTTCACATTGTAAATGAGACGTAAGTTAATCAATTAATGATGATCTTAAATCATAAGAGAGGCGTAGGAGTGATGTAAACCCAGTACTTTCGACTGGTACGGACACGAACTAATAAAGTATTTGGATCAGTTAGTTGGAACCCAAAAAAATGTTGCTCCTAGTTTATCTCCAAAGCGATAACACAATAAACACAGATTATTAATTGTAACTTTTTGGACCAGTTGGATGCAAAAATTCGTGAACAAAGAACAGATTTGCAGAATAAAAATCTAATTTTTTTTTCAAAACAAAGCATTCTCTCACACAGCTCACAAAATCATCGACAATATCAGAGAATTACAGTACAAATTGTTGTAACCTCCACCCTATTCACCAAATTGAGCGCCCTCCGGCCTCTGAGAGTCATATTTTTACAATCCTCCAGATGCTCACTTCAGTTATAGAATACATAAATTGGAATATTGCTGGAACGGCTGTATTGAAAATCAGGAAGATTATATTGCATAATGAAATGTATTTCAAACCTTAATATAGTGATTTTCTATAATATTACTAAAAACTTCTGGTTATTAAAATAGACATAATACAATTTATCATATTTTACAATAAAAAAACTTAACAATCAACAAAGTAGGGAAAATAAGGGTTGCCAAAAATAAAGAGAGTTGCCTTTATAAAGTAGAGCTTCTATCTGGCCCAATTTTGAGATTTCATAGTATTACAATTGCAGAAATATACACTAATATTTATACCAGATATTTATATCAATTAGATATTTATTTGTTACTGTTTTGTTTCTCTTAGGCATGTAATAACAATAGGGAAAGTGGTCCACATTGCAGTGTATTAACAGAATAGATTTAGAGAAGTTGTAGATTTTATCTTGAACCGTGATATTCAGTGCATTTAAGGTAAGTTTTCATGTTTAATTTATTGCTTAGTTTTAAAGGAACATTTTGAAATAGAAATTTCAGTCCCAGTGAAATTGAAAATAAATTATTTACTTTTTATTATGTCGAAAAAACATAACCTCCAAACGGTAAAGAGTATTTAAATTTAATTTAATATTATTTTCATAGCCGTTGGTGAAGTTTCGGCTGACTTTTACGGTAAAGAGTCGACTGGTAGAAGAATGTTTCTTATGTTAATTTTCAACACATATTTACCTTCTTTAGTTAAAAGAGAGTAGTGATTATTATAAAATAATTTAAAAATACCAGTTTTTGATTGATCCTTGGGAGTTTATTTATGTTTGGCTTCTAAAGGTTAATATGCCGAATGTGGACTACTTTCCCCTAACATGCTTTATTTTAAGTAAGTAAAATGTCATATACTCTTCATGTATCAGTAGTTTTTATAACCGTCCCGGTTGTGATAATGAGATAATGACCCGAAGATGCACCGTAGTAAACTCAAGGTTAAGTCAACAGGCCATACCTAACTTTAGTGGGAATGAGCACATCTCAAAGTACAAGCTAGTGCATAAATGCATTATTTTCAATGATAATAGTATATGCATAATACAGAGTAGAAAAAAATAGACGCATAGTAAAATTAGGACATTCAGTTTTATTGTTATCTTCGATAAAGTTTTGATCGCTATGTACAACTTAAAATTAGAATTACAAAGTAGGCAACCAATAATACAGATAGTCAGTCGCGAATTTGCCAGCATTTTACATTTCTCGTATTGTGTGCTCTGATTGACCATGGAGTTGTGTTAAGTTCGCCAATGGGTTGAGGTGTCAAACTACCACGGCTTCCCACATAAACAGTGACAAAATGAGATTTTCTTAAAACGTTTACAAAATCTTCCCATCAAAGTTGATCGGCTGAATACCTGATAATATACGAATATGTAAATGTCTGTGTTTCTTTGACAGAACTGATCTGAAACCTAATAAATTTTCTTGTAATGTACTACAAAAAATGTTTTTCTCAATCTTCTGTTCAATATTCTTATGTACAAAACTAAAGGCTATTTTTTTTAAATTCTTATTTCGATTAAAAAAGAATTGGAGATAATAGTGGACACATCGACACATATAGTGAGAGAAACGAGACAATACTAAGTACCGTTACAGAAGTGAACTAAAGGAAGCGTTGCTCAAGTAGCAACGCTTCTAGTCATTTTAGTCGTAGCGTAGTCATTTTAGCTGACCAGTCAAATATCTGCTATTTTACTGAATATTAAATAAGCGCAAATTTATTGAAGATACTGTGGAGATTTTAAAACATTTTTCTGTTATTTATATGTAAAAAATAGTTTTTATTAAAGAGAAGATCTGCATTATATTTATCTTATACTCTGAAAAACAAATCACATCGAAAGTGCTTCTATGTGCATAGCCACTTACTATTGAAAATATATCTAAACAACTCTGACAAGATCTAAACATCGTCGAAAATCCCTCGCGGAGGCCCGCCTACCCTGTTGTTCCTATAGAAACCATCCAACTGAAAAGTGTTATCCGAAAATCTCGGATCTAACTCGTTGGAGTTCATCCGTTCGTTTATTCTCGTACTGGCCCCGAATCGGGAGTCGATGTCGTCCTCGCTGGGCGGAAATCGGGTGTCCACTTCGGAAGCAAATCTAGTGCCGTTGTAGGAATCTAAACCGTGCGAGTCTCTGAGAACTGAGCGACTTGTGTCCAGGTCCTCCATTTGCCGCACTGAAAATAGCAATTTATACAGTTTTTAAAAAGCCTGAAAAATCGAGAAAAATATTGGTTTGCTTAAAATATTTCAAAGTTAAAAAAAATTAAAATAATTCAGATAAGTCGAATAATAAACTACAAACATTTCGAAGAAGTCCTTTATCTTTGGATTACCTATATTGAACAAAACGTAAGATATGCATAAATTATTTTCTTTGTTAAAATATATTTGAGTGACGTGAGGAGCTTAAGTGAAATCTTAGACAATGGAAGCGGGTTTTCCAAATAAATTTATGCAGTAATTAGGACAATAGAATAGATTTTAGAAAGATATGTTTTTGTTAGTTCATAAGAATTGGTAGAAAAAGATTGGTTTGTAAATAATGTTCGGAAATTTTATAATTGTAGGTAAAAATTTGTTTGTGTTATCGAAATGAAGAAATGGGAGATGTATGACACGTTTTGATTGGATGAGATTGAAAAAAGGTGGAATGGTTGGTTTGAGAATGAGACTCCAGTTAGTTTTTGAAGAAAAAAAAAGATAGTCAATTGGTTTCCAAGGGTGCAAGGCGAACGGCCGTTATTATCGGATAGTTTCCCAGAGGTAGGAAGCAGTAGCAGTGAAAGTTTGTGAGTTTTTTTGTAGTTAGTGTATCTGACAGAAGCTGATCCAGTAAAAGATTGTAAGTCATATTTTTCTACTTATATTCCAAGAGTCACTGTTCAGGCCAACGAGAGATTCAGTTTATCGTAAAGAGAAGATATTCCAAGAGTCATTTTTCACTCAGGCCAACGAGAGATTCAGTTTATCGAGAGGAGAAGAGGCTAGCATAATTTGAACGATTCGTGCATTTGAAGGAGATCATTAAGGACGATAAACTTGCAACAATTTGTTGTAAGATTGCTGATTACCTAGGGAGCTGCTAAGAATAGATAGTGTAGGCTACAAGGAACAAGGATTTGGACCACTCATCATCATAGAGAGATAGTTTTGTTTTTCTGCAGTTTTTCTTTTATTGATAACACAATTTTTACAATTACTTTAGAAAAGATATAAATATTTTGATTAGGAGATTTAGAATAATAATTGGGATTTTGAGATTTTAACTAATATTGTTTGTACCATTAATTTTGAAGGTTCACGTACGTAGAACAAAATTTTGAGAATCATTATGAGATATTGTTTATTGAAAACATTTGAGTGTGAATTTTATTTCATTATATTTATTTCAATATATAATGTTATATCATATATGTTTTTTATTATTCCGGTATTCTTTGGACCTTACCTTTCACATGTAAAGCATAGATATTGAAGCACGAATATAACCCTGAGATAAGAGAATTAAAAAGTGTGATAGAATCATAATCATATCATTTAAATAATTTTAATTAATTAATTAATTAATTAATTAGCTAATTAATTGCTTGGCGCACTAAGACTTTGAATATCACAATAATACAGATCACGACATTGTTTTATTGACCATACAACACAATGGCAATCGCTGTGACATGTTACACGTTTCCACCTCTACATTCATTTCACAGTAGGTACGAATTGTCGTAATTGTCACATTGACATTAAAAATTTTAAACGAAATTCCGAAAGAATAGACAAATAATTAATAAAATACCTATTACGTTGCATACCGTCCAAGAAAAAGTACCACTTGTAACATGGTACTTTCAGGATCATTCGATACGCGAAGTAATTGTTGCCTTCGAAAATAGACATCCACCAAGTGTTACAACAGATAAATATACCATTAAACATGTTCAAACTTCGGAATGTGTAAACAGTTGTAAAAAGTGTCATAAAGGTAATGAACCACGTGTTAGACCTGTCCATGAAGAGCCTCAAAACAGGGATATTGATATTTGTGCTTTTGTGGAAGCTAGTGAACCCTGCAATAGTGTACAAATTGCTAGGGAAGTTAACGTGAATGCTCGAACTGTCCAGCGAGTTCTCAAAATGAATGGGTATCATTATTTTAAGATACAACCAAAACAAGAACTGTTTTCGGAAGATAACTTTAGACCGATGGAGTTTTGTGAATTTATGTTAGATAAACAGAATGAAAATGTACACTTTTTAAAAAATATTTTATTTTCTGACGAATCCTCATTTTTATTACATAAAAAACACAATCCATCCGTTGCAAGGTATTATTCTCGGAAAAATAAGCACCTCAGTGTTGCAGTGCGAACGCAGCATTCGCAAAAGTTAAATGTTTGGACTGGAATGTTAGGCAACCATATTGTCGGTCCATGTTTGATATATGGAAACCTAAACGGCCCAAATATTTACAACTTTTACAGAATGAGATCATTCCGGCAGTTTCTCCATTCCATCTCGTCATCTGTGACGTAGACACTGCACCGAGGAACTCGGGCTAAGCCTTGTTGAAATCGATTTTCCTTTCAACTCACTTCACAGAATCGTCTCAAAAAGATTCAACAAGCCTACCAGAATGGTCCGCATGTTCCTCGACTCTGAGGAGTACTACACGGACGCCTTGATCAACGGCATCTGCATAGATGGCTTGATCAGGCCATGTGAGGCTCCTCACAACCCCAATATAATCAAACCCACCGCCAAATACTGCAGCAGATGCTGCCAAAGCGGCCACGAAATCTCAGAGTATCGGACGCGACAGACGACTTGCCCTAATTGCGGTAGCGGCGAGCACAAAAGTGCCGACTGCCCTAATATGAAAAACCCTAAGTGCCCAAACTGCAAGGGAACACACCCAGCTTGGTCACTTATATGCCCCAAAAGGCAGGAGACACCTTCCTCGCATCAAGAGGCAAAACCTCTTACCACTGAGCGAAGGATTCCTCCTGCGTCACTCACAGCAGACGTTAGGTTGTGGATACAGTTCACGACCACTCTGCTGATGAACATCCTGTCAGATAGGAGAGAGACCATAGCAAGGTACTCATCCGACCTGTCGGGTAAGATGTTTGGGCACTCTATTGTGCCCACCTCCAGAAACAATAAGACCGAAATGACCTTCGTCCCCATCCAGTAAGTCGCTACATTCAACTGTGTAATAGGTACGGTCAACTGTTCGGGGGTCGGTCGAAACAGAGCACTAATAAAACATTTACTTTTTTCCCAAAACATACAAATCCTCTCTCTCACCGACACCCGACTTAAAACTGCCCCTAATTTCACAGGATACACCTCACACCACTTAAACAAACGCCAGGCCAGTCATGGTAATGGTCTATTAATACACCACTCTATACCCTCCACACCTCACACTCCTCCCCCTCATATATTAGGCCAGCTCCATGACACCGACTTCCTGGCAGTTGGCATTCACCTACAAGACAACACCAAGATTACGATAATATCCTACTACCAGCATCCAAACACACCCCTTTCCCTACCCCTTGTCGAGTATTTTTCCACGCTAGACAAGGCGCAGGTGTGTGAGGTGTGCAATGGGCGATCTAAACAGCAGGCACACTCAGTTTGGTGATACAACCTCAAATATTCCAGGCAGACAGCTCTCAGACCTTCTTCTAGAGCTGCCAATCTCCAGAATCACCAATCGACAGGTCACGTTCTTCAATCATCAAGGAATGTCCATTGTTGATCATATCTTATGCACGGTTAACCTGCTTGATAGGATCGATGATGAATGCTTCAGTATTTTGATATTTTAGAATCTTTCCCCGTCTATTATCGCAGATAAACTGCGCACCAAAAACGCTGATAAAGAGCCGTTCCTACTGTATGGCTGGTAACCCTGAAGTACCTCACTGCATGCTAGGCAAACCCACTTCTTCTTGTGCGTTCACGATTCTTATCGATCACAAAATAAGCCACCTTCTTTTCCCCTCCTTTCCTTAGTAGTTCTCTACTTCTTAGGCCGCGTTTCGTTCAGTTGACGTTTTTCTCGTAACCCCCACAACTCCGTCAAAAAAAAAAGGAGTTCCCCATTCCTTGAAGAGGCGTAAGCCTAAACAAGGTTAAAACTCGAGGTTAGTTAGTTAGTAGTCCGGCAGTTCGACGCCTTCCCGATAATTTTTAGGAGGTTTATTTCCAACAGGATGGGTGTTCAGCTCACAACTCTAAAGCAACTATTGACTTCCTCAATCAAACGTTTGCGGATCGACTTATAAGTACACGTGGTACAATTAAATGGCCTAAAAAACATTTATAGGCATCAGTTTGAAAGGGCCACAAGCCTAGTCGAATTAATGGCAAAAATACTTCATTTCTCTGCAAGCATTACACCAGCCCTACTCCAAAATATGAGGAGAAATCAATATATTATGAGATCCCTCTCCGGACCTTCTTAAGTCGTGATGTATTGTTGTGTTTTGAGCATATCAAACTTATTGTCTGCTATTTGGGACAGGTGGAGGACATTTGAGGATGCCTATGTTCAACAATAGACAAATTGGAGCTGATTGATGATACTTTGTATCCGGGACAGGACATATTTACATTCGAACTATACCAAAGATTAAACAGTGACGGATAATAGTTAATGGTTAAAATGAAATAATTTAGATAAAATAATTTTAAATAACGAATTGAGCAGTCAAAAATTTGCACATAATACCTTACTATTTAATTAGAAATATTTATTGTTACAATTGTACATAATATATAAAAAAATAAAGTACTTACCGACTTGAATTGTTATTCACTTTGATAATATCAAATACTAATTTATCTAATTCATTATATGGAGCTTACCTATCTCGGTACTGTTTCTAGGCTGCCTAAATCTTCCCGTTGACGGGAATCTTTCATTGTATTCCCTGCGTCTAGTTGAAGATTCTTCGGCTCTCTGTCTTCTACGCTTTTCTAAAAATATGTACGGTCTATGTGAATCAACCACTTAACCTAACTAGCTGATAATATCCGATAAATATTTTGACATAATTTTGACTGAAATTTCTATTAGTCATTACTTGAACGGAAAGTCACATGTATCTTATATTTTGAGATATTTTTACTCACCTCGTTTTACCAATTCTCTACCTTCCTCTACTAAATCCGTAGTCATTTCGTCGTCTCCGATGAATTGATGAAATCCGACCATTGACAATATTCTAGATCCTAGACTAAAATACGTAGCAAGACAAAAGGCAAGTATAGCCATGGGGAAATAAATATTAAAGCCATGAGAAATTATGCCGATGATATCCATGTGACCCATGATCTAGAATCAAACATTAAGATTCATAAATCACTATCATATTCTAGTTACACAGATAAAAAATTTTAAGTACACTAAAAGTATAACAAATTTCGAATCAGCTAGTACAATTAGAAACATTTAACAAAAGTCACAAACCAAGAATAAATGCAAAAGCAAATACTAACCTTCGTGTAGGAAGTTTCTGAGACGTCAGTGTGGAGTACGTGGCTGTCCATATGGATCAAGCTGAGGAAATTCAAACACAGTGGTGGAGTGAGCCGACTCAGCATCATTCCTGAGAATATTAGACTGTACTCATTCGTTTGGTGGTGAGGGGCAAGGTAATATAAATTGAGGACTCTTATTTTAAGTACTGTAGAAAATGCGCAGTAGCACATATATAAGATTGTTATCGTTGATAATATCTAAAAAATAAAATTAAGTTTTGTTATTAAATTATTAGGTTAATATTAGATATTAGATGTATTAATAATAGATATTTATTAAAAATCCTTTTTTAAGAAAGTTTACATCGTTTGGAGTACCAGAAATTAAATTCACTACGAATTTTGACCATGATGAACGGCATGTGGAATGCAATTTTAGATTCCCTTGCCGAGTAATTTATCAAGCTGTTTGCTTTGCAAGTTTTAGAAAGTCACGGTGGTAAAAATTTGAATTCGATTTGGCCAGGTAGAAATTGTTTGATTTCTCTTTTTGTTTTTTCCATATTTGACAAGTTTTTTAGAGCTCCTGCTTAAATCCATATGAATTATCTCAAATATTATTTAAAAGCTACATGTAGCATTGTTATGGAGTTTTAGCCCAAGCTCTATATGATATAATGTAATAAAGGAATTATACAAGAAATATATATATATATATATATATATATATATATATATATATATATATTATATATATATATATATATATAATAACGGATTGATTACGGCTGTCGCCGCTTCTCCGCCCCCAATTTCCATCTTTTTTTGTCATACGCAGTTGCCTCTTCTAAGTCTCTTGCCACCATTGCTTCATCAATATCGTTGCGCCAACTTCTCCGTGGTCGTCCTCTCTTTCTTCTTTCAGGAGGGATCCATTCCAGTAATCTTTTAAGCCATCTGTACTCTGGCATTCTTTTAACATGTCCGAACCAGATTAATTGTTTTCTTTCTATGTCATCATTAATATTTCGCTCCATTTTCATTTCGTTTCTTATTTGTTCGTTCCTAACTCTTTCTAGTTTCGATCTACCGCAGCTTCGTCTCAGATAATCCATTTCTGTCGCCATAAGTTTATTTTTATTAGCTTTGGTGACGTCCCATACTTCCGAACCGTAAAGTGTAATACTTTGGACTATACTACCGTAAATGTGTTTATTGGTTTCTCATTGTTTTTTTCCAGAGAAGAGAGTTTAAGGCACGGGTCGCTGCTCTACCCTTGTTCATTCTTTCCCTGATTTCATCTGCGCTATTTCCCTTCTTATTGAAAATGACCCCCAAATATTTGCAGGATTGTATGCCTTTGATTTTGTCGTCTTCCAAGACTAGGTCACATATTTCATCTGTTCCCACTGATAGATATTCACATTTTGTCATATTCATGTTTAGACCTGCCACCTCATATTCTTCTTGCAGTTTTCTTACCATATAGCTAAGATCGTAGCTATCTTCGGCAATTACTACCTGGTCATCCGCAAAGAAAAGTGTATATAGCGTGTTTTCTTCCACCGTTATTCCCATGTTTCTACATTTTTTTACCCATTTCACTAAGGATCTGTAGAAAAAGAATTTAAATAAGGTGGGTGACAGACAGCAGCCTTGTCTTAGTCCCTTTGTTGTTTGAAAAGGAGAGGTGACTTCTTGTCCCATTTTAATTCTTGCAAAGTTTTGTTCGTAGTATTTTTGAGTGGTGTTAATAAGAATTGGGTTTATTTTCAAGTGATCCATTTCTATCCATAGTTGGGAGATCGGTACACTATCATATGCTTTTTCCAGGTCTATTAAAGCTATATGGGTTTCTCTATTTCTCTGCACTCGTTTTTCCATTGCAATTTTTAATGTGAAAATATTATCCATAGTGGAGCGCCCGGCGCTAAATCCCGCTTGTTCTTCGGGTTGTTTATCTTTAATATCATTTTTTATCAGGTTTCTCAGTACTTTTGAATATAATCGGCCTATAGTAGCAATCACTGCGATCCCTCTATAGTTTTTAGGATCCATTTTTGTGCCTTTCTTGTGTATTGGAGAGATATACGATTGTCTCCATTCTTCTGAAACTTCTTCTCCGTTTAAGCATCTTTCGAATAATTTTCGGATCATTTCAAGCAGTTTTGATGATCCATATCTAATCAACTCTGGATGTATTCCGCCTGGGCCTGGAGATTTTCTTAATTTCATTCCCTTAACTGCTTCTTTCACTTGTTCTATTGATAGTTCTATTCTTCCTTCTACTTGCACTTGTTCATTTGTCTGTTTAAACCTTTCTCTTCTCTCTGTTAATAAGTTCTCAAAATGCTCTATCCATGTGTTCTCTGGTATTCTATTTATTATGACTTGGTTTTTTGTTGTTGTTCTCATCGTTTTTATAGTTCTCCAGGCTTCAGAGCTCTTTGTCCCTCCTATATGGTTGTCTAGGTATTGGCATTTTTGTTCCCATGCACTATTTTTCTTTTTAACGACTTCTCGTTTGACTTCTTTATTCAAGTTTTTATATTGTTGTTTTGTTTTTTCGTCTCCCTGTTGTAATAACTTTTGATATACTTCCTTCTTTGGAAGAATTGTACAAGAAATAAATAGTGTAAATAAATTTTCCCTACGCGTAAATCTTGTTACAATATTTATAAAACATACATACCTGAATTGTGAAATAATCATAATGACTTGTAGCCGCATTCACAATAACTGCAAATATCGAAAGTGGCGGACTGGCACTGAAGAATGTCACTTCTGACCACACCACGCAGACCGAAAATATTCCAGCTAGAACAGCTAACATTTTTTGGGTATAGCAGTACAGTAGACACTTCCAGTACCATTCGATCTTGGATGTGTAAATGTACCTTCCAAACCAACTGTGTCTCTTTTCGAAGGTTCTTTTAAATACTCTGTCTCGAGATATTTGGTTTTTTAATGTATCTTCTAGCTCGAAAATTTTTTCTACCATTAGATTCCACTGTGTTTCTGTTCTTTGTAGAACTTGTAAGGATTTTATAGTCTGTAAGAAAAATATATTAAAGTATTAAGCATAAGTATGTTACTGGAATTGAACAAGTAAAGTTCAATAAAGGTGTAGAGATTTTTTCCCAAGTTTTGTGATTTAGACCCAATATTAACTGATACGAATCGAAAATTCTGCATAATATAACTGATATACTTCTAACAGGAAATAACCCATAAATAATATAGGTCTTAAGTCTTGGTCATATTCCATACTCACTTGTTTATGAAGTCGAATAAGAGCTTTTTCACTAGGCACATCAGTTGGGGTATCATCGGGCAATTGTCGTCTCTTCATTCTGTCTTGCAATTCTGCAGGGACTTTCATCAATATTGTTTCCAAATAGGGATAAAACGGATGACCAGGTCGCACCGCCAATGAAACCGCCTGCAGAGACTAGAAAATAACAAAAAATTGCTATTTGGTAAAGTCCAAATAAGTAATAGAATACAAATTGTCTGAAAAAGAAAGGTGTAAAAGGGGGTAGTGCCTCATACATACATTTAAACATATAGTTAAGCCTATATTAGCAAGACTATTGAATATATCATAAATACCTTACCTCTAATACATCATCAACAGTTTCTTCTGCCTCACATCTATCAGAGCTTAACTTTGCTGCTTTAAAATAGGATTCAGTTAGTGTTAAACTGTGATTAGATTTATTCCAAAGTCTTCTTGGCACCTCTACTAAGGCATACCCGAATAAGAGAACCAGCAAAAACAATCCCCATGTATTACTAGCAGACGAAGCAATTGCTTTTAATTTATTCCTACAAATAAAAAATTTCAGAAATACATACATTCATAATCCTTGGAGTACAAGCTTACCAATCTAAGTGAATGCCTTTGAGTGCAAGATACACTAACAAAACACCACAGATAAGTAAATAGGATCCATAATAAATAGCATTATCTATTAAAGCAGATTTTAGTTTTCCTTTGATGGAAAAATCTCCAGCTTTGATGTAAGACTGCATCATGGGCATCACCAGCCTAAAAAAGTTAAATTATCTATCTAATAAAAAAAACTTGATGAACAAACAATGAAGTGTAAAACTTCTTGTGTAATTCATATATTTAATTTATAAAAATATCCAAAAGGATTAACAAAATATTCAAAACGTTTTCAGCCTTATCATACTGATCATCAGTGATACCTAAAAGTAAGTAATTCCACTATAATTTAATGCAAAGGGGTAAAATTTTAATTGTTAACAGAAAAACATGTGATATTATTACTTGCAAATTTGCAAAAAGCCATTTACACAGCCAGTTAATAAAATGCACTGAAGAACATTATGATTATGATGATTACATGATACAGTATTGTTCAAATTAATGGAATCACTGTGAATTTTTTTTCATTTTTTCAATATTCACAGTTGGCAACACTACCTACACAGTTGACAGCTGACCAAGCATTGAAAACATAACCTTACTGTGTGTTGGTGTGTTTGAGTGTGTTTTAGGTCATTTCTTACCAAGCTTGTGTTGTTTTGGGGGTTTTTGTACTATTTTGTGTTGTTTTTTTTTATTCCAACATGGATATTACGCCTAGGAAGCGTGAAAAGGTTGTCATGTTGAGTGAACACACTAGTATGTCACAAAGGGAGATTGCTAGAACGTGTGGAGTGAGTCAGGGGGTAGTAAGCAAAATTTTGAAGCGTAAACGAGAAACGGGATCAGTGGATGTGAAAAGGTTAGGAAAATGTGGAAGAAAGAGAAAAACAATACCAGCAGATGATAGATTTTTACTTCGAATGAGCAAATTGGACCCAAGAAAATCAAGCCAAGACCTACAACAAGATCTAGCAGCATCAGCTATAGTGATTTATGACTCAACTGTTCGTAGAAGACTTTTGGAGAATGGTAGAAGGGCAATTCGTCCACAGAAAAAACAGCTTCTATCTGAACGAATGAAGAAACCAAGGCTACTGTGGGCCAAAAAATACTCTAATTGGACTGTATGCGACTGGAGAAATGTCCTATTTACAGATGAAACCCACTTTATAGTTCAGGGACAGTGGTCGAAATTCGTCAGGAAGTCTGACAATGAAAAGCTTACACCATATCATATTGATCAAACCGTAAAAACATCCACTCAAGAAAATGTTTTGGGGATGTTTTTCATACATGGGGGTTGGATCTTTGGTGCCAATTGAAGGCATGATGAACAGCCAAAAATACAAATCCATGTTGGAAAAGTATTTGGACAAACATTCCAAAAATGTCAACCCCAATGAGGAGCGATTCTTCAACAGCACTCTGCTCCCTGTCATAAATCAAAGGAAATGATGGCATTTTTCAAAAATAAGAAGATTAATGTTTTAGATTGGCCCGGTAATTCCCTCGACCTCAACCCCATTGAAAATTTATGGGCCATTTGCAAAGCTAGACTGCGAAAAATCGACTGTACCACTAAAACAAAAATGATAGAAGAAGCCATTCAGGTTTGGTATCGAGATGAAAGGATATCTGACAACTGCCAGAAACTCATAGAATCTATGCCAAAACGGGTAAAAGCAGTAATTGCTGCCAAAGGGGGACATATTTCCTACTGAATGATGTAAGTTTACCTTTATAGTTTTGTCAAAATATAATTTTTTACTAAATGAACTGTTTTTTCATTAAAACAGCCTATGATTCCATTAATTCGCACAATACTGTATACATACTACGAAAAGTAGATGAAGAATATATCAAGTGGAGTTTATAAATTAATCCCTCAAAAAACAGAGTATGTAATGGCGGGAAGTGAAGGAAGGCTCTTAGAACTAGGAGACACATAAATTGAAAATGCTGATAGCTATAAATATCTCTGTGTAAGCATTACAAACGATGGTCGGAATACAAAAGAAACATCAACTAGAATGGCACAATGTAATTCTTCAATATGTTAACTGAAATAACAACATCGTTTGGACCAAAAAATTTGGATATACAGGTATCATAGAAATCATACTTAATTACTCTAGTATCTAGAATATATATATATATATATATATATATATTATATATATATATATATATATATATATATTATATATATATATATATATATATATATATCGAAACCAGAGAATGTATATGAATAAACATTGACATCTTGAAAATCGTAGAATGCAAAAAGTTGAAATGTCTAAAGGAATAATCAACTATGACCAAAGCGAAGTACTGGATCCCGAACAATGCAGCAAAAGGGGTATATCAAGAATATTGTGAAGACAAGAAGTAAATTTTTACATGGTCCTTCCATGTAAATTGTTTTTTAATATATATTTTCATTTCTTTCTATTACTTTTAACATTCTGCTATTTCAATCCCGCTGAAGCATTCAACACAAAACAAAAGTAAAACCTATTATTGATAAGATGCAAGAGAGAAACAAAAAATTATAAAACATCACCAACTACTACTTAAAACTACCAAAACACAAACGAAAATTATCTTTTTTCTTACCATGTTAAAAACTGTGTGCTCCAGTACACTGTACGCCATAAATTTTCAAACACTCTTTTGGGTAAATTAGTCCAAGGAGGTTCACAGTCATTTATGGAAACATTTGTGGGATGCAATGTATAATTTGAATTTTCTGTTGTTATATCGTCAATGTCTTCCTTGCTGCACTGACGATATACAGTCTACAAAGATACATAACTTGCACTAAATTGTTAATATAATTAAATAAATCCAATTATTTTTGAGTTTCACTGCTTTTATTTCTTATTTAGATAGCTGGTATGTTAATGCCCTGTTCTGGGCATAATATTAACTTATTGATATTAGTTTCATTGCGAATAGATAACAAGTTTACAAAATTAGGAAAAATTAAAAATTAATTTTGTAAAAAATGTACTTTTTTTAAATTGAAATAATGAAAATGTGATTTTAAATGTCATTCTCCTCACTAATTTATTAAAATGAATTCACTTAATAGTATTAAAAAAATTTAACTTCAGATAAAAGATAAATATATTAATTAGCATCACATATGAGTTTCACAGAAATAAATATTTAGAAATGTTTTATCGGAAATTAATGGTCAGAATGAGAGGCTAAACAAGAAATCTTCCAGTGGACAAGATTCAATTGTATAGAGGTAATTGGACCTTAAACAATATAATTTAAAAGCTGAGAAAACCAATGGTATTGATGGTTGTTCACAACTGATCCAGGTAGAAGGACCACATCCCTTTCCTTAGAAGAGTAATCATTTTTAAATAGTTTTGTATGTCAACAATTTGTATCCCCCAAAAATAGATTTTAATTACTCCTTTATAAGTCTCATCCTTGTTTTAAACTAACTAAATATTCCTAAGACACAGCAATTCTATAATAGGTAACTTTCTAATTTATTTGTTGACAATTACGTCTGTATTTTTAGGATAAGATAAAATCATTTGTAACCAATTCACTTGAGACTCAGTGTATAGACCAGGGTCACTTACTGACCCAGACCTATAAATCTGGGTCTTCATAAGACATGCATTTCCCATGACTTCAATTTAGTCCAGGGATTCTCAGACTTTAAAAAAAACTTCTTAACTAATAAAGTTAACAAGTTAACAAAAAGTGGTGTTTTAGAAATATAGGTCAGCATTTTCTGAAATAGATTTAATGAAAAACCACTCCAGAAAGTTATACATATCTCAGATGTATTTAATTGTAGCCATATCAAAATTCATCTTGATTGTAATCCATTATTTTGTAGATTCTACCCCATAAAAAATATAATATGGCAGTCAAATTTAAGTTTATTATCAATATGTAGATTTGGGAACTTATTTCCAATCTCAGCTTTGATAATTTCATCCATTTCATTCCATTTAAAGGGAATCAATTTAGTTTTGTACTGTTAGGTAAATGACAAGTGATTGGAATTACACAATTTTTTAATTTTTTGCAGATATTTGCTATAATAACAAACTTTGTAGTCAATAAATTTTTTGTTAACAAGATTAAGTCTATCAACTGTTTATAGCATAAAATGGATGAATTATTTTTAATATTTACTCCATTCCACACCCGATGAACCAGAGTCATGAACACTGATCTCTGGTTTGGGCTTCATAGCCCACTTGCAGCTCTTACAGCTCATACCATCTTTTTTAGGAAGCGTTTTATAACTGGTCATACTTCAGCCAATATTCTTATTGTACATTTTTTATCCATATAACCAACTGACTCAGGTGTTTTGAGTGTTAAAAGCACCTAGGTAGCCAGGGACTGATGGTTGTATGTGGCCTTCAAAGCATGGTAGCAGTTAAATTAGAAATGAAAAATTTCTGGTGCTGTGAAAAATTGAAAAAACTCAGGCATTTATGAAGTTCAGAGACACAGAGCAGTTTCTATTTTCTGTCATTTAAAGTTGATGGCACTATCACTCTATTATGTGGGGCTTTTTCTTAAGAATCTTGCTTTTCTCTCTAGAGTCTGTCTTTAACTGCAACCACTATGTCAAATATAGTGAAATATTCAAAACAGCACTCACACTTAGTATTTTCGAACATAGAGCTAGTTGATGAACCCCAATGAGAAAAATAATAGAAATTCTTTGTTATCTTGACACAATTCAACAAATTGATTTTTAGTAAATATGGATTGCCCTCTCTTTAAACTAGTTTTCAACTCTTGGATCTTTCTTTTTTTTTAACTTTTTTACAGAAAATGATTTTCACATTTGTTTGAAATATAACAACGGAATTGAAGGAAGAGATAAATACCTTAAATTATATATAGACCATAACAAACAATAATTTCTTCTCACAATAATATTAAAATGGTTCATTTTACTTTTCTTTGTTGAACTCATTTTGCGCTTGTATTGTACAGTTAATAGCTTATGAGTCCCATATTATCGCATCACTGTTATTTTATATGAATCAGACTAATTCAATAATTTGGAAGCACAACTCAACACACAATTGGCCTGCTGATTATGATCATGGATATCTGATAAATTCGAAAAAAATGTCAAATTTTTTTATTACTTTATTATTCATTTTACTAACAAAGAAAGCATAGAACATTGCCAATAAATAATAAAATAAATTATCAGGCAGTATTTGGCCAATTGACATCATATCCTAAAGAAATAGCTGAGAAGTAATCTCAAAAAGGTTTGGTTGATTAATAAAATGTTTAACAGACTGTAGATTTCATTATATCAAATAACTATGTCACTCAAATATATTAATATAACAAATAGACAATATTATCTATAAAAATATATCTGTACTTATGTCCTTGTCCTAAATATATATAACAGACTATTTAAAATTGATCATTTGTATTTCATTTAAATCTGAAGTATAAATAATATGTTTTAAATTCTTATTATTATGATCTAAATTAATTTTGTTGGTTTTTAGTAGTTGTCAATATACTTACTGAAATAACATCCAAAGGCAAAGCGAATATAATAAGAAAACTGCAATACCAAGCTAGTAGCACGACTAATGTTACAAATAAACGATGCCTAAACCAATTCCCATATCGGTACAAAACTGACGACGATAATATAAAAGATAACAATATTGTTGATACCAAAGGTGTATAGCTCATTTTGAAATAAAATACAATTTACTAAGAGTACGATCACTTATAACTTATTGTGTGTTATTTTCTTCTTGAACTTTCTGAGCTTCTTGTTGCATCTTCTCTAGTTTTTCCAATGTATAGCTTTTAAGGGGTATCAAACGGGGTTTACAAAATACAAGTCCAGGAACGTCTTCTATTATTACTTGTCCATGTTTCTTTAAGACGGGTTTAAATTGAGTTTGTTCAGAAGACATACTGGGAAATGTCTATAGATTCATAATAATCTGTTTTATATCAATAACATGAAAATCATTAATATAACATATAGGCATATGCAACACCGACTATTTGTCTTGTTGACAGAGTTATGACCATAGATAAAGTTATGACACTGACAGACATGGGAGGTAGGTGATCTGTGGACACTGACTACTATGACTTATGATGACATTACTGAAACATGACAGCTGTTACTTACGTGAAAAAAGTTTCAAGTGGTTTCAAACATCAATAAGAGACTTGATCATTCAGCTGTACAGTAATACCTCTCAAGAAACTAATGCAAAATAACCTATTTGTGGTTCGAGTTATTTGTAGATAATGTTTATGTATATATAATATGAATATATTTATACATATAATTTAACTTCATGTGTGTAAATTTATTAATTTAATTTTTTTCATTTTTAAAATTTCACTACGCCCATGGTGACCTTCACATTAATGCACTTTATTCTTATGCAGTAGTGGAGCTGTCAAACAGAAAACTGTCATTCCTCACTGACATTGACATTGACGGTTAGTAGGAGGCAGGATAGTCTCAAATATATTTATCAGTAATATGAATTTGTGAACAAAAATGAGTGAATTATTTAAATCTGCCTTCGAGTATTTTAGCGGTCCTACGAACGGGCAGATTGAAAACAGTTTTGTGGGACAAACTATAGAAATATCCAATGTTCAACTAAAAATAAAAAAAGTTATTGCAGAAGGTATTTTTAATATTGATTTTTAAACATTTTAAATAAATTAGACACTTTTTAGGTGGATTTGCTGTAGTTTTTGTAGCACAAGATGTAACAACAGGAAAAGACTATGCTTTAAAGGTATTATCAAAGCTTTTTATAAATTACTTATGGTATAAATATCCTTTGTTATAGAGACTGTTAGCAGCTGATGAAGAAAGCAAGAATAATATTATAAGAGAAATAAATATATTAAAGAAAGTATCTGGTCATCCAAATATAATTCAATATTTAACAGCTTCTTTTATTGATAAATCCCAAACGCAACATGGCCAATCAGAATTTTTATTGGTAACAGAACTATGCCCTGGTATGTTTAAGCTGTTGTGATATTTTAGACTTTAGAGAAGATATATCGGAATTTGTCTTTTAGGTGGATCTTTAGTCGAAATTTTGCAAGCACGTACTTCTGCTTTTGATGTTGATTTAATAACAAGAATTTTTTACCAAACATGCAGAGCTGTAGCCCATATGCACTCACAAAATCCTCCCATTATCCATAGAGATTTGAAAATTGAAAATCTTTTAATTAGTGCAGAAAGTAGTATAAAATTATGTGACTTTGGATCTGCTACAACTGAAGTGTATAGGCCTGACATATCATGGACTGCCAACCAACATGCTGGTCTTGAAGAAAATGTATGTACTTAAATACTTCTAATTTAAGTGAATCACTATTAATATTTTTATTGCATTATACAAATATAATATAGTGATGACTGAAAACTCATAAAATTCTATTGTTATTTATTAAAAGTTTAATATTGAATATAATATATATCAATTATTGCTTTTTTACTTGTAATAAATATTTGTTTTTAATGGTGTAAAATGTATTGAGTATCTCAGTTTAATATAAAATCAGTAGATACTTATATGAATTAAACCAAGTTCTAAATTGACATTTCCAAAGGTGGTATATATGTTTTTGACACAAAATATTTAATTGCTTTATTTAGATGGCCAAATTCACAACACCAATGTATAGAGCTCCAGAAATGGTTGATACTTGGAACAATTATTTTGTTGGTACTCCTGTTGATACATGGGCCTTGGGATGTATCTTGTATACCTTGTGTTTTATGAGACATCCATTTGAAGACAGTGCAAAGTTAAGGATAATGAATGCAAATTACAGTATTCCTCCAGATCCTAGGTTCTCTTGCTTTCATGAAATAATTAGTAAGTATAAGGATGATTTGTCCAATTTTAGAGTTGATCATAGATTGCTATAATATGGTACATAACATTAATTATATTGTTTTATATCTACAGTTGTTGCTACATTTGCAGTGACTGTTCAAATGTTGCAGCATTTTCTTTATAAATTGTTTGATAATTTAGAAGAAAATAGATAAAGTAAATACAGATTATAGTAAATTTCTGAGGCTATATTTAGTAGTTAGTAGAAGTAATTTAGTTATAATCAAAGACTGATACCTACCTATTAATTCAACAGTTGTTTTTTTGTCTCATATTTCTAAAGATAAAGAGAAACATTATACCAGCTAATTTGTTATGGAAAATAACTAGATAATGGTTGTTTGGCAACAATGCTTACTCAGCTCAGGCTATAAAATGTATACTTACTTAATTCTTATCATATACCTTACTTAATTCAGGCTTTAAAATGTGTAATTATAGTTTTATTGTTGCAGCTGACATTGCGTTAAAAAAAGAACATTTAGTGTTTATTATTTGAATTGTTGCCAGAAATTTTAGTAGAAAACAGAAATTGTGTAAAAAATACAATTATTAGTGAGTGGTACCCAAAAAAGACATGATGGAGAACTGGCAGTGTATGAGGATAAAAAATATTAATGTTTAACAAGAGAGAAGGGATTGAAGGGCTTTGGCACAGCCAATTAACCAGTAGAAAAAATAGTTAAAGAAGCTAACACACAAGGAAAAAATCTTTTGTTGATATACAGCATATTTAGTTTGATGAATCTATTAAATTAGATTCACCATAAAGATGAAAGAACTCGTCATCCTTTATATATATGTTTGAATTTTACATTCAAAGCAGGCTTAGGAATGCCTTCTGCTCAAGCTGATTTGTGCTCTGTGAGGTTTTTAATTGCCTTAATTACTTATTCCTCTGTTAGGATGTCATATTTCTCTCTTTCATCTTTCATGTTATCCAGCTGTATTTCTGCTTCTTGTGTATTTATCTTATTTCTTATATTCAGTTTCTCTTCACAAGTTAAAGAACACATAAATAAATCACAATGTAGGCTATAAAGGACTAAAATGCAAGCGCACATGAGCTGTGCAATGGTTTAAGTACCTGTTGAAGCAAAATGCCATCTAAAAAAAAACTCAGCAGCAGGCACTTAAACCTATCTGAAAGCCACAAACATAGTAACAGTATATGAGGCTAAAAGAACCTTTTATTTACAATATGAGCAAATGTAGCACGCATAATAACTATTTCAAGAAAAAAGCCACAAAAAGTTCAGTTTTCCAAAATTTTAACACAATGGTGATAATAAATAAAAGAGCATCGTAAAATTGTAATTTTTTAATACCCGTGGGCAGAAAATTATGTACAATTCAGAATTCATATGTGTATCTTGTTTTAATTGTATCTTGGCGGTATGTCCGAGTTTGCTGAAGAAATAGGCGACCAAGTGCTTTCCAATGTCTGCTTATTTGTTACAATCTTTTAGGCCTCTTTTTAATATGTTATACTAGTATTTTTTTAATTTAAATTCATCTACATGAGTCTTTTCATTCAAATCTTTTTAACAACCACATTTGATACTAAATTTACTCAAGTAGAACACATACCCAAACATGCTTCAATCTCATGGTAGTAACATGACGATTTTGCAATGTTACCTCACGCACAGCATCAATGTTTATTAAAGCAACAGTCGATGTTGGTCTATCTTCACGAAATCAGAAATTTAGCAAATAAGCTGTGGAAAATATTGGTTTTTCATCATTCTTAGTTGATAGTTGATAATCTGCAACGTGGTTGCATTAATCGAATTTTTTTTGTCAAGATGACTTTTGCAAGTCTCTGTGACAATGCAAATAGCATTTATATAAATAAAAAAGTTCTGGCCGCAGAACTTATATGTATTTACCTTTGGATGTACAAATTTATTAAATTAAAATAATTTAGAAAAGTGCTCTTTAACTAACCCTGTCATTATTAGGAGGATGTCTGCAAGCCAACCCACAACAAAGAATCACAGTATCAGATATTCTAGAAAGACTTGCTGCCATAGCCGAATCTAACGGTTACGATCTTAAGGCACCCCTTATCTTATCGACTCCACATCACAAAAGCTCAGAACCTCAATCACAGTCTACCTTTTACGATGGACCTTCTAATAACGCTACGAAGGTGCCACCCTCTAGACCTGCCCCTCCAGCTGCAGCTGTTGATGCGTCAAGACCGCCTCCACAACAGGTAATATTTAACACTAATTATTTGTTTACATCTAATCTAATCTAATCAAATGAGTATAGATATATTATGGTAACTAATGCTCGCTAAAATATCATCAAACATAAAGCACTTAACGCAATCTCCAATGAACAGGATGATTCTAAATGGAAATAAAATAGACCTTGTTTTATTAGGATGTGCTTCTAAGAATGTCTGTAGCCAAAGTATTTTTTATAAAGCAACTATTGTAGGTTTGGTTAGGTTAGGTTACATTATATTTGTTTGTTTTTTGCCTTAGGTTTTGTATTATTAATTTAATATTTTTTAAGATTTTGTATAGCTCCTTTGCCGATTTATTACTAATATTTTTCTTTTTAATGTAATGTTTTATATCCTGACCAAATGGGTAAAGTAGCGAATGTGCATATTCGCTACTATTAATGAGATTTAAAAAATACTTTGGACTTCGACTAAAAATCTGTTTGTCTTTACGCACCTGATCTGGAAACCTTAAAAAAATGCCTAAAAAAGGTTAATAACGAAAATAGCATCAAGTTCTCGATGGAAAATAGGCTAGGTAACCATAGTTACTTAAATAGTCACATTCGTTAGTTTACCTAAGTGACTATTGTTAGAATGTTATTCTATAAAAAATAGCGAATCTGCATTTGTGTTAAAGGAGAATGAACTTATGTATGGTTATGGAACTTATAACTTATATGGTTATTAACCTCAGAGGAAAGATTTGTGTAGAAATCATGGTAAACACGTGGTATTTGAAGATCCTTACAAAGCTTTTGAAGGTCCTTTAGTTTTTTGGCAGCAATGGGAACCTCAATTTATAAGGTTTTATTGGAGAATTATTAGAAGAGGGTCTTCCCCATTTGTTTTTTATCCATTTTGCAATGTACTTCACAAAAGGTGCGTCATCTAAGTAATCCATCCTCACGAATACAGCATCTGGATGAGTTGACAGGTGTACTTAAACCAAATGAATTTTTTAAAGGGTAAATGGTTATATTTTTTATTGCCTCTGTCAGGGTCCTCAAAATCAATCTTATTAGTATTTGAAATAGTGTTGGCTTACTTCTAGCAGTGCGAATTATTTGGCACCCCCCCAACTTTGTCTTGATCTCTAATTTTTCGTGCTGCTTCCTTGCGTTTAATATGCTCAGTATAGAGAGTATCATCATAGTTTGTATCTTCTTTTTTGCTATTCACGAGCAATACATTTCTTACAACGATCTTTAGCAGGTTTGTGAAATTTTAGTTTGTACTCACGAAAAATTCGTCTGTGCTTTTCTAAAGATACTGAATTTATGTTTTTTTCAATGCACTTTTGTTTATACAAGTTGTGCATAATTGTTACATTTAAGTCACTGACTAAATATTGGTATTTTGATGATTGGTTATTCCATTCTTGGGAACGATAAAATGTGATCTCTTATGAATTTTTCATTTAGAGGGTTTACTTTATTTGGTGGATCTTTTTTCCTTCGTAAGTCAGATAGTAGAATTCCACTAGAGTTAACCTTTTTAAGAGCCCCTCTTAAGTGACTCTGAAATATTTACAGTATATCTGAAATATTGGTAGTAGTAGAAGTAAGTCTGAAATATTATAATTGATGGAAACTATTATATGCCACTTTCGTTATTTTGACGATCTGTAAAGGTTGAAATACACTTTGGTAAAAGTGCGAATGTGACACATTCGCTTCGTTACCTATAGAATATTCATATTCGACTGTTTAGCGTTGTGAATAATGAAGTAGGTGTAGATTCGTTAAACTAAAAATAGTCAACAATGACGTAAATATTGGGCAAGTACATTCGCTGTTTTACTGGAATATACATCTTGAGAAGCCACAGCTGTTTAGTGTATTAGCTCAGATAGGTCAATTTTGCATATTCGCTACTTTACCAGTTTGGTCACGATATTTACTTCAAATAAATGATAACTTTAAATGGTGACATGATTGTGAAAAGTAAGTTTTGAAAAGAAATAATTTTAAGTGTCTAGGATCGGTATTAGAGAGTAATGGGGAAATAGATGGAGATGTATGCACTAGAATTAAGGGGGATGAATAAAGTGCAAGGAAGCGACTGGTGTTTTGTGTAAGAAAAATTCTCATGAAGCTGAAGGAAATCTCAGTCATTCAATCCTACCTCTACATAATGATAAAGCTTAATAAGTTCGAACTTAGATTGTACCTAAAGAACGAATGTTTTACTAAACAGATCAAGAAAAGGTTTTATTAAAAAAAATGTACACCAATCTCTTAATCCTTGCTTCTAGAAACCATTGTTGTTGCTCTGTTCTAGGATCAGTTTCCATTCACCCTATTATTGGTTTGGTTTTTCAGTTTTGCGCTGCCAATATGTTCAGATTTTTCTACATTTGTTCTTAAATCTAGCTTCAAGCTTCTATTTCCATATCTTCAATTTTCTAAATATATAATTGGTGGAAATATATATATTTTTAAAAGATGCTGAAGAGATATTGTTAACAAAGTGTCGTCTTGTTATCAAAGCGTCCGGGCTGGATGGGACCAAAAAAAAGGAAATCTATTTCTTCCTAGTTCGTACTGCAACTAGGTAATTGTAATCACTTCTAGCACTCAGTACTTTATACTATTTTAAACAAAAAGTATTTCAGGCTCCTCCCAGACCGACTCCACCTCCGCAAAGACACGCTCCACCTCAACAACAACAACAGCAGCAGCAGCAACAACAAAGACCCGTGGAAGCTAAACAATCCGGATTGTTCTCGTCTATTAAAGGAGGGGCTGGTAGCTTTTTGAAAAATCTCAAAGACACTAGTAGTAAAGTGATGGCGACAGTGCAACAGTAAGAAAACTTTTAATTTTTTTTTATTTTGTGCTTCATAGCGTATAGCTTTAATTTGATTTATCGTGTAATTTATGTCATATAGAATAAGGGTCAGAGGAACAAACACATAAGAACCTTCATTAAAAAATGTGCAGTTCTCACCAAAATTTGTTCCATATAGGAGGTAAGGTGAAGTTTTCGGTGCACTCCTTAAATGGCACATGTTGCATATTTTTGATATAATTAATGAAAGTTCAATATCGTAACAAAAAAATTCTTCGTTTTTGATAATTATATCGCCAAAGTTTGTGAAATTAGAAGAAAAGCGATAATCATCATCATAAGTGGCTCGACAATCTGTTGTGGATCTTGGCCTGTTCACAAAGAAGTCGACACTCCTGTTGATTTCTGGCAACTTTCCTCCATATTCTGACTCTTAGAACCTGTAAGTCTTCTTCCACATCATCAATCCATCTTCTTCGTGGTCTCTGCTTCTTGTGCCCTCTGGTTTTGAAAATGTTAATCTCTTCTTGCATTCGCGATCTGTCATCCTAGCAATGTGGCCAGGTTATCTAAGTGTTTGCACTTTAACGAATTTCACAATATCTGGATCGGTGTATAACTGATGATAGTTCAAAGTTGTATCTTCGACGCCATAGCCCATTTTAATTTACGGTACCAAAAATATTTCTAAGAACTTTTCTCTCCAATATACCAAGAAGTCTTTCATCATTTTGAGATAAGGTCCACGTTTCAGCCCCATATATCAAAACCGGTCTTATTAAGGTCTTGTATATATTGAGCTTTACTGCACGTTTTATATTTTTATTTTTTAAATGTTTCTGGAGACCGTGAAGAGTTCTGTTTTCTATTGCTATGCGTCTTTTTATTTCGTCGCTTGTTGTGTTTGTTGCGTTTACTAGTGATACAAGATATGTGAATTCTTTGACTTGCTCAAAGGTATGGTTTTTAATTTAAATTCTCTGTACTCTGTTGGATATTTCAAGGGTTTTTAGAAACCAACATATATTTGGTTTTTTCCCGTTTGCTACGATAAAAACAATAGTCCCCCCATTGAGAAATGTATGCAGTTTCCACTAAAATTTGTTCCATATAGGAGGTAAGATGAAAACTTTTTGGCACAATCCATAGATGGCACTACATCTCATATTTTTGATGAAATTAATATACTTCAATATCGTTACGACAAAAATTTTTCGTTTTTGAACCTGTCTTTCCCGAAAATAAAATGTTCCATATGAGGAGGTAAGGTGAAAAGTTTTCTGCGCAGTCCATGTATGGCACTAGCGAAAAATGTGCAATTTCCACCAAATTTGTTCTAAATACGGAATAAGGTGAAACATATTCGGTGCAGTCCGAAAATTTTTCGTTTTAAAGGTTTATCGCCAAAGTTTGTGAAATTGTCTAAACAGTTTATACCTTTCGTTATCAAACCAAAAAAAAAGATAACCGAATGCATACGTAGTCGTACTTCATACTTCGATTAAAAATTATCTTGAGAGGATGGTCAAAACCATCCACCAGTAAAAAAAATGCCGATACATAAAAGAAAGAGAATATGGTTATAGGATCATACAGATTATATAGATCATCAGAGAATGTATAAACACGTTATCACCGACGAACATAACATGAAAAGTCTTTTGTTTAATGTTGATCAAAAACAAATTAGGACCTTTTAGCAATGTTTTTGTGGCTTTAAAAAGAATCCTACGTACTGGTTATGATAGGTTAAATTTAAATTCACAAATTTGCATCAGAATCAAAACTACAGTTTAAGCAATAATACTTTTCATTACAAAATAGTGTTTTGTAGTAGCCATTTTTTTCGTACAGTTTTTTGTAAACAAACATGTTAGGTTAGGTTAGTAATATAAATAACAATAAAGTGCAAGTGAACACATAATTAAGATAAAAATACCAAAGTCTAGTTATTAAAAAAAAACATACAAAAATAAGGAAGAAACTCATCATTATCATTGGCTCCCCAACCCATGGTGGGTCTTGGCCTGCTCAAGGATGTCTCCATTCTCTCATATTCTTCGCCTCGGTTTTCTAGTTTCATACTCCCAACATTCTCTCCACCTGATCCTTAAATCGTCCTCTAGGTCTGCCTTTCCTTCTCACTCCATCTATTCTTTGTTTATAAATATGTTTTGGCGGCTCCATGTCATGCATTCTCTCTAACCACCGCAGCCGGTTTATTTTGATGCACTTAATAATATCAGGCTTGTGTCATACAGGCGGTAAGGTTCGAAATTATAGCGTCTACGCCGTACTCCTCCCTAGATATGCCGGAGGATTTTACGTTCAAAGGATCTTCTTCATCGCTCTTTGTTATCGCCCATGTTTCCCACGCGTAGGTGAGGATGGGCTTGAAAGAGTTTTTTATCTCACTAGTTTCGTTTTTTTTTTGTAACTAAGCTTGTTGTTAAAAATTTTTTAATCCATAATAGGCTCTATTTGTCAGATATATCAGTCTGTTAATTTCTGCACTTACTGCATTATTATGATCAATTTGTGGGCCTAGTTATATAAACTCTCTTACTCCTTCGAAAGTATATGTTCCGATCGTTAGATCTTCGGATTGTGCAGCCTGTATATAATTTGATACTTTCAAATACTTCGTCTTACTAGTGTTAACCTCTAGTCCCATTATTTTTGTTGCTGCTTCAAGCTCCTTGAATATTTGATCGTTCGTTTATCTTTCTTTACGAAACCCATACTGATATTTACCTAGTATATCTTCACAATATCCCGATAGTCGGTCGCAAATAATATATGCCAATATTTTGTATGTTACGTTTATTAGGGTTATTCCTCTGTAGTTGTCACATATTGTTTGATCTCCTTTCTTATGGATAGGTATAATTATACCTACATTCCAGTCTTCTGGCAACTTTATTTGCTTCCAGATCAGTTCTACCAGTCTACATATACAGTATGTCAGGTTTTTTTGCCATGCTTTAAAAGTTCTGAAGGAATGTCGTCTGCCGCAGGAGCTTTGTTTTCTTTCAACTTCTGTATAGCTTGGATGACTTCTACATCTGTTGCGATGTTATCTTTCTCTCTTTCATCGTTAATGTCCTCGAGTTGGATTTCTGATTCGTGTAGCCCTGTCTCGCCTCTTATATTTAGCCTTTCCTCGAAGTTTTCTGCCCATCTATATAGTATCTGGTCCTGATCACCAATAATCTCCCCTGTTCTATTTCTAACGATTGATAATCTACGTTTGAATTATTTCCTGTTCTGGTTAATCCTCTTGTAGAACTTTCGCGTTTTTGCTTGTCCTTATAGTTCTCTAGTTTTTTTAGTTGGCTCTCTATATGCTCTTTCTTCTTTTAGTTGGCTCCCTATATGCTCTTTCTTCTTTTTTTTAAGTGTTCGTTTTTCTTCTCGTCTCAGCTTCCTATACTCTTCCTATGTTTGTCTCGTTCTTCGCCCTTGGAGTCTTCTATATGCCTGATTATTTCTTTACCTTGCTTGTGCGCATTCCTCATCGTACCAGTCTGATTTTAATTTATCATGTGTTTGCTTTCCGATAACTTCAGTTGCCCATTCTTCCAATATGGCACTACACTGCCTCCAATAGTTGTTAATATCTTCAATTATAACATCCGTGCAGCCTTCCAGCCTGATTTCGAGAATAGCTGGAAACTCTTAGCTACCTCGGGGATCTTCAACGCTTCTACTTTAAACCTTTCCTCTTTAACTCATTTTCATGGTCGATTTAGTTTACTGTATTCCCATCTGGACTTCCCCATGTTCCCTTATGTATATCTTTGTGCCTGAAGAATGTGCTGGCAATCACCATGTTCATTGTGGAGGCTAAATGTATTAGTCGAGTTCCGCTGTTGTTTGACTCTTCATGTAAACTGTGAATTTCAATGGTTTTCATGTATTTCCTCTCCTTACCTATCTTTGCATTAAAATCTCCTATTAATACCTTTACGTCATTTCTAGGACAATGTTGTATGATACTTTCCAGTTCTTCATAAAATTGGAAAAGGAAAAAAGTGCCTCAATTAAAAATCCATTTTTTAAACGATTATTAGTATGATACTTGTACGAAAAGGAACAATCAAGGATGTCCTTATGGAGTATGTATAAGATATGTAAGATTCGTACACGCTCTAATTCATTTAAAGACAATACATATTATTTTATAAATTTTCCAAAGCCTTTATTTATATACAATGTTATTTCTTTATTTGATTAGAAATTTATTATTTAATATAGTGTGTAGTGACGTATGACATATAATATTGTTATACTCTCATATATATATACTATAATGTTATATGTCATTGATAAAAACAGTACGAAAAACACGGCGGCCAATGAAAAGGCCTATGGAAGTCGATGGATTTTTTGTAATTGATACTTAATTTCAATCTTCTTCTTATGATGCCCTATCCAATTAGTGGATGTTGGCGACAATTCTGGCATATTCCTCTCGATCTTGTGTGGCTCTAAAGAGTGCATGGGCATCGAGGTTTTTTCAATCCTTTATGTTTTTAAACCATGAATATTTATTTCTTCCGATGCCTCATTTTCCTTCTATCTTCCCTTCCATAATTTTAACAACTGGTACTTGGAATTTCGAAATATATGACCCAAATTTTTCTTCTATTTTTTATTGGTTGCAATTCACGTTCTCTGCCCATTCGATTTAATACTTCGACATTTCTTGTGTAATCTGTCCAGGGAATTTTAAGTAGTCTTCTAAATATCCACACTTCAAAGGCGTCCAATCGGTGTATCACATTGGCCTTTATGGTCCAGTTTTTTACAGCATACAGCAGTATGCAGTAAATGTAACATTTTACAAAGCGATATCGAAGCGTTAAGTTAAGGCTATTGTTGCTTAGCAAGGTTCTCATAGTAGTAAATGCTGTTCTGGTTTGCTCAATCCTGCTACGTATCTCTATGTCTGGTTTTTTGGATATTTTAAATTTGTAATATTTTAGCTGTTTAGATATATTGTACGTACTAAGAACATATTAAATTTTTCAGGAGCATGGCGCGGACTGACTTGGACATCCACTACATAAGTTCTAGAATAATAGTGATGCCGTATCCTTCGGAAGGATTCGAATCTACGTACAAAACCAACCACATCGAGGATGTTCGACTGTTTTTGGACTCTAGACACCCGAACTTCAAATATTCCGTGTATAATTTAAGCCGCAAACCTTACCACTCAAAATTCGGACAAGCCAGAATCGTAGACTGTTCTTTCGCTTATCCGGAAACGTTTAGGGCTCCACTTTTGAATTCCATGTATCAATTGTGCGAGGATATTTATCAGTACTTAGCGGGAGATAGTAGAAATGTAGTTGTGATACATTGTACGGTAAGTGTATTAGTATTTTAATTATTTCATTATAGCTCAGGCTATGGGGGAAAAACTACTCTCTAATCCAGGAATTTATGTAATGAGGCCTAGGTTATAAAGAGCAACCTCAGGAGCAATCCCCCAGTTCATTCAACAAAAATTTTTTGGTTACTGTTGTAATTGGTTATTGGTAATTTCTGTGTAGATTATGAAAGTACTCTAAAAGGCCTTCAATTTGAGCCAGTATACGTTCAATTTAATTTATTTGTTATTAGTCCAGGCTGTGAGGCCGCTCCCGTTGGGAAAATGTTTCTGATTCGGTTTCTTCGCGGATTCCGGTTCAAAAATGTCCCCTTTAAACAAATCTGAAGGGTTCCGGGCGAAATTTTTGGGCAGAAATTGTTTAAACAATTTTTTTAAAACAAATTCCAAAAATGTTTTTTTAATCTGGAAAACGTTTTTTTAGGTTTTTTGGGTCATTTTAAATAAAAAAGGTCTCTTGTCATTTTTCTCTAAAGTTGATAGTTTTCGAGTTATAAGCGATTTAAAGTGTGAAAAACGCGAAAATACGCATTTTTGAGGCTTGAAAACACATATGTAAATTATTATTTTTGAGGTTACCAAGTGTCTAAATTGAAGTTTAAACATTCAACTTCAAGATTGTGAAGAGTAATCGGAGCTTATTTTAATTTAGACCGTTGTTTTTTAATTGTTAAATATGCGCGTACACTCGATTTTTCAGCCGCGCGGCGCGCTAGAGTGCGCTTCTATCGTACTTATGCATAGTTTACATATACACTTACGCAAAAAAAACCCGAACAAATCCTTGAAGTTTATTAACATAGTTTTTTCCATAATTTATTTATGTAGGTATTAATTATTGTCATTTGGCTAATTAAATAAATCAATCATCGCAATGTAATAACCGTATATAGTTTGTTTTCTTCCAAATTTGAACAATATAATTATTATTTAAATAATACAATGCAGTAAATATTAATATTAGTAAACTTGATTTTAAATTGCGCGGTGTTTAAAAACAATATACTATCGCAAAAATGCAAGTTTTTACCTGTTTAACAATCGCGCGCTCATACTTGATTTGTTATTACTTAAACGATCATTAGGAAGACTATTGTTTAATGCCCATTAAAAGGGTATTATATTATTAATGTTTTATTAAAAAAATTGTGAATGGATTTAAAATGTCTTTTTCCGTACCTCTTCTTAAATGAAAACTTACCGAAGAAAATTTAGTTTGTATTTTTTGTAATAACATCAACAATATTAAGTTAGTGCAAAAACCTAAAGTAGATTTTTACATAACAATACAAAATGCTGCTCTTCGACGAAAAGACAGTGTGACTGAAAAATTTAATTTAATCTAGCCAATATACCTTGTACCTCTGACGCACTTTACCAACACTTGTTAAGAGCTTTCGCTAAAACATATATTTGGCGAAATGCCATATATTCCCGCTATCAAACTCTCGATTTTACACAATATGGATATTATATGTCTGATAGTGGTGGGTTGGGAAACCGTGCAAATGCAAAAAGACTTGCAAAACTAATGCTTGCAACTGCAAGAAAAATCATGTCAACTGTGTACCATTATGTGGATGTGATTTAGATTTTTGTGAAAACAAAGATACTTTTACTGAGTGATATTAGTGTGTTATTTAACAATCTTTTGTACAATTATTTTATGTAACTATTATTAGACTTTAGACGAAATTTATATTATAACTCAATTGATATAAATAAATATATACTCAATAAATAATAATTATTTGTAAGTATATGTAAACTATGCATAAGTACGATAGAGGCGCACGATAGCGCGCGGCGCCGCGGCTGCTGAAAAATCGAGTGTACGCGCATACTTAACAATTAAAAAACAACGGTCTAAATTAAAATAAGCCCCGATTACTCTTCACAATCTTGAAGTTGAATGTTTAAACTTTAATTTAGACACTTGGTAACCTCAAAAATAATAATTTACATATGTGTTTTCAAGCCTCAAAAATGCGTATTTTCGCGTTTTTCAGACTTTAAATAACTCGAAAACTATCAACTTTAGAGAAAAATGACAAGAGACTTTTTCCAGATTAAAAAAAAATTATTTTTGGACTTTGTTTTTTTTTTAATAACAGTGGCTTTAATAACAACAATTAAGAAACTAATCTGGCGTCATTTACTACTTAAAAACCTATATTTTTAAGTATTTGTATTTTCCTTAAATTAAAATCATTATTTATTTTTAAAAATGACGAATAAAGTTTATCTTTTTCAATGTAGCATCGAAACCGCATGTGGCAAACATTGCGGATGCCGTAAGCATCGCCTAAAATGTACGAGAATGTGCGAAAATTGTAATGGAGAGAATTGCGAAAATTGTCATACTGCTGAATATGAACTAGATGACGCAGAAAAAGAATGTGAGAGTGAGATGGATTTTTTGGATGAATTGTTATATGATTTTGAGGAAATTGTACAACCTACTAAACAAAGGAAAATAAATAAAAACTAAGCATATTTCTGATTTTATAAATATTGAATCTCATTTTAAAACTATATAAATAAATTACAATTATTTTACTGTTTATATCTTTGTTTTACTAATTTATTCCTTCTATCAAAGTAATTTGCAATTTAAGATATACGCATACATATATGATGTTTATTTTAATTTATTAAACCAATTATGAGTTTTTTTTTTGGAAACTAGATTGTTTTTAAATAGAAATTTTAATCATTTGAACTTCACTTTATAACATCATTTTTCACTGATAAAAGATTACACAGCGAAGCAGAGTGTAAGTATTTTAAAAATAAAGATAAATACTGAAATAATAGTAGTCTATATTTTAGAATATTAGATTTTTTTAGAAATGGGGATGCTCTCGATAATAATTTGGTAGTAGATTACGTTTAATAGTATTGTAAAAGTAAAAGAATTGAAAAGATTAAATATTAAAAAACAACATTTTATCGGGTTGGGGTGATTTTTTAAGGGTGAAAGTATTCCAGATGTTATTATTTCGACGAGCTACCTCAGATTAAAAAAAACTCATCAAAACCGGTTCATTTTTCACCGAGATATTACAAATTTTTCCGAGCGTCGCTAGATTCGTTTCTTAATTGTTATTAATAAAGCTTCTGTGATTTCTTAAAAAAATTATGTCAACTCGGCTCCTATTGGTTGTAGAAAACTCGTATATATAGTAGAAATAAGAAATTTTTAACTTTATAAATAATTGTTTTTAACGGGTTAAAATTTTTTTCATTATTTGCAGTGGAATATGAAAATTTATGGATTTGAAGTAGGTCTCAGTGAAAAACCTACATAATCCCTACAATTAGTCCCTATGTTAGAAAAATTATTGGATTTGTGGTATGAGTCGTTGGAAAGTCTTGCATAATCCCTGCATTTGGTCACACTACCAGAAAAGTTGATGGATTTGTGATATGGAGGTCTCATCACACTCTTATATTCTTGTATCTTTCCTTTCAGCCCTTCCTCTATTCTTCGATCGCAGGGTACCTCGCTCATGCATTTCCAGTTAAACCAACCAAACTGTATCCTGTGGAAAAATTTCTCGATCTCGTGTCCACCACTAACCCAAAAGTAATGGAATCTCTACAAAAAAAAGCTCCTTGAGACTACCTCGACCAGTACTGAAGAGCACTCTAATCACAGCTTTGTTGACTTTATTGGTCATCGTAACATCAGAAAGTGCTCCCTTGCACTTAAGTTTCAACTTAGTAATTTTCATAAAAAAATCATCTTCAGCGGTGACGTCCGAAAAAGTCACCGTTTCTTTCACATATTTCTTTTAGAATGGCGTAGGCCAAGTCATCGCCGTCACAGCGACCGCTATAGACAAATGATTACCAACTTCCTTTGGCCTGAATTGGATGATATGGACACCAACGACATGTGGTGTCAAAGGATGTTTCTCTGGACATTCTGCACGAGCTATTTGAAGGCATTGTCACCTAACATGGAGGTAATGTGAACTGGCCACCGAATTTGTACGAATTGACTCCGTTAGACTCTTACTTGTGGGGTTTTCTTAAGTAGCAGGTCTACGCAAATAAACCACAAACTATGTCATCTGTGAAATTCCGCCTGATTTATGCGCCAGTCATGGAAAACTGGATATTTTCGGTATTATTTAATTTGTACATTGATTTTTTTTTGTAGGACGGAAAGGCAACTTCAGCGACACTAGTGTGTGCGTTATTGATATACTCAGGATTGTTTCAAGTGCCAGAAGACGCTCTTCAAATGTTCGCCGTAAAACGATGCCCTCCTAACATGAGACCATCTGAACTTAGGTACCTTTATTACCTGGCTGACATTGTCCGAAACCCGCCTCTCTATCCGCATTATAACCCCGTAACTTTAGTTTCGATACAAATGCAACCTGTTCCGCTTTTTACAAAAATAAGGTAAGTTGGCTTTGAATTTTGACAGATGTATTATGTTAGATATTTGGTATTTTATTATAATATCATTTATACTATCAGAATGTTACTATAACATTCCCATTTTATATCCTGATATGTATTCTCTGATGAAGTATGCATGTCTATTAAGGCCAGGTGCCTCCAAACAATTTTCAAAAAATCGATTTTTTTTTATTGCTAAAAAATACACTTCAAGAATATCTTCTTCTTTGGGTGCCGTGTCCGTATTCAGACGTTGGCCGCCATCATGTTTACAATTTCCTGAAACCTTTCTCTGTCGGCTGCTGCGCGAAATAATTCTTCTACTGTGGAACCACACCATTGTCTAATATTACGCAGCCATGAAAGTTTCTTTCGACCAATCCATCTCTTTCCTTCCACTTTTCCTTGTATTATAAGGCGAAGTAAATGGTATTTAGGTCCTCTAATTATATGGCCGAAGTATTCTGTTTTTCTCCTCTTTATGGTGTTTATGAGCAGACGTTCTGAGTTGATTATTTGAAGGACATCTTCATTGGAAGTGTGCGAAACCCACGATATCTTTAGGATTCGTCTATAGCACCACAATTCAAATGCTTCTAACTTGTTTAGCATTGTGGTTTTTAACGTCCATGTCTCACAACCATACAATAGGATCGACCACACATAACATTTCAGGACCTTCTTACGAATATTCATTGACAGGTTTCTGTTGCATAAAACTGGTTTCCAGGTCATAAAAGCCTTACGTGATATTTCGATCCTGGATATTTAAGAATATAGTAAATAATTATTCCCGAAGACTGATGTGACCTTGAAGTAGATAGAGGTGGGGAGACTGCTGCGCGCCAAGCTGTTAATCCGGCCGCCCAGCCATAGACATTATAATACAAATAGACTCATTGCTGTCATACAGCCGCGTTCCCCCCAGTGCGACAGAGAAAACTGACTAAAAGCAGTTCCCGCATATCGCTCTAATTTGCCAGGTTTATCGACCACGCAAACCAAATGACCAATGAGAAGGTCACGTGATCTATAAACGTAGCCCATTAGAAGGAGATGCAGGTATCGCTTGGCGTCAGTTTTCTCTGTCGCACTAGGGGAACGCGAGTGTGTTGTAGCACTGAGTCTATTTGTATTATATGCCTCTCACTTACTATATATACTTAATATGTATATACTATTGGCTAACTATTGCACGTATCAACATGAACTAAATGGTATTTTACTCTTTACATGTCTCTCTATGATCGGTACTCCAACCAAAAATATTCATTGTTATTTAAAAAAGTTATAACTAAAAAAAAAGGTTGGAAAATTTTGCCATTTTGTTTTTTTTGCTGATTTGTTTCATTGCAGTACCATCCATAGCCAATTCGATCATCAATCAGCCAATCGCGTCCACTGCTGGACATAGGCCTCCCTCAGTTCTTTCCAGTGTTCTCTACACTGGGCCGCTTGTAGCCAGTTTCCCGCTACACGTTTTATATCATCGGTCCATCTAGTCGGTGGTCGTCCTCGGCTTCTTTTATAGTTTCTGGGCCTCCATTCCATAATACGTCTTGTCCACCGTCCATCTTGTGCTCTGGCTAAGTGCCCTGCCCAGTTCCACTTAAGCGACGTGGTTCTTTCGATGACGTCTTGAACTCCTGATCTTTTCAGAATATCCTTCAGAACTCCTTCGATACAGAATATGAAATCATTTTGTTTTTTGATTTCGGATAATTCATTCCCAAGAAATGATTTGCATTTTGGACGAGTTTGAGCAGCCATTTTCAGAGCTACTATACTTGTCTGTCTGACCCTGTCCCTGACGGACAGGGTCAGAAATGAGGAAGTACTCAGAAGAGCGGGCTTACAGGATAGGGAACTTTTTAATTATGTAAAAAGTAAGAAGACTGCATACTTGGGGCATATTATACGAGGAGAACGATACACTTTTCAGCAACTGATACTCGAAGGGAAGATAGAGGGTAGGAGAGGTCTCGGACGTAAAAAAATGTCATGGCTGCGCAATATTCGACAATGGACAGGAATCCACAGCTATGAAATGCTTCGCAATGCTGCTAAAAACAGAATTATTTAATCCAGAATATTTAACATCTCACCTGACAAGACGATGTACGGTGGACGCCTACGCAGAAATGCACGGCACCTTAAGAAGAAGATACTTGTCTGTACTTTCACCTGTAAAAAGTTTGATTTTGAAATATCTTTTGTACCATAAATAAAATTTATTTAAAAAACACGTTTTTTGAGGAACCTGGTCTTAAACCTAATTTTTTATTGCTTCAACATACAAGTTCTATCAGATATGGACTACAACGCCACTACAAATTTATATGTTGCATGGGAATTAACCACAATTGATTCATTTTTGACGTTTCGATTTCCACCTCGGATTTTTCATTTCCGTTTCCTAAGCATCTTCATAGTCTGCCATGTATTGTCTTTTATACAGAGTAACTTTCATTTCGAGTTTCTTGGTAATTTTATTTAATTCATTCTGCATTTTCTTCTCTGATACTTTCAAATCATCTTTCTTCTTTAAACCGTTTTAGTTATTGCTGTGTATTCATTTAATCTTCTCTTCTTGGTTTTCCAACCACAACAGATATGTTTTGTTTCCAAACTTGGAGGCTGGTTTAATTCCTATTTGTATCTTTACATTTTCCTACATCGTATATCTCAAGGCGAGTTTCAGCTCCTTCACTATTAGGCTTTTAATTTGTACAATAGCATTTTCGGGTAGAGTTTGTGCAAAACCCCATGAACCTTGGAAACCTTGGCCGAAAAAAATTAATCCTAAAAACATTGACAATTTTAACAATCTGATTTCATTGTTTCGTTCGCAGATTGACGTTATAAATTGAGTTGTCAGATTAATGAGTTTGTGTAGGTAATCTACCTACCCTTGCAGAAAAAACTATTTATATCGACTAAAATTGATATCTTCAAATAATTCTCCAATTATGTTTTACAGGGATGGTTGCAGGCCTTACGTAGAAGTTTATAGTGAGAATAGATGTATTTTATCTACTTTACAAGATTATGAAAGAATGAGGCTTTTTAATATAGCAGAAGGAAAGGTGAGCGTTAATAATGTCATTTACAAAGTTTTATACAAGGGTGGTTTGCCTTCACTCTAGTCATTGAATTAAACCAATTACTTAATTTACACAAGTTATTAAATGGTCGATTTTAATATACAACTTTAAGATGTTTGTTTTTTAGTGTTTCCTTCCAATTAACGCCACTGTTTGTGGAGATGTATCTGTAATAGTATACCATGCCAGAAATATACTGGGTGGTGTAATGACGCAGGGCAAAGCAACCGGTATCAAAATTTTTCAAATTCAACTACATACGGGTTATATACCAGAAGAAGACACCTGTATAAAATATATGAAGTGAGTATTACGTATTAGAATATTAATGAACTATGTATATATATTATAAAAATATCCTCTTATCTACAACCTCCTGCTTCTAGGACAACGTCAATTAACGATCGGCCAAAACCGTTGTATTGATGTTATTGTTTCCGGAACAACTGCAGGAATTTGGGTGACCATAACATACCACCTCTTAACCGTTGTTCCAAATAACACTTATCAAGTCTTTGTTTGAACAGTATTTTCCCCATAAAAAAGCATCAATTTACAAAATTCTGATTTTTCCGTTGTTTTTAAAATTGCAAAAGTAACGTCACTAACGCCTGTAATTTCTAAAATAATGCCTCAACTTTTGACAGATGACCCTTAAAAATTAGTACCATTAGTACCTGTAGATTTATTGTTAATCTGTTGCTAACTGATAATCATTTTCCCAGAAAATAGATTCTTATCTATTTTGTTTCTTGTTGGTTGCTTTTCTTTTGAATATTTTCATGTTTATTTCAAATATCTGCTTTTTATTTATTGTTGTCTTTCTTAGTCTAATCAAGTTCCAAATTAAACGAATTAAAATTTTCTAATTCCCTAAACACTCAGTAACTTTCCAGAAACCATTTCAAAACCAAATTAATTCAAGCTTTCTAATCCTGTCCTAAAGAAGTTTTTAAAAGATAAATAGTGCCCATTCTATATAGGTATCACGATTTCTTATTAACTTCCACGGTGTAACAATGCCGCTGTAATTATATTGGAATTTCATTTCTAAATTAGGTCTATCATTCAAATTTATATGACTATTATATTTCCATTTTAGTTGGTTCAGGTTAACTTTATTCTAAACGCGAATTTAACGAAGCGAAGTTAGTTACATTTTGACAGACTAGAAGTGGCTAGGAATTATTATATAACCAAGCACACGTGCTCATAGCCTATATTAATTGTAAACAAACATTTATTCACATGCAATTTATTGACAAATTAAAACTGCGTAAAGTAAAACGACAAATCAATCATATTAATTAAAAATTGCAGAATTTATAACATAATATAATCAAAATGGTTGACATTTGCCGCTATATTCAGCTTGAATGTTTATTAAAGTTAACCGTTAGTTCGACTCTCATCATTTCCTTATACGTATTTCATGGGTTTCCAATGTGGAATAAAGTATTTTGCAGTGTACTTAAGGGCATAGGTGCAAAATTTCGGACAAATGCTTTATAAATGCATTCATTTTTTTCGGATCCTGAGAAAACTAATAAATATTTTTGAAAAATTTGAACGCAGAATGAAAGAATACATTATTACCGAGGGTCGAAAGTCCCTGAAAACTTCTATAATGTTTATTTTAATAAGTTACAGGGGTGAAAAAAAAAAGAGAAAATTGGGTGTGATTTTTAATTTCAAATATCTCATTCAAAAAAACTTTTCGTTTATTCTAAGGGACTTTTGGCCCTTAGTAATAATGTAATCTTTTATTCTGCGTTTAAATTTTTCAAAAATATTTGTTAGTTTTCTTAGGATTAGAAAAAAATTAATGCATTTAAAAAGCATTGGCCCGAAATTTTGAACCTACACTCATAAATCGAAATCGATGAGAAAGAAGTCTGTTGACTTCATATTCCTTTGTATAGAAGTCGCTACAATCATTCGAGTCTCACAAAGTCCTATAAGATATTATTATTGGTTTTTAGATCGGATTTAGATGATTTAGCGGAGGGCCAGGATCATTTCCAGGACAGATTCACGGTGTCACTTAACGTATTCGTCACGGATACGGAACGAAAACCTTCACAACCAGCTCCATGGCAGACTGATCAAACCAAACGAGTGGTCGATACGATGTTCACTTCACAAATCGAAAAAGACGAAACTGTAGATAATTTTGGTAGGTTTCTTCTACATTATACTAGTAACTGTTAAATTCAAATAGGGTAGTGGAGAATTCTTAGCAAGGATATTTTTATTTTGTAACTCTAGTGATGCACGAAAAAACTGTAATATTTTACTATTTATTTACAACTTTTATTTACTTGTAGAATTGGTTCTTGAAATGCCTTTACATATTGGCTCTATAATAACCAAAAAATCGGATTTAAATACCTATATCTGGAGACTTCTGCCGCTGACGCTGCGAACGTGACTCATAATCCCGTAGCTTCTCGATATATACCAGTTTGCTGTGGTCTGGTCGTCTTACGCTACATTAGTTATTTAAATATTTTTTAGGAACTTTATCGCTACATTTATTTTCGCAACTGTCTTGTCTGCTCTATATATTGCTTATGGAGAATTATGAGACTAACCAGATCTTTAAACTTTTTTAACTGAACATTTTGGCGTTGTCCTAATGATCTTTGATGCCCTATTATGAATCTAAGTAGCTTGTATCTTTCACCTTTTAATATGTGACCCGACTATTGCGTTTTTCTATTTTTTCTTCTCATATTACCCTATCCAATTAGTGAATGTTTGCGACAATTCTGGCATGGGCCTCGAGGTTTGTCCAATTCCTTAAGTTTTTAAGCCATGAGTATTTCTTTCTTCCGAATAAGCTTTAAGAACTGGTACTTGGAATTTCGAAATATATGTCCCAAATTTTTCTTCTTTTTATTATTGGCAGCAATTCTCGTTCTCTGCCCATTCGATTTAATACTTTTTAATGATTTTAAATAGTTCTTTTTGTTTACTCATGACGTGGAGTAAACAACCTACTACTCAAAACAGAAAGTTCATTGAGATAACAATTTTTAAATTTTATTGTGAAAGTTTGTAGTGAAACGAATTTTTCCAGATATATTTTAAAATGAACTCATAAAGAAAAAAGAGAAAATAACAAAAGTATGCCAGAACGTACCTTATTTCCCCGTGTTATATGCCTGTGTTTCGAAAAAAGGTAACACTGTATCTAGGATAGGTAAAAAACTGAAAAATAATTGGGGTTTGCTTAGTAAAAAATTTTTGTAACGCCATCGGTTTTCAAGGTACAGGGCGTTGAAGAAAAAAAATTTTACGCATTTTTTAAGATTTTGTCGAAACTACTGGCAACATTGTAATAAAATTTTATACGAATTATGTTTTGGAAGCTGATACATCCCTTGAATTTGTTTTTATATCTTACTTTCACGCAGGGTGCTGGTTACAAGGTTCGTACCAAGTATTATTCAACGTAACTATTTTAAAGGTAGAGTTATGTATTAATCGAAATTCCAAATGACCTTAACATCATACGATTTTACACCAAAAAGGTACTCTTTGTAAAACTCGATACTGCATACCGTTTTCGGAATATTTTGATTTGAAAATTATGAAGTAAATAACCGTTGCTGGTATAAAGTAATGATAAAGTTATTCATTAAAAAAAATCACAAGAAGAAAATTAAAATAAGACTAAGAACATAAAATAAAATTCAATTAGAGGAAGTGTTCAACATGTCCTCCATTTTCACGAATACACAAGTCTATCCTTTTTTCTAAAGAATCCATTAATGTTCTAAACGGTTGTGGATCAGCTATGATGTCATTAAAGTGACGTCGAATTCTGTCTTCCAATTCTTGACATGAATTTACCTCTGTAGCATATACGTTTTCCTTAACATACGACCAAACTGTGTAGTCCAAAGGATTAAAATCGCTTGACCGAGGAGGCCAATGAATCGGAGCTTCTATAGCTCTATTCTGTGGTTGTGCGGATGCGTGTGTGATAAACTTATTTACCCCGGAAACAAAAATAAAATATAATGGAATCGAATAAAACGTAGAAAAAAACTGTTAATAATATTTATTATCGTAAAGCGTAAATAATTCTCGAAGGGATTGTATGTATCGCGGATCGATGCCAATTGTGTCTAAATGATTACTTACTAAAACTAAAACTCAACACAGAACACACGTTCTTTGTTTTTAAAAGCCAGACGATAAACTTTTATTATCGGGCTGGTCGTTATATTATATTTCATTTCCCATAAATGCATCGTACTCAAAATGTATAATTAAAGTGTCCAGCATATCTGTAGTACTTAAATAAATATATTGAGGAACACATTTCGATTTTTATTTCATTTCTATTTCTTAAGTGTATAACCAATTGCGAAAATGTAAATTTTAATATGAGATTGTTTTATTTAATTTTTGAATACAAAAGTTTAATTAATCGTAATTAGCTTGTCGCTACATCTCTTCCAATCCGCCAAATCTCTACTAAATCGCCTTTTGTGTTGAAAATGGTTGGCGTTACAAATTTTTTTTACTAAGCAAACCACGATTATTTTTCATTTTTTACCTGTCCTAGAAACGGTGTTATCATCATCATCAGTGGTGCTACAGCTCTAGTTGAGCCTTGACCTTCCCCAGTCTATTTCGCCAGTCGTTTCTGTTCATCGCCAACCGTTGCCAATTTGCCGCGCCGATGTTCCTTGCGTCCTCGTCAACACCGTCCCTCCATCTCAGTCGTGGTCTGCCTCTACTCCTATTTCCCACTGGGACCGATAATAGAGTTCGTCTGGGTGGGTAATTTTCATTTGCTCTTGACACATGTCCAGCCCATCTAAGCCTGCCTATTTTTATGAAGGATATTACATCTCTACCATTTACTATTTTTTTATATTTCTCGTACAATTCGAAATTATATCGCCTTCTCCAAATACCATTCTCACAGAATGCGCCCATTATTCTTCTTAGTATCTTCCTTTCGAAGACGAGCAGAAGATTTGCGTCTGTTTTGGAGATGGTCCATGTTTCTGACCCATATGTCAGCACTGGTAGGATGAGTGTTCGATATATTATTAGTTTGGTTTTCTGGCTTAAGTTTCTGTTTTTTAGCTGCTTGCTTAGTCCAAAATAACATTTGTTTGCTAGCAGTACTCTCCGTTTAACTTCTTCAGATGTGTCATTATCGTTTGTTAGGAGAGAACCCAAATATGTAAACTTATTTACTACCTCAAAATTATATTGGCCTATACTGAAGTTTTGTTCGGCGTTTCTAGCTCTATCTCTGTTATTTGGAATAGATGCTAGCATTTTGGTTTTTTCCTCGTTTATTTTAAGGCCCATATTTTGTGCGGCTGTCAAGAAGGTGGAAGTCATCTCTTTAAGTCCTCGTGTAGTACGTGCAATCAAATCCAAATCGTCAGCGTACGCCATAATCTGCGTTGATTTATTAAAGATTGTTCCCCTATTGTGTAACTCGGCATCTCTTATAGTCTTTTCTAACGCTATATTAAAGAGAAGGCACGCCAGCGCGTCTCCCTGCCGTAACCCTGCATATGTTTCAAACAGAGAAACGGTGTTACTCTTTTTTAAAATACCCTGTATAACAAGAAAATGTATTAAGTTAAAGGTTACTTAAAAAACAATTTTGCCAGTCATTTGATTGTTGTTAGTTTTTCCTGATATTTTAAAGTGTTTTAAAGCACGGGAAGCTGAACATGGACCACTCGAGCTTGTGATTTTTTTTATCTCAATGGCGTTGTAAACTCCTCCCATACTGACATTGCAGGCTTATTTATCTGATTTATTATGTACTAAAAATGGTAACTATATTATTCTATTTTATTGGACTAAAAATGGTGCCTGTCAAATGTCCTCTGTCATTCCTCTGTCGTGTTTGTCAAATTGTTTTTTATGTGCCTTCTTCTTTTTCTTGTCATCCCCTTTTATTCAATAAGACAGAGGAGAACTTTTATATTGTCTTGCAATTATTTATCCCCAAATAATTGTCTTTTAAATATTAAATGTCTTTTATTGAATATTTGTCTTATTTTGTAGTTAGCACACCGGCCCCCGTGAATAAACCGGAAATGCCACCAAAAAGGCCGCCAGAGAGGCCTGTTCGACCACCTCCTCCACCTACCAGTATTCTTCAAGATAATGAGGATTCCTCTTCAGATGTAGAACAAGCTGTAAGTATCTTTCGAACTCATTAGTATGATTTTTGTAAATTTACAAGCGTAGATTGTTTGACAATAATTCAGCCATAGATGGCGTTACTTGAGGACGAATTGCTCTCAATTTTGACATTTGTCGTCCAACGCATGAGGCTTGTAAGAATTTCAAGCAAAAATAACCATTACATTGGTTTTAATAGTCGGCATTTAATATGGGTCTACTTTTACATGCAGAGATGCAAAAACAGTCAAAGTATAACAGAGATGCAAAAACAGTATATTTCAAACCTGATTAATGATTTGCCTCCAATCAAGCTCTGTTGTTATCGCCACATGAATAAGCCTTGTTTCTTTAATTAAAAACGATATGTTAAGTCGAAGTATAGTACAGTCGCAGTGTAGCTGGTATTTGTCATTTCTCAAGCTTTCTGTGCGGGACTTAGTTCAGACGTTCCTTATATTTAATTGCAGTAAATGCTTTTCAGCTCCAGTGATGTTGGATGATTTATTGAGCTTGGCATCCATAAAGCCATTTGTCGTTTCCACACGAGGATCTTCGATATGGTTCAGATAGTTTTACCTTAACCTTACTGTCAAGTTATTTGGGAAACAGATTTCCTTATGACCACCAATAGTTCAACGCTGTACTGCGCAGGTCTACACTATTTCATTTTATCTTAAGTAAAGTGATGTTATGTAATCTACTACGCGAATTACGTGTAAAATATATATATATATATAGTCCCAAGATTCCTAAGAGGAACATAGGGCTTCCACAAAGTGTCTCCAGCGAACTCTATTTCTGGCTAGTGCTTTGATTTCAAGCCAGGATTTTCCCATTTTTCTCCCTTCGTCCAGTACTGTCCTTCTCCAAGTTCCCTTAGGTCTGCCTACTTTCCGTCAGCCTTGGGGATTCCAATCCAGCGCTGTCCTGGCAATGTCATTTGGCGGTCTACGGAGTGTGTGGCCCAGCCATCTCCATTTTCTTCGCCTTATTTGCTTTATGACATTTTCTTGGTTGCTTTGGTTCCATAAATTTTCATTGGAGATGGCCAAAATATACGAAGGATTTTTCGTAACGCTCTATTGATGAAAACTTGTAATTGGTGTACTATGGGTGCTGATATCTTCTACGTTTCGCAGCCATACAGTAATACAGCTTTTACATTTGTGTTGAAGATTTTTAATTTCGTTTTAGTTGGGTAAATCCTGGATTTCCATATGTTGTTAAGCATGTTGTAGGCGTTGCGAGCCTTATTTATTCTTTCATGTACATCACGCTCTGTACCCCCATTACAGTCCATTATGCTGCCCAGATATACAAATTCCGCTACTCTCTCAATTTTCTGGTCGTTGATCATAATAGGTTGGTTGTTTCTGGTACCAAATCGCATTTCTTTGTTTTTGTTGATGTTTATTTCTAGACCAACCTTCTTTGATTCTTCTTGTACTTTGTTTACTTGGAGTTGCATGTCCTGTTTTGTATGTGCTAGGATTCATATATCATCAGCGTAATCTAGGTCTTCCAGTCTGTTTGTTAATCCCCAGTAAATTCCTCTATTAGAGTTTACCTTTGTTAGTACGGAGTCCAGTACAATGTTAAATAGTATGGGGGATAAAACACAGCCCTGCTTTACTCCGTTTAGCATAGCTATTGGGTCAGATGTTATGCCGTTGTGTAGGATTTTGCTTTCTGTGTCACTGTAAAATAGATATTAGTCGAAAAAAAATCACCCGTACCATGACAAAAAATTTTTTCAATTTTTTTAACGTGTTTGTGAAGTCCAGTGTCGGCTTTTTATATGTTTTTTTATATGTTTTAAGAATTTCAACAAAAATCATAATTTTGAAATATAAGGAAATGAGATCTCTCCTTTGTAGTGGTATTTAAAAAATTGACGTAAGTTAAAATTATAATCTTTACCAATTAGTACTTATAAGAACATTTTATTGTAGCATAGCTCTGATGATGGCTTTGTAAAGCCGAAAGCGCTCAGCTAGGAATTGCCTAAAATATACACACTTCAAAAATACTTTTTTACATTTTCTTTCGACTTGTCATAAGTGTGTACAAAAAAATATCAGTCTTTTGATTGTTAAATAGATATTAGACTGAAAACTGCTACTGAAAACAAGTTTTGAAATCTTAATTTTCAATATATTTTTTATTATAGCCCCCTCCACCTCCAAAGCCGAGCCAACCAGAACCATTAATCGAAGCCGTCGATCTACTGAATCTCAATTCTTCCTCAAGCGCAGAGCCTCCAGCGGCTAAAATCTCGCCCTCTCCAAGTTCCAACTTTGACCTATTAAGCCAGCTGGGAGGTGACTCCGGAAACGAAGATTTTGCTAGTTTTAATTCGGCTCCAATCAATAAACCCAACACGAACGGCAACACCAGCAATGAATTCGATCCGTTCGCGTCGTTAGGTGGCGCTGGCGATGGCAATAATCTTTTAGGTGGATGGAGCAACTTTACAACTCCGACACCTGCTCCAGCTCAAAACGCGACGCCTCAGAATCACGCGAAGGAACAAAAACCCACTGATCCGTTTGCAGATTTCGGTAAGTTTATAGTTATAAGGACAAGGGGAAAAATTCTCGACTCAATAGTAAAAATATTAGCATATATATATATATATATATATATATATATATATATATATATATATATATATATATATATATATATATATATATATAAGAAATACTGGATAATATTGACTGTCGATATAAACAAACAACACAGTTTATTAGGGTTGCAGTCAGAAATATTGGCCGGGATGTTAAAAAAACACTCTTTTGACTTTTTGTCGAGCTTTCGGAATATTTTTATTCCTTTTTCAAGACACTGTAAAAGACAATTATGTAAATATTTAAAAAATATCACAATTCTTCAGTGTAACTTACTAGTCGTTGAGATTATTTTTGTAAGCATTGAACACTCAACATTTATACCACACATTAAAATATACAATTATGGACATAATACATAATAAAATTTTTAAAATTTGTTGTAAAAATAGTAAAACTTGATTGATGGCATGTTTTACTGGTGTATATTAACTCATACAGAGAATGGAAAGAAAAAACAGTGTAATTAATATGTAATTAGGTGTAAATTGATGTTATCTTTCTTTACAAGTAATACTAGAGGCCTTTCTTAGGTGTCTATAATTTTTAAGACAGGTTAAAAATTTATTTAGTTTTTAGGTACTTGTAGAGAGTCTCCACATTTTGTAATACATTTTTATTGTCACGTCACTAAACCACGTTAAGATTTAAACGATTCCTATTTTTGTAAATTTTTAAAGGCAACTGAAGTTGCAGACGAATTTTATTGTTTATATTAAATTTGTTCAATATTAATAAATAACGTGCTTCATTTGGGTTAATTTATCAAAAGTCTAAAGTAAATTTTGGTTTAATTTCTTTTTGAACTCTACCAGGAGACTACAGAGTCGACGTCACACAGTGACAGATTGCTTAGAACACATAATTGAGCTAGCCGAGTATTAAATTAAATATTAAACGAATATTAAATTAAACAAAGAACCACATATTTTAAAAATTACATTTATTATAAATAAAAATAAAAATAATAAAATACAACTTTTTCAATATATATATTAAAAAATGGATTTTTTCCTCAATAAAATCTAACTTTACTTCAAAACACTCGGTCCAATATGCTTGTCCAATCACAGATTGCGTCACAATGGCAAATTTTCAAGATTTTGAAATAAAAAAATGTCATAAGGGAAGCAAACCTGGCGAATAGGAGAAATGATCCAATAATTAATTCTCCAAATTTGTTAATTTTCCAATAGACGTAAAAAATAGAGAAGCCTAGTAGTGATTGAGTATTGGAGACCGGCGTGTAACGGTGTGAAATCGATTATTATATATCAATTTCGTTATTATTACTGTAGGTAATTTGGGTGGAGGCCTAAACTTCGGATCCACGGTCCCACCATCGACAACTCCAACCAGCGGATCTCAAACCCCTAATACAGTGCCACCAACGACGCCCCAGCACATTCCGAGCTCGAATACGGCCACCCCCAAACACCAGGCTCGGTCACCTTTAGGTGGAGCAGATTACAACCGTGCACACTTCGACACTTTAAACAAGAACCAGCAACAGCAGCAGCAGCAACAACAAAACGAGCCTAAAGGAAAGGTGAAAAGCGACGACGTGTTCGGAGATTTGTTGGGTTCTCAGGGGTACAGTTTTACTGGAAAGAAGGATAATACTCCGAGAACTATGAATGCCATGAGGAAAGAAGAGATGGCTACTTATATGGATCCAGAAAAGATGAAAGTTATGGAATGGGTAAGTACTAGTATTATTACACTGTTTTTATATTTGCAATCTACGTTGCAATAATTATTTAATGTTTAACATTTTGACGTATCAGTGAACTGTATTTATTTATATGACGTTAAAGTTGTATGATATATGAGTTGATAAATTTTTTGATGGTATTCAGTTGAGGAGCAACCTTTAAATATTATTAAAATCGGCATAATAATGGCGAAAGACTGATAGATCTGTGCGAACAATACAATTTAAGAATCACAAACACCTTCTATGCACACAAAGATATACACAAATATACCTGGAAACACCGCTCTAGAGACCAGAAATCCATCATCGACTATATTATAATGAGACAAAAACCAACACTAACAGTTTTAGACGTTAGGGTAAAGAGAAGAGCTGACTGTGGAAGTGATCATTACCTAGTAATCGGAAATATGACCATACCGAGATTGGGAAAATACGAAACAGCAAATGTAAATAAGAACGTAACAACAAATAAAGAGCACTATAAATTACAAAGTCTAGAAGATAACAGCGTGCAGTATTTATACCAAAGAAGGTTAGATGGAAAACTGGTAATAGAAAATAGAACAATAGAAGAAGAATACAAGCACATAGTACATAGTATTGAAGAAGCAGCAGAAGAGGCAATAGGCACTCAAAGACGCGCAAAACAAAAACCATATTGCTGGGATGAGGGAATAGATGAAATGATAAAGAAGAAAAAAGAAGCATACCTAACATATCTAGATAAAAAAGACGACCCCTCTAAAGAAATATATAAAAAAACGTAAATAAACTGGTGAAGACGGAAGTAACAAAAAGGAAAAATAGATCTTGGGAAAAGAAATGCGAATACATAGAACAAATGATTGGAGGATCGAAAAGTTCAGAAGCCTGGAGAACGCTAAAATCTATGAAAACGTCAACCAACAATAAATTAGATTTAAGTAACATAACAGAAAAAGACTGGTAGACTACTTTAAACAGTTACTACAAGAAGGACGACAAAATTTTCAATACGAAAATGTAAACAGAGACATACGATCAGAATTCATTGAATTGAATATGACAAATATCGTAGAAGCGATAAGATCTTTTAAACTTAAAAAAAGCGCCAGGCCCAGGAAACATCTCACCAGAATTTATTAAATACAAAAGTGACAACAAAGAAACACATATAGCCCTGATAAATCTTGAAAAGGCATATGATAACGTGCCGATAAATAATTTATGGAGTGAAATGCAAAACATGGAAATAAAACCTTCGTTAATAATAGCAATTCAAAAGTGGTATGTAAACAACACAGCATCAATTAAAATAGGTGGCAAACTTAGTGAGAAATTCAACACTACGAAAGGGCTACGACAGGGATGTTGTTTATCACCTACGCTGTTTAAAATATATCTGGATCGATCTCTACAAAAGTGGCAAAGACAATGCAGAAATATGGGAATACAAATAGATGAGGATATTCTCTATACACTATTCTTCGCTGATGACCAACTGGTGGTAGCAGAAGATATAGACGATCTCAGCTATATGGTTAGGAAACTACAAACAGCGTACGAAGAATGTGGACTGACAATGAACTTACAAAAATGCGAATATCTCTCAGTGGGGAAAAATACAGTCGAAGACCTGACATTGGAGAGTGACAAAATCAAAAGAACAAATAGAGCAAAATACCTAGGAGTAGTGTTTACAAAAGACGGAAATAGCCATGAAGAAATAAATACAAGAATAAACAAATACAAGAATAAACAAATACAAGAATAAATAAACAAAGGCAGAAACAAGGCATACCAAGTGCCTAAACTCCATTCTCTGGGATAAAAAAATCACAAGAACGACGAAAAAATGAATATATAAGACGATGGTTGAGCCGGTGGTAACATACGGAGCAGAGATATGGGACACTAGTATAAGAAACAGGAAAAAATTACAAGCTACCGAGATGGATTTTATGAGAAGAAGCTGTAGATTGACAAGGATGGACAGCAAGAAAAAGACATTATAGAGGAAGTCCAGAAAAAACAACTAACTTGGTTCGGTCATGTAAACAGAATGGCAGACGAGAGGTGGCCAAAGAAAATATTAAAATGGATCCCAACCGAAAGAAGGAAAAGAGGGCGTTCAAGAAGAAGCTGGCGAGATGACGTGAATGAAGCCATGGAAGGAAGACAGCTAAATGAAGCCGACACCCGAGATAGGAAACGATGGAAACTAGGGACAGGAAGACAACGACAGTTGTAAACAACCTGTACTATATAATATATATATATATATATATATATATATATATATATATATATATATATATATATATATATATATATATATATATATATATATAATCGGCATAATAAAATTAATAGAGAAAATAGATTTTTAAGTTTAACAGAACAAATAGAAATATTTAAAGTTTATCTGTACAGATTCAGTATTGTTGAAATTTGCAGATCTGCACAGTGATATTTTACTTTACTGCGATTTTCATTTACTGCGATCAACAGGCAAGGGGAAACTGCCTGATTATATTCCCGTGACTACACCATCATGAATGTATCCAATCGGTTAGATATGCTTAGCGATCCGATTAGCGATCGGCGCTCAGTTGGTTCAGGGCCAACTAGTGTCAAATGGGCTACCGGGCATGTGTTTGTTAGCAACCAGGCAACACATGCGACATTGGCGCTTGGAAGAAAATCAGATTTTCAGTAAAGAAAAGCAATGGGAATAGCAACCTGGAATGTTCGAGGATTATTGCAACCAGATAAACTGCATATACTACAAAGAGAAGTCGAAAGAGTGGATATAGAAATATGCGGACTTTCGTAGACTCATTGGAAAGGACAAGGACACTTCCAAACGGCAGATCATGTTGTATACATATCGTTAGCAAAGAACACAGGAAGAAATGGTGTTACAATTATGGTAACTAAGGATTAGGACTGAGGAGGAGGACAGTGATATTTGTTACAAATGTCATAAATAGATAAATAAATGGATAGTCTATCTGGCCTTTGGTCCGAAAAAAGGTTCTTGAACTAAGTGGAGCATAGATCTTCAGTGAAAACGCGCCATCGGGTTCTATTTTGTGCTAAGGCCTTCACCTCATTCCAAGACTTTCTGGAATACTGGAATTATTTTTTCTGAGTATGTGACCAATCCAACCTTTCTGCACTTTATTTGATGTTCTATACTTTTTTGTTCAGTCAGGTGTAGTAGATCTTCGTTTCTGATAATATTAGGCCAAAAAATACGAACAATTCGTCGTAGACATTTATTAATAAAGACCTGCAGTTTATCTGTAAAGTTTTTTGTCACTTTCCAGGTTTCTGGAATATGCGGATCTTTGTCTTTGTAGTATACTCGCTAGATCTCCAAACAGGGTTGAGCATGCTGAATGCTTGTTGAGTTTTTCGTATCCTCATACGAATATCGTCCTCTGTACCTCCGCTTTCTGTTATGATAAGATACGTAAAGTTTCCCACATTTTCAATCCGCATGTTGTTGATAGTAAATAGCGTGTGGTTTCTTGCAGTTACTCTCATGGATTTGGTTTTACTAATATTGATTTTCAAACCTACTTTATTGGCTTCAGTGGAAAGTGTTTCCAATTGATCAGCCACATCTTGTAACCTTTGTCCTAACAGGGATAATAATCCTATATCCTAACTTGTCTATTGAAAGTCTACTGATATGTTAAAAAGAAACTGAGAAAGCACGCTTCCCTGTCTGACGGGTATGTCAAATTCGTCGCTGTTGATTTCATTGTGTGTCACGTTGCATTTCGTGTACAGTGACTTGGAATGGAAAATGGAAATTATTTTATGCGGGATGTTTCTTAGCTCTAAAATTTTGCATAAAGCAGCATGAGATAAGTTGTCAAAGGTACACTCGAAGTCAACAAAAACCATGTGTAGGTGTGTGTTCCATTCAACCGATTGTTCCATTACCCTCACAGTATTAATGTGGTCTATGTAGGAGGATTCTGGTCTAAAGCATGCTTGACCAGCTCGAAATTCAATCTTGTTTGTTAATCTTTTAAGTATGATGGTCGTGAAAATTTTATTTATTGCGGTAAGCAAGGTTATTCCTTTCCAATGTTTGCACAGTGTGAGGTTGTTACCCCTTTTCCTGTCCGCTGGAATGCGGTTTGTTTCTCACACCTCTCGGATTATAGGGAGCAAAAGTTCAGCAGTTAGATGCGGATCAGTTTTAAGTATTTCAGCAGCAATGTTATCGATTCCCGGATACTTGTTATTTCTCAGAAATTTGATAGCCGTCAATATCTCCGTTTTGGAAGGGGCTTTCCAAGATATACGCAAGTCTACATTCTGCGGGTTTTCGACAATTTCCTAGGCGTGCCTAGCATCTCCTGAAAATGTTCTTTCCATCTCTCTACTTGGTCATTTGTTGTAGTAAGTAATTCGCCTGTCTTGGATCTTATAATATTTGAACAGTTGGGCCCATTTTTTGTTAATCGTCTAGTAATAATATATTGTATTGTGCAGTTGTTTCAGCTTGTTGTGTCAGTTCTTCAGCCCTTCTTTTATCTCTTCTTACATTTCTTTAACTGCTTTATTTATTGTTTTATATTCTTGTGGTCGGTTCGCTCTTTCTTCTACAGTTCTTGCTTGCCAAATATCTTTCTTTTGCTGTTTTCTTTCCGCGATAAGATTCCAAGTTTCATCTGCCATTTCTATTCTTTTCTATGTTTCTCTTTTTACCCAGTTTATCTGCAGCTATTTCTGTCAAAACATCTGCCAAATCTTTCCAGCTATTTACTTCACGTTTTCTTGTTTTGAGTTGGAGTTCCTTTAATTTGTCTGTATGTTGGTCTGTTGGTGTTTCGCGTGATTTTGTTTTTTGTCATCTTGATTTTAATGGTACCGATTACGAGATGATGGTCACTTGCGATGTCTGCTCCTCTTTTATTACGTACATTAAAAAGAGATGATCTCCATTTTTTTGATATGGCGATGTGGTCTATTTGATTTTCTCTTATATAACCTGATGTAGTCCATGTAACCTTGTGGATATTTTTATATGGGAAGTTGGTTTCACCATTAACTAAGCTATGACTGGAACAAAAATTTGTAAAATGCTCTCCGTTTTCATTCATCACTCCCAGGCCATGTTTGCCCAATACGGTTTCTAAGTTAACATTGTCTTCTCCAACTTTAGCGTTCATATCGCTATCACTATTAGTATATCACCTTGGTTTACTTGTCGGGTTGTTTGTTCTAGTTGTTCGTATAAAAAGTCTTTTTATACCCTGTATACGGTTTTTGAAAACTCTAACAAGAATTTTATAAATTAGACAAATAGACAATTAAAATGTCATATTTATTTTTTTGGTTATTAATCAGTTTATACTATTGATAATGTATACATAAATTTATTGAAGTACGAACATGAGTTTTTTTATAGCAAGAAGGAAAGAAAAATAATATAAGAGCCCTTCTATGTTCGATGCACACAATTCTTTGGGAAGGAGCGAAATGGAACAAATGTGAAATGCACACACTGGTTTCTCCCGCTGATGTTAAGAAGGCTTATAGAAAGGCGTGTTTAGCAGTTCATCCAGATAAGGTAAGCATTATAGAACTCTAGTTTATTTTATTTTATTACGATATAAACGTGATATTTTTGGGTGTACACTTTTTCTTCTTCTTTTTACATTCGTCTATTCTGCAAAGTTTGAATGCAAATGTTGATCCAGATGTTGATAGTAGTTTCCTTCTCTTCGGTTTGTAATTGTGCACATACTCTAGTAAAATTATTTTATTTTTCCGTCTGTTTTCATTTTCTGCTTTATTTACTTCCCATTCTTTTTACTTCTATTCTCTTTTCCTATTACGTGATTTGACTCTTTGGTGCTAACTCAGTCTTATCTACCATTTTTATTAAATTATTGATTTGGTTGCCAACTATTTTGTAGTTTTTTAGCAGTGTGCCCTTCATCGAACAGTGTAGTGCAGTATTATCCATGACAAGGAAATTGTTTTTCCCTATTTTTTTCTGATTTAGTTACGAGGGTGGTCTAACAAGATCTTGTAATCCAATTTTGAAAAATCATACTGCATCTGTTATCATTTTGTCGTCATCATCATTTTAATTCAATTTTAATCGCTTTGGTTTATGGATCATTTTTACCCTGTTCTTTCCATCTTTTAATTATAATTTTATGTATTTTTAAAATTTTTATGTTAATGTAACAATTTTCTTTGTGATGTATTCGACCGTTACTTGATGGAAATTCATTTTATATAATAATAAAACGTGATAATAATAAAATGTGAAGAATTTGAAATGGAAGGTGAAGTGCGTATCTAGAATCTGTTTTTCTATTATAAAAAGCCCAGTTTCTACCAGTTTGACCGATGTAAGTTTTTGGGTAGTCGCCACATTTAAGGTTGTATACATCGTTGTGTAAGTTCTTTTTATTTTGGCTCTTATTATTTTTAATATATTTGCCTAAGTTGTTGATTGCTCTAAAAGCTGGTGTTATTCCTTTCTTTTTTATATTTTCTTTTCCTTGTCCTTGCTTGATATATTTATTTCTCTTTCTTTTTCTTCTATTCTCTTTTCCCATTATGTTATTTAAATTTATTTGATGATAACTCAGTCTTAGCTATCACTTTTATTCAATTATTGATTTGGTTGTTTACTATTTGTAGTTTTTCAGAAGTGTTCAATTCATTTAACAGTGTAGTGCAGTGTTATCAATGAAAAAGAAATTATTTTCTAATTTAGTTACGAGGGTGGTCTAAAAACATCTTGGAACTCAATTTTGAAAAATCAAATTGCCGTTATTTTTTATCTGTAGTATTCTCCTGAAAGTGTGACATAGTTAGTATTCCCATGGAAGTGTGGCAGAATAGGTACTTATCACATTCGTAATGGCTTCTTGATTGGTCGAAAAGTGCTGCTCAGTGAGGAGATTTTTCTGATAGAGAATAAATATGTGTCCGAGGTAGTCAAATCTAGTGAGTAGAGTGGATGTTTCAGTACTTCATAGTGTGGATCCCTCACTGTTATTGAATTTGTAATTTTTCACATTTTTTAATAAAATTCAGCACTTCATAGTGCACATATATCTCAATTTTCCCGCTACCAAACACTTTTGTGAGTAAGTGGATTGTGCTAAGTGGGTCTGTTTTCACGCATGCTTGCTTCCAATTTTATTACAGATCAAGGTTAGCATTTTTTAGTCCTGGCTTTTCCTTTTTCAATATATTTGAACAGTCCGAAAAGGCGTTCTGACCTTAATTGGAAGTGAATAACTGGTTTAAATCTACTGCTTAGACTAGTATTTGGTTTTCGGTGTGTCTTGATCAATATTTATTTCATCCATCATAACGGATTAATATAAAAAGTTTTTCTTAAAATACTCCAAGTACTTTTAGGATTGCGTTACTACAGGATACTTAATTATAAATGAACCTAAATATAATTATAATTAATCTTAATATATACAATTGATTTTTTTGTTTTCTGTTATATTGTTGATCTATCATACCATACTTATTTGTTGTAGCAAACCGGCACGGATAATGAAAACTTGGCGAAGCTCATATTTATGGAACTGAACAATGCTTGGAGCGATTTCGAAAACGACGCTACTCAGCAAAACATGTTTTCTTAACTAACATAATTCCTAGATATCTATCTAATATTTTACTATTTTAAAACATTCCAGTAACTTATAATTTATTATTTAAAGAAGCTATTTATTTTAGACCTAGCCGCGTTTCCGTATCTACTACTCATAAATACGTATTTTTAACTGTAGCTCTAAAGTGAGGACCGTACTCAGTAATGTTTCGATGACAAATGGCATTTTTCTAAGCAAATAGTTAATTTATATTCGCACAACAAATGTTTAACTATAAAAATATAGGAACGTGAAAGTCAAATGAGACAGGGCCGTACTGAGGATCGAGCGAGTAGATTTTGTCTCAAACTGAGTCAGGCATGCGCTGTTACTAAAAAGCGTGCGCAGAGCGCAAACTGCTTACTACTAAAATACTGTCAACAAAACAATGGTGCGTTAATTAATATTAATTTTAAAGTCTAGTTTAGTTACTCAAAAAGCAAGATAGATATACATGTATAAGTCGTTCTCTCATTTCGTAAATTTCCACTCGAAGTGAAAATCGAAACGTCAAAATAAAAATATTTGAAAGTAAAATTGTAGTTAATTCCCAATAAAAATAGTACAGTAAGATCTACAAACCATCATTAGATCCTTAATCAATAACTACAGGAAGGAATTTTTGAATGAAAAGTCTTCTCACTTCTATAACTATCCGGATTGCATTGATGAATGCAAGCCGGATAGTTTCGACAAATGAATTTTATTTTTTAAAGAAAAAAGTAAGTAAGTTAATAGGAAAGAAACGTTCGTGGATTTCTTTCAAACCCACTTTTAAAGTCTAGCTGGTACTGTTGTGTGCCGAGGACCCCTCACTACGCTTATGACTAGTGTCTTTTTATATATTATGTTACAACATAATCATAACATAACCTACAAACGTATAGGTGTGAATATAGTTAAAAATCCATAAGAAATTTATTTTTAAAAATAACAAAGTACTTACACATGAAATTCAACGCTATCCATTCTATTATCTGTGTTAAACGAACAGAAAATGTACATGCTCAGAATAACAAATCATATCGCAAATAAGTGACACTTCATATTGAAAGTGAAAGCTGACATGACTGTAATAAAATAAGTATTTTATACAGTGTGGGGCAAATGTGTGGAATACTCAAATTATTTTAGAAGCCACTACGATGAGAATTAATAAATTTGTTTTTATATGAGTTGTATAATATGGGTATGGCTTCATATGGTGTTTATTTTGTTGTCAGATCCTCCGTTTTTTCAATAATACAGCGAATTTGTTCCTTCTAATGAGTCGCCTTGTATATTTCATAAATATTTGTCATTTAACGCTGCATATATCTAAATATGACAGATAATAAAATGCCTTTTTATTACCATACAGCAAGTCATCCAACCTTTGAAACTACTTACATTTTGTAACTCGTATGTCTCCTGTATTCTCCTGATGTTATGCGATCTTTTAATTCTTGAATATTGTCAGGATTTATTTTGTACACTGTGTTTAAGTGGCCCCACAGAAAATAATCCAACGAATTCATATCAGGTAATCTTGGAGACTCGTTGATAAAACCACTTCATAGTCAACACGTTCTGGTTAAATATTCTCTCACTTCAACAGTATATAGAGGAGCTCCATCATTTGGAGGTACTGTTATGCTCTAAAAGCTATGCAGAATGAAATTTGTAAATTAAAAGACATAAAAAATACTTAACCTAGTCAACACACGAAATGCAGGTATTCTAAAAATCTTAAAATATACAGGAAAACCTGGCAACAACACAAATACCGTATGAATATCAGTAATTTCTAGACCGATTCTCGGCACCAACAACGTCATTTTTATTTTTAAAAATAATACGAGCCGTCACCGTGCTTCGAAGGGTAGGTAAAACAGTCGGTCCTCTGGGATAGTGTGAATCGACACTTGTTGACACATATTGTAAAAGTCCTCAATGATATAAAACGTCCCTAATGAAATATTTTGTACAATTTTGCCAACTAGGACCGTGATATCAATATCAATTCAATATTATGTACAACAGGTCTACAATATGTGATCTAGGCTTGTTATATTTACTCTGCTTTATCTAAAACGCCATTTGTTATGAAACAAAGAAAAAACCTGTGTTAAGAAGCAATTTAGTTTTTCTAAAGTTTGATTGTCTAGTGACAATGTATCTTCGCTAATACTTTAGAGGTTGAAATTGTTAAAAATAAACAAAATTTATGATATTAATTTGCGTTAAATATATCTAGAGACATTTTATGTTTACAATATATTCTATTTTTATATTGTGACTGTGTTCATACGTTTTTTAGGTAAGAATTTTAAAATGTTTATTTTTTGTTGAGAGAAGTTCAGAAGATTCCAGTTTTACGTGGATGTTGCAATATTCAAAATAAAATTGTTTGTCTCGGTGTTGTTTCTTTTCCTTTTTCAGTATTCCTTGTCACAAAAAATACAAAGGACTCAAGTAATTTTGATGAAATCAGAAATTACGTATTTAAGACGTTAGCTACCGAATACGAGATAGATAACTCGTTCTTAAAAATAGTTACGACGTGCTAGAAGTCTTTAAAATAGTATAATCACGAATACTAGTCACATACTGTTTGTCCAAACCGATGATCCCATTACCTCTCCTATCACTAAAGTGGCAGTATAAATTTAATCAAATTGTAAAAATGACTCTATGGCTTCTACACGATTCTGAAATATAGGTTAAGTTGGCAACAGGTGTATGTTTTCAAAAATTTGATAGTGCAAATTTTTTTTATTAGCATCATCGAAGTATTTTGATCATGTCGCATGCCATCTTCAGAGCTTCCTATAAAGAACAATAATTTAAGAGTATTTTTTTATATTAATTACAAAGATCAACAACTTATGTCTTATAGGAGTTTGTAAATACCTCATAGAAAAGTAAGTGTCAATACAAAAAAAACCATAAAAATCCAAAGCCTTTGTTTTTGGGGTTAAACCCATTTAAAATTTGAAAGAAAAATCACATTTGAGAGTCTGGTTAAACCAAGGGAACAGCTCATCGAGCAAAAGGACAATAGAGCGAATGTAAAGGTAGTGGGGGCAAAAATATTGTTAGACGGAAGTGCGATCTTTAGAGGCCACATTAAACAAGGAAAGAGAGTCTCACTCTTTGTTTGACATCAAATTTAGTTGGGTTATGTTATTGTTTCTCCCAAATGTCACATGAAATCTTATTTATATTGAAGTTTTTTAACAATTGTGTCGCATTTTAGACTATTACCGTTAATAATTAATTAAAACTTTCTCGTCCAAGACACATTCTGAAAAATATTATATAGTTACTGTTAATAAGTGTCGGAAAATTTAAATTAGAGGCCACTTTTTTGGTCTACTTTTCATAAGGATTAGATTCCCTCTTTTGTCTTTTTACTCGATGGAACAGCTGTACATTAGTATGTCCCGAAGGCGGCAGCAAACCTAGGCGGCCTCTCTGACAAAGAATTAAAATTGAAGTAAGTTGTCATGTGCAGATCATGTCAAACGCAGTCACAGAAGGAAAGCCGCTTTTGGGTTCATTTAACATAATTAGAACCGCTTCTTTAGTTTTTCTATTTATTGATAAAAGAAAAAAATCAAAGAAACTACTCTAATTACGTTAAATGAACCCAATTGTGTCACAAATTCCTCAGCAGAACGCAGTAGGATCTGATTAACCATATTAAAAGAGGAAATCAATAGAAAGAAAATACCACTATAAGTAAATCAATAAAATATCGAGGATACATCATTTATATTTTAAAATATCATCATCATTCTAGCTTTGCAACCCTTCGTTGTCCTATCCTCCTCAAGAATTTCTTTCCAGTCGTCCTTATCCATCGCCTTCATCCGCCAAGCACATATTCCCATATTGTTCATGCCTTCATCATGTTTTAAAATAACATACATAAAAAAATTAGAGTTTGAAGTTAATATTTTAAAGACAAATCACATGCTATGATTTTTCTGAAGGATATTCTTAAGTAAAGTTGATTTCATGTAATCGAATAAACTATCTTACGATAAAGTCGTTCCAGGAACGCAACTTAAAAATATTGGCAATATTATTTTAAAGTCATCTACTTTAAAATGTATAATATATGGTGAGTTGTCACTATGAGTGAGTCAGATAAAATAAATTAGAAGATTTTTTTACCAAGCAACAAAATGTGTTTAATTTATTAATGATTTGTATTTTGAGACCAATCCTTGAAGTGGAAATAGAAACGTCAAATTAACCTAATTTTAAAGTAAAACCCACACCATAATTTTTTTTTATTATTATTTATAATTGCCGCATTAACCATTAAAGGTTATTAGCGGGTTTTACAGTAACAAAATATACTAATTACAAATAATAAATTACAAAATAATGTGTATAATTATTAAATTTTATTTAATAAAAGTATGTCCTTCTTTAAGGAATTTGATACATTACAGTTTAAAATATCTAAGTTTATTTGATTCTTCTGGTATGTTGTAGATGGCTCATTCGTAAGAATGAAGAGGGCATTCAATCAATATATGTTGAATAGACAGTTAGGTGTGAACAGATAGTAGGAATATACAGGTGGTAGCTCTTTTACTACCACTTTAATTCACCAGCTATGAAAGGCTGGTGAGTTAACATAAACAATTCTTTATCGGTTTATAATCATCTGTTGCCTTTTATTTTTTGGAAATTACAGTTTAGTGCCAATCCTAGTTTTAACATTTTTAAGTTAAGCTGTAGTAGAATTCTACATTTGTTGCCAATTTTTTATACAATGCTGTTTAATATTGAGCGGGATATCACCGAAAGGAATTGTTATTAGTTCAGTTTGCTCATCAGTAACAGCTTTCTTTGCCAATTTATCCATTTTTTCATGTTCTGCGATAAAGAGTCAGTAATGAGAAGAAAGTTTGAGCTTGCATGATTCTTACAGATGTCTAATGCTTTTAAAATGGCGTTTGCTTCTCCCGTAAAAATGCTGCAGAATTAAGAGATACGAATTGCATATTCAGTATTTCCTAGTATAACTGCCGCTGCATGTCCAGTTCAGGTATAGCCAGTGTATTCTGAAATCCGTTCTTGATATATAATCCGTTCACAAATTGTTGATAGCACGAAATGTGTCTCAAAGTTATAAAACGGTCGTAAAATTTGTATCATCATAGGCATTCCTGAGGTGTTTATTCATTAAAATTAATATTAATAATGTTTTAACACGAATATATTTAGCAAAAATCAATTAAAACACGGCTAATATTGGTTATTATATTATATTAATAAAAATAAGAATTTAACCATTTACAATTTTGTAAATGAGAATACCTTATCTCTTTGGATATTTCAATAATAATCTTCGCGTTTAATCACTTTACTAGAAAACCTGGAATTCATATCCGAAGGTACTATTCGTTGCAAGATAATTAGGATGGAATTCCCCAGATTTTTAATAATATAATGGGTATAAAGATGCCGGCTTTGGCCACGTGTCTCGTCTGTTCAGTTTATATTCGAAGCTTAACTTGAAAGGGTGAAGTTATTACGAACTAAAACAATTTTTTGTTTAGTACGTTTTTGATCGCATGTATTTATGGCTTGTCGGTGTTTCCGCGTCTACGGCAGTAATTAGCGTCCCGAATATTTCTTTTGCGAATTATATGCAGTGCGTGAGTGCTTTTTTATTCCATATACCTACGAACATATCCTTACCTTTCACTCGTGCTCGTTTTGTTGGATTGTTTGTGATGGCTTCATCATCAAGTTTTACACCGGTACTGTTGCGTACAGTCAGTAAGTCTGTCTATTCACCAAGAGAGAAGACTATTGTCCTGAATGTTCACGATGCTCTGGTTTCTCAGAATCCCACAGACACTGTTCGCAACATAGTCGAAAGTTGTGCCAACGTGACTGGCGTAGGGGAGTCAACTATATATATATATATATATATATATATATATATATATATATATATATATATATATATATATATATATATATAGGTTCCTATCAGAAAGAAAAAACACGGTATAGCTAACACAAACGAACGCTTAAAGAGAGGGAAAAAGCCTATTAAAATTGATGAATTTGTGGCAAGTTTTAAAAGAATTAAATTTACGGTGGGAGAAATCAGACCGAAAATCACTTTTGATTGACCTGGAAGAGATACGTGGATAAACTTAGGTCATACTCTAAAAAAAATTGGTCAGATAAGAATATATTAAGCTGCAGGCAAGCCTTTATGGGAGGTTGGTCTACTGGTATCTCCCCACCTTCTGGTAAAGGCGGTAGATTAATAATTTCTCACATTGGCAGTGAAAAAGGATTTGTTAAGCATGGTTTGTTGGAATTTCAGTCCAAAAGCACAAAAGACTATCACGAGGAGATGACAGCTGATGTTTTCGAAGAGTATTTTGAGCAGATGATTGAACACATACCACCAAATTCAATTATAGTATTAGATAATGCACCTTATCATTCACGACTAGTAAAAAGACTTCCAACGACTGCGTGGAAGAAACAGAATATTCTTGACTGGCTGCGGAATAAGTATCTGCCTTACGAAGATGGAATGATAAAAGCAGAACTTTTAAAAATTGTCCGGCAACACAAATCTAAGTTCAAGAAATACGTAGTTGACAAAATGGCGGAAAGGCGAAACATCACAGTCCTTAGACTTCCACCGTACCACTGCGAAATAAATCCAATTGAACTCATTTGGGCACAAATGAAAAGTTATGTGACTAGAAAAAATACGTCATATAAAATACATGCTGTACGTGAATTGTTATACGAGTCTTTACAACATATTACAGAACAAAATTGGAAAGATGCAGTAAGACATGTAATAGAAGAAGAACAAACAATGTGGGATCTTGATAACATAATTGATGCGACCGTAGAGACACAACCGCTAATTATTAACCCTCAAGACGACTCGGATTACGAAGTTGATCCTAAATTATTTTGAATTTGAATAGTTTTCTAATCGTAATTATATAAGGTAAGTAATAGTAGTTGTAATCGTAGGGTATTAAAGGGGAAAGGTGCAAAATGTCGCCTGTCAAAATGTTCAATGTGTTTTAAATGTATCCATTTTTTTTCAAATCCTGAGAAAACTAAAAAGCATTTTTGAAAAATTTAAAGGCAGAATGAAATATTTATTAGAATAAATAAAAAGTTTCTTTTGTATGCAATATTTTCAATTAAAAGTTATACTATATTTTCTCTTTTATTTTCACCCCTGTTTTAAACATTGTAGAAGTTTTCAGGGACTTTCTGCCCTCAGTAATAATGTAATCTTTCATTCTGCGTTTCATTAAATTTTTCAAAAATATTAGTTTTCTCCGGATTCGAAAATAATGGATACATTTAAAACACATTGAAAATTTTGCCAGGCGACATTTGGCGCCTTTCCCCTTAATTAAATAAATATATCTTTTACAAATGGCATAAACTTTTTATTTTTGAATAAAATAAAGAAGTTTTATTAAAATAAAAATACAATTTAAAAAATATATTTATTTAGTTCAAATAAATGTTTCAATCATATACTCTACGACGCTGGTCGGTCATCTGTAACCAAAATACCTTCGTAATCGGATTATAAGGTTGACCGCTGTATTGTATTCCTTTAGATACAAGCTGGGTTAGTCAAAAACATCTTAAACCGTCAGTTTCAGGTTGGTTTTTAGTATTATATCGTAGTACCTATCCTCTCTGTATTTCAGTTCTCTAATTAGGATTAAACTTGTAGTGAGCTATCGACAAATTGTGAACCGATTATAGCTTGTTGTTACTCATTATAGGATTTGTAACTGTGTATAGACCGTAAGGGATATGTCAATAGTGGGAGAATTAGTAGTCCAGGTATAGTTCGTTGACACCATAATTTTGTTTTGGAGCATTGGTATACATATATTTGTATAGGGAATTTGAATTATCGATATTTCAAGACCTGAAAGAAATCCGATTGAGGTGGTTTTTTAATAATTTTGCTAATATTACAAGTATTAAGATACGATGGGGAGGATTTTTTAGTCTAATATTTTATTATTAAATCGAAGCAGTTTAATACAAAAATTTTATTACTTACACTGGGATCTTTTATATAGGATCTCAGAATAAACTTTTCAGATAAAAATTGTCTTCGGAGATCTAAGGGAGGTTCTAAGAGACAAGGGATTGAATATGAAAATATAGCCGCAAAAAGTCTAGTAATATCAATAAAACAATAAGGTACAAATAGAGATCGAAAATAAAATGGTATGAATCAAGTGAGAACAATATTGAGGAAGAAGTCAGGGAATAAATGGCAAAATCAAGTAAAACAGCAGGATACCTTAACGAGAAAATATGCAGAAATAAACAATTGAACTTAGAATCGAAAACACGCCTATATAAATCTGTAGTTAGGCCCATCATCACCTACCTACAACGCTGTATAATATAATCCTTGTTGACCTTTTGATAATAGTAAACCCTTAGATTTGTTTACATTGTAAATAGATTATTTGTTTGTACATAGTTCAGGAAATAAAAACTCTTATTCACAAATGCTGAGTTGTACCTATAAATACGCTGAACCTTCTTATGTTGAAAATAAATAGTTGACTTGGATAGAACTTAAAATAAATGAAAAACCTTAAATAACTATATTAGTACACAGAACTTTGGATTAATGAAATGATTTCATTAATCTAAGCCATATAGAAAAGACAACAGAAACCTCCAGAAAAGGAAATAGTGATTGTAGCTAGTTGAGATGCTCCTAATTATGAAAAAGAGATCGAACCAATTAACCTTTCAGAAATTTCATCGATTAAACTGACCTAATGTTTATTATTATTAAATACAAGAAAGATAGTTATTCCATTTTAATATTTTTTATTTAGTGCGGTAAAAATGGCCAATTATTATGTCTGGTTTTATATTACGGTCCTGATAAAGTCTGACTGTTTAGTTTTCAGGTGTCGAGGTGTCAGAAAACGTCCTATGTAAACGTAAGCAAACAGCTACTGTGTATATTTTGACGTTTGGTGATATTTGATATTTCTTAATCTAACCTTCTAATTATTTAAATAAAAAATATTAATAATATATAATCAAAATAATCGTTAATATTAATAAGTATGGCCAGTAGTGCTTCAGCGGTGTTGGATGTAGTAGTAGAAAATAAAGAAATATCCACGGGAGCGGCAAAAGATAAAGACGTCGATCCCAGTAGTGTTTGTAGTGGAGATTCCACCTTTGATAATTCGCTCGTAAGATATGACTAATATATTTCTTTCGTTTTTTATTCAATGTCAATGTTCTAGGTACAATCTCCAAGCATAGAAAGCTTTTCAACAATACATGATATTGAAAATTTGGCCGAACTTAATATGGACGAGAATTCGGATTTATGTGTAAAAATTGACAATCCTCAGAAGCATTTAGAAACGTTAGAAACATATATAACATTTAGAATAACAACGAAGGTAGCTAGAATAGAATTTTCTGATAATGAATATGTAGCACATAGAAGATACAATGATTTTTTGTGGCTGCGTCAAAAACTAGTAGAATGCCATCCATTTTGCATTGTACCAGTAAGTATTCTTTATTTTTCACTCATATTCGATATATTAATGTGAGTTTACTTTTCAGCCATTGCCTGGTAAGCACTCGTTAATAGGTCAGTTAGATAGATATTCCAAAGACTTTATACTTTTAAGAATGAAAGCTTTAAATGTTTTTATAACGAGAGTTACAAAGCATCCCATTTTAAGCTGCAATGAACACTTTAAAGTATTTTTAACGGCAAAATCTGCAGTAAGTATTACATATAACACTATTAACAAGATCTGTTATATTTAAGAATTTACCTGAATGCTCCAGTTCCATTTCTAAGTAAATGAACACTCAGAGCATCTGCAAATTGTTTTATTATTAAGATTAAATACATTTATGTCGAGCAAAGTGTGAAAATGAATTTCAATATAAACAGGCACTCTAATATTGATTGATTTTAAATTTGCGTGAGGCTAAAATTATACAAAATCCAGTCTAATACCAGTATTGTCAAAAGATTGATTTTAAGAAGAGCAAAGAACATTTTCAAATATCAACAGTTATTAGTAATAATACCAAGAAGATGAATGGTGTTACATATTCTTTCTACTGATAAACAACCTCAACAAAAAGAGCAGATCTGTAAATTAACACAAAAAAAAAACTAAATATAGGCAAAAACAAGCTATTTTCTATCTATTACTAACATACGAACTACACTCTTCCATCAAACTAAAAATAGAGGAAGGTATCTTTCTGTGTGCAGTAATATTAATGTTTAAAATTGTTCATTTCTGAATTTTATTAAGGCAATATTTACTGTGCAATCTTTTTAAGATGCTAATTAAAGTTATTTACAAACTTTAATTACATTGTAACATTTAATTTACTTGTTTAATAAGAAATTATAGAGACACAATGTCAAAATTGTATAATAATTATTTTTCAGGACTTCACATTACACAGAAGACAAAGGCATCCCGTCCAACAGAAAATAAGGACATTCAACCATGGTAACTCATCCCATAGTGTCTTAAAGAATAAACATATGGAATTTGATAAAACCAAAGCATACTTAACAACTCTATCAGAAAAACTTTCTTCAATAGAAAAGATATCTAGTCGTATTAATAAAGAAAGGTGTGAGTATGTTTCAGAACTGAATAGCTACCACCCTATATTCACCACTTGGGCTACCTCAGAACCTGAACTGTCAGAAATGTTACAAAATATTGGTAGTGCAATGGAGAGGAGTTCTGCAGCACAAAATGCTCTAGTACAAAGTTATAGTAATACTGTAGGTAATCCTATTAAGGACTTTTTGTCATACATTGATATAGCTCAAGAGACTTTGAGGAAAAGGGAATCCTACCAGTATGCCTATGAGGTTTCTGTTGAGGATTTAAATAAAAGACATAGTGAGAAGGATAAAGTAAGTTAACACAACAGTTTTACCATATGTTTTAGTTTTAAGGAAAAAGCAAAATAAAGTTGTTTAAAAGATAATTTTTAGATGTATGTGATTTAAGATTACTTTTGATATATTACAGCTGTAATTTTATTCATGAACATATTTAATAGGAGCCAATTTTTGTTTCAAAACAAAATGAATTTTTTGACAACAAGAATTATGTTTTCTGTTTCTCTTTATCAATCCTTAGCTAGGGATATTTTTTTTTTTTTTCATTTCTTTCATGTATTGCAGTCATCATTTATTATTTTTATTAATATTTCCAGTTTTTCCAATGGTTTATTATTTTAATAATTTCTATTAACATCAAGAAATGAATCCTACTACATTCTATATAATATATAGTAGTATGTAAAGATATTGTTTTCATTGATTAAAATGACTGCAGAATCTCTATTGATTTTCATTGTAAACCAATTTAAATTTATTACATTCTTTTGTTTTTTCCCATTTTGGAATTCTCCTGTGAAATAATTATCTAATGATGTCTCATACATGGTCTATTTCCTATTTCAAATTAAGGGTTAGTGGTACTGAAAAGGAGGGAGGACTGAAAAAAAAACTACTTTAATTAATTAATCAAAAAAATTGATTTTTATTTTTAAATTTTTTGTAAAAATTCTAAAAATTTTATTAATTAAGCAAATCAAAACATAAACAAAAAACAAATGTCAGGGCTCAATTTTTATATAAATCACCTTCATTCGTGGCTTCTAGTATTTCTGAGGTGTTTCCTTATCGGTATAGACACAGAAAAAAAAATACACACATAAATTCAATAGAAATTATCAATACCATTTATTTTATCAAAAGGAATTAAAATATTAAATATTGCAATTCTTAATCCTAGTATAACGTTTTTATTATTTCTAATTTATTTATTAAAGCTTCTATTTATAACACTTACAAATTGATCAAAGTCTTTATTTGTACTAATTTATTTTAAAATTAATTTTTTATAATACGTGCGTTACAATTTAAAAAACGCGGCGCGCGATCTTCAGATATTAACTGCCCTTCCAAATAAAATGTTTCATTTATATACACAAACTGTCGTTATCTAGAAAGATTGATGACCTTCTTCATTAGAACGGGACCCCATCGAATAGACTGGTATTTCGGTGAAGGTACTAGAGGGCGGTCGACGGCTGAAACTAGTTTTTCAACTGCTTGAAAAACCTCTAGTTGTGGATGACTCATCAAAATTGGGGTCTAGAGGTTTCTGGTAAACAAGCGTCGAAATGACTAGAACAAAAACAGAATTAGTCATAATATATTTACAGTTTTAAACGCCATAATTATCGTAACACTAATATATTTATATCATACTAAAAACACGAATAGAGAATCTTATTTCTTATTGCCTTCTTTGTAACAAAACCAACTTTAACAATTTATAACAAACAAATCTGATTGAATTTGGATAATTTTATAATAATAAAAGTTTATGGAATTTAATATGCAATATGGTATTTAATACGAAAAACAATGTCTGCACACATAAAATTTTTCCTTCCTGGATTGTGTTGTAACCAAAAGAACTCATCCATATTCCCCAACAATGTGTTTCTGCTACTCTGCAAATTCTGCTTTCCTTCTTGTTCACTGCTTCCCACAGTGCTCTTTCCTATCTTCTCCTGATGCAATTCTCCACCTTTTCTTTTTCTGAATCAGTTCTACTTTTTATTACCCAAGGATCTCTTTTATCGACTTGATGCCACAAATTCAAACAAATGTTTCCTCGATACTTACACAACTGGACACATCCGACTCCAAGGAGTTTTCAAAAGAACCTCTCTACTTGGTCTGTCACCCGTTTCACTATTCTGCTAATAACACTTGTAACTTATAACTCAACCTGCGGTACATTTCCAACACACGGTCTTCAAAACTGGACTTCTCCTTTCAATTGAACAAACACCACTGCCAAAATCTACTCATTCATTCCAGACATCGGCTCGTTCTCCCCTTCCATCATTATTTCTCATCGCATCAAAAAAAAAACTTTCAACCATACCATATAATTTACCAAATTCAACCTCTCTTGTAATTCTAAAGAAATTCTCAAACTTTCGTATTTCTTTGTTTTTTTCTGGAGTTCCAAGAATAAATAAAATTCCTTATACCAATACAACCACAACTTAATTCTACACTTTTCAAAAATTGTGTTATCTATTTTTAAGAAACTAATACAAAAGAATATTTTAAAAGCTGTATACTTTATACAATTATCGCTCTTTGAAATATATACGGGTTACTGGATTTTCCACCCTATAAATGACTATCTGAATAATCTCTTATTGTTGTGACGCCTTACCAAACATTCATATTTCGGCGAAAACACTTTATTAGAACTAGCTATAATTATTTTTACAAATTTTGTCATATACAGGGCATTGAAAATTTACAAGATCGTGGTCTATGAAGATGCAATTTTTATTTTATTTTTGATTTCAAATAGGAACATAGCAATATATAATTATATATTGAAAGCTTAATTAATCCTTAAAAAGGGGTTGTAATAATGAAGTATCATTACACTTCTGTTGTTTTCCTTTACCTTGACTTGCTTGATTACTTTTAATATTTGCGTAAGTGTAACATTGGCACTGAAAAAAAAAATAAAGTGATTACATCAACTGATTAGCAAGGTTAAAGTAACAATGATATAAATTATAAGTAATTCCTAAATTATCTATGTACACAACTAAACAATTGAGTTGTAAAATAATTAGGAAACTGTTTAGACTATCACTTTTCTTAGTCCTTGATAACAATAGGATGTATTAGATACAGAGTGGTCAACTTAGCTTTTGAACTGATGAATATATTTTTAATATTCCATGAAATGTTTCAATATATGGTAGAGTGTGGTATTTTTTCTATATTAATTGTATTATCTTCAATATGCTTCTTGTTGTTTGCTGACAATTCATTACGTTTTTAAATAAATTATAAATAAACTTCAGATTTTTTTTTTTTAATTGCAACCACTAAAATCGGTCGTTAGTGTAGTAAAATACTACATTTTTGCTCTAGAATTATTACAAATTTATGTAAAACTAGCCCCGTATATTGATTGTAAAGAGCATTGAAATGAATATTGTAATATTATTAATTATTATTTCAGCTGGTGGCCATTTCCCAAAATCCGTCCCAAGCAGCAGCCGGTTTCTCTCTCTGGAAGCAGTCAAGTTGTGATGATAAACTAGAAAAATTAGGCTCATACATTCCTCAGCTGATTAAGAAAGTCGAATCGAATCAGGATAATCTCGAATGCGCCAACGAATCCTTGCGAAGCGATCTTCAGCGATGGCATTCGGAAAAGCAACAGTGCTTGAAGAAGATATTACTAGACTTCGTTAATAAACAAATCAATTATTACCAAGCCACCGTGAACTCTTGGGAGTACGTTACTAGTGAGATTAACAAGCAGAATCAATCTTTGCGAAACAACTCGAAATAATAGTCATTTTAAAGCCTTAAGAGTTTCGTGTTTATTTAAGTCGATGATATTCGAATCACGAAAGTTTTTTGTTGGTTATATGGATATATTTCTTTTTAAACTATTATCATATATTTTTGTAGTAGCTGGTACCTGTGTTACTGGTGCCTGAGTACTCTTCATTGTATAGATTTTACTTACTTAAGGTTCTGTAAAGACCGCGCTGCTTGCTTCAAAGATTTGTTGCATGAATATCATACAATATATAAAATATCGATATACTCAGTCCGTTGGTTCTTTGCATGTACTTCATCATTCAATTTATACGAATTAAATCAAAATGTTTAGGGGAAGTGCGGATATTGCCGCCCAGTTAAGCAATTTATTAACTTTAACAAAAACTGTAGGTCTTAATAAAATGTCAACTGTCAAAATACGGTTATGTTATCGACTTCTAATTATTTAATCCTAAAAGTGTTCTTTTATTTTATTTTTGTTTTCACAAACTTACACTCGGGCGGAATTATCAGAGCATGCGAGTAATTGCGCCAAGTGGTGGTATAATACCGCCATACATTACATATACATACATTATTACGAGATCTATATATTTTTTTATATAAAAAAAACATATTCAAAGAAATTGTTATGTAAAAAAACTAATATAAAAACATTTCAAGCTAGTATTTTTGCAATAATCGCATATAAAACTTTTGTGATTATCGTAACCGCTAAATTCTTTATGCGCCCATCTATGGCAAACTCTGCATCTGTACCACATTTCTGATTTACCATATTCACCACAACATATACACTCTTCTCCTATGTCGCTGTTGGGATCATCAATTCAAGCGCTTGAAGAACTATAATCAAATCACGTGTAGGCGGGAACGATAACACAATGATCCCATTTTCACGGCAAAATTCATAAGCAGATAAAGAACAATGACTACTGTGATTATCAAGCAACAGCATGCTGGGTTGTCCTTCGAAGTGAATGCGTGCTTATTAAAATGCTTAAGCCAAATCAGGAATAACTCTTCATTCATCCAGCCTTTGGCCAAACATTCATGTATGACGCCTACCGGTTCATTGCGTTTGAGCTGTTCCGAATTCTACTCACTATTTTTCTGTTAGAGACCCGGGATAGCCACAGTATAATTTATTGATTGAAATCTTGGTATAGATTTACAAAGGTGAGTTTAAAACGGTCTGAAACATACAGGTTTCCAAAATCTATGTTCTTAGCGAAATTATATTTAAACCATGATAATCTGAAGTTACTTTCACTAATACATTGTTGACGAAGGTTTAGGTTTATTTAAAATATTTATCAGGAATATTTGATCTTGAATCTTCTGATATTGAAAGTTAACTATGATCACTAGAATTGAGGGCCTTTGTTCTCACTTGGTCTGGTGATCACTAAAATTGAGGCAAAAAGTACTGATATTAACATGAGTACCAAGTTCCTGGTAGACAGTCCTCAGATAATTACAATATTCTTAAAAAAACAGGAATCATGGTTAGTTTATCGTTTTTGTCTTTGTCTTTTTTGATGACCTCGTCTTCAGGAGTAGGGGATGGCTGGGAGTCACGGTTACTCAAGTAATTGACGTACCCAGAGGTGACAACAAACAGCCGCAACGAGATTGAAGCACACTAGATGAAATGTTCAACCTATCCAGAGATGAAATGAGAATCCAGGAATTGTTTTGTTGTGAATAGTAAACTAATATAAATAGCTTTTTGGATTGTTATATAAAACTAGTTTGTCTATAGAAAATGTCACACCGAGAGTGCAGTACGGCTAATATAGGAATGTACAATTACCGGATTTCACGCCTTGTGCTTGGAGATACAAACAGGTCCAAGTGGTACACAGAACCGTACCCAGATCTCTACGCCGGGCTCTGTTATTTATTATAAAATAATATATTGATAAAATAATTGCCTTCAAGTAGCCAAATAAGAGGCATGCATTTGAATAAAAAGACCTTAAGTTTTTAACGAGAATTTTATTATAAAACTGTATACTTTATTAAACAAACAAATGTATTTTAAATTATATTTCTTGATAGCTATAAATATACCGGGTGGAACCTCCGGTAACTCGATTTCCGTGCACCCAGCCCAATACCCAAGAAAAACTTTTTCTTTTGTAAATATGTGAAAAATTATCAGGAACGGGAATATCCAAAAAGCTTTGCACATTTCTTAATCCCGGCGATGTTATTAAAAAAATAAGTTGCGCACTTGAATCACTACGAAATTTTAACACCTATGAAATTTTTTTTGTGGAAATCTGAAGTGCAGTTTTTGTCCATGTTAAAACATAATGCAGTCTCGCATTTTTTACACACAACATAAGTTTACCTAGTTCCTTGGCATAGTAACCTGGTAGTTTTCAGCGAAACCTTGTGTTATTCCATATGGGATAATGATTTTCCTTGCCCACACTTGACCAGATGAGCAGGTATAAGGTTTATAGTGTAAGTTATTTAACATTATATTATATTTATACTTTATTAAACTAACAAATACATTTTAAATTACATTTCTTGATAGCTATAAATATACAGGGTGGAACCTCCGGGAACTCGATTTCCGTGCACCCAGCCCAATATCCGAAAAGCCCATACTCTGATTGGACTGGTAAATGCATTTTATTGGTTATCCAGTGTAAAATAATCGAGATTACTCACAGATATTCAATTAATTATACTAAAGTCGTCCTCTACATCCGAGATGTCGGATTCGCTTTCGCTACTCTTACCTGTGTTCGCATGTATTATCAATTGGTCTACGTCATCTTGCAGGTTGTCCGCAGTCCACATCTCAGTTTCCGTTTTCTCAACAACATGAGTGACATAATTGCGCCAATTTTGTTCTGTGACGCGTGCGAAACCGTCGTCGATCAACTGGCGTACCTCGTCGTTTTTAAAAGTGGTATTATTCGTACCTACATATCGCTTAACTTGGTTCCACACCATTTCTATAGGATTCAATTCGCAGTGATATGGAGGAAGCCTTAAAATATCAACATTATGTTGTGAAGCATACTCATCAAGATGATACTTATCGTATTGATCTTTAAAAGCACGCGCTGCTTCTAATAGCTCGGATTTCAAATAACACTCCTCGAAAAAAATGTCTTTTATCACTAGCCATTCCTTGATTGCAGCTTTATTCCAGGAATTGTTAGGGAATCTCTCTGTACGGGAGTGGTACGATGCATTGTCCATTACAATGACATTCCTGCGACCATTATTTGGTAAATTTGATATTAATGTCTCCTTAAACCACGACTCAAAATATGCGGCATCCATTTCCTAGAAATTATGTAGGTTTTTTCTATTTTATGTAAAACATTAAAACTACATTTATTGTATGTTGTTCTTGTAAAGAGGTGTTCAAATGTTACTCTTATGAATATGATTCAATTGTATATCTCATGTTGACGTTTTATATGCAAAATTCATAGTTTTCGTTGTCAATAACTCATCAATGCCTTTTTATTCTACTGTATACGTATATATGATATAAAATATTTTACTCGTACTGCCGGCAGATGCATTTTATCAAAGCCGGTCCTGTGAGACAATGAGCTGGAGAATCAACAGCTGGAGAAAACCGACAACCCTGCGCGTTTATTCTCCATAAGAAAAGCATTGCCGTATCTTACCCGTACTGCACTCTCAGTGTGACATTCTCTATAGCTATAAGGATAAGTTCTACTCTTGTTTGTGCTTGAAAGGACAGGCACAAGTAAAACTGTGCTTCTCTCTTAAAGAAGAATAATTGTTGAATGATATGCTGATAAACAAATATATATTTCAATATGTTACCTCTTGAACACAGGAAAAAATTGCAAAGGTTCTCCATTTCTGATTTCCAATTCAAAGTATTTTACACGTCCAGCGCAAGTTGCTGCGCTTTAGGATTTAATGATTTTTCAATAATATTCCAAAAATACCCTTGAAAAAATATACCTTTTCACAAAATGTTTTGAAAATCATTATACTTTCAAGGCACGAAAATTAATTTAAAATTTAAATAATAGGAAAATTAGCTGTAAAAAAACAACCTTGTAAAAACAAGAAATTTTCTGTGGCCAGTGTTTGATTCAATCTTAGTTCTTCGTCATATTGCTGGATTTGTTTGATGTACTTTATCGTTAAGACACAAGTGTGAATTTCATGGTTTAAGATTCTGTGAAAAGAGACGTATTATATAAAAATAATTCATTAATAAAACCATTCATGTGCATAGAACCAGCGAACAGACTATATATACATTAGACATTGTTGAAATTATCCCCAGTTATTATTCTTGTCGATATTGGTCCCGTTGTTAATATCTTATATTTACTAAAACTTGTTAAAAAAAAATTGTGTATTTAACTATAAAATCATTTCACTTATTAGTATTTATGTGAACGAAAAAGATGGTGCCGCTCAAAATTACTTTGAGTTTTCACTGGTTTGCGAGAACTTTCTCGCTTTAAGCGCTAAGAGAGACAAAAATGTGGCGTTACCAAGTGTTTTCGTTCGTTACAATATGCTCTTGAATTTTTTCCGTCGATAATAGTTTAAAAAAGAACCTGGGAACCTCGAATTAATTATTTTGTATTGTATTACCAGTGATATATCATGAATAGCTTTAATATCACGCCAGTTACCCATACGAGTATGTTATCTCTTACTTATAAATGAACGGACTAGAAACAAAATCATACATTATTAATAATTTTGGGTATATTGTCAAATACTTGATATGTTTGAATGAATTAAATTTGTTGAAATCACGAGAACAAGATGAAAAATTCTAGTGTTACTAGCAAAATACTCTGAAAGTAAAAGAATCTTCTTTTTCTTATAGTGCCGTGTACCTATAGAGGCGTTGGCGAATTATCTTAAGGCCAGACGCATGTCTTTTGCGGCATGCTAAATATCGCCAGTGTTATTTATGCCTGTTTATGTTCCGTATGTTCCTAGTTCTTTATGTTCCGTAGCCACGAC